AAACACCATTATTTTTCCCCATTCTAAGGGTCCAGGGCCCCAGTCCAAAAATGGGGTGTGAGGGCCCTGCCAGTGAAGGATGAAGGTAACACTGATAAAGGATGAAGGTAACACCAGTGAAGGATGAAGGTAACACCAGTAAAGGATGAAGGTAACACCAGTGAAGGATGAAGGTAACACTGATAAAGGATGAAGGTAACACTGATAAAGGATGAAGGTAACACCAGTGAATGATGAAGGTAACACCGGTAAAGGATGAAGGTAACACCAGTGAAGGATGAAGGTAACACCGGTAAGGATGAAGGTAACACCAGTGAAGGATGAAGGTAACACTGATAAAGGATGAAGGTAACAGTGATAAAGAATGAAGGTAACACCGGTAAAGGATGAAGGTAACACTGATAAAGGATGAAGGTAACACCAGTGAAGGATGAAGGTAACAGTGATAAAGAATGAAGGTAACACCGGTAAAGGATGAAGGTAACACCAGTGAAGGATGAAGGTAACAGTGATAAAGAATGAAGGTAACACCGGTAAAGGATGAAGGTAACACCAGTGAAGGATGAAGGTAACACTGATAAAGGATGAAGGTAACACCGGTAAAGGATAAAGGTAACACCAGTGAAGGATGAAGGTAACACCAGTAAAGGATGAAGGTATCACTGATAAAGGATGAAGGTAACACCGGTAAAGGATGAAGGTAACACCAGTGAAGGATGAAGGTAACACCGGTAAAGGATGAAGGTAACACCAGTGAAGTATGGAGGTAACACCAGTGAAATATGGAAGTAATACCAGTGAAGGATGAAGGTAACACTGGTAAAGGATGAAGGTAACACTGATAAAGGATGACGATAACAACAGTAAAGGATGAAGGTAACAGTGATAAAGGATGAAGGTAACACTGATAAAGAATGAAGGTAACACCAGTGAATGATGAAGGTAACACTGATAAAGGATGAAGGTAACACTGATAAAGGATGAAGGTAACACCAGTGAAGGATGAAGGTAACACCAGTGAAGGATGGAGGTAACACCAGTGAAGTATGGAGGTAACACCAGTGAAGGATGAAGGTAACACCAGTGAAGGATGAAGGTAACACCAGTGAAGGATGAAGGTAACACCAGTGAAGGATGACGGTAACACCAGTGAATGATGAAGGTAACACTGATAAAGGATGAAGGTAACACCGGTAAAGGATGAAGGTAACACCAGTGAAGGATGATGGTAACACTGATAAAGGATGAAGGTAACACCGGTAAAGGATGAAGGTAACACCAGTGAAGGATGAAGGTAACACCAGTGAAGGATGGAGGTAACACCAGTGAAGTATGGAGGTAACACCAGTGAAGGATGAAGATAACACCGGTAAAGGATGAACGTAACACTGATTAAGGATGAAGGTAACACCGGTAAAGGATGAAGGTAACACCAGTGAAGGATGAAGGTAACACTGATAAAGGATGAACGTAACACTGATAAAGCACAAAAGTAACACTTGTACTAAGATGAAGGTTACACCAAAAAAGGTGGCACCAAAGCTGCCTCCTTTCTTGGTGTAACTTTACACCAATATCGTGAGTTTACACACGTGGTCTAATCTCATGAGATGGTGTAAAGTTGCACCGAAAAAGACACCTTTTTGGTGTAACCTTTATCCCAGAAATTTACAGTGTGTAGTCAATATAGGGGAGATAACTCTTGTTTCGATTTATCCCGTATACAGTGTACTATAATAGATCTACTTTGAAATTTATTGACACACGTCGCCAGAACACTGATGATCGTCGTTGAGACGATACCCGGCAACGGGAGGAGTCGTGGAGGCGGAAAACCTGTAACAAACCAATATAGTGACCACGTATATCAAATATACCCATCAGAATCGGAAATAAAAAACACGACATACTCCTCTACATCCGCCGCTTATATCGATCTTTTTCTACAACGAAACCAACATGGACAGCTTTCCACAAAGATGCATGATAAGCGTGATGATTTCAGTTTCCCTATTGTGATTTTTCCCATTTCTGGATGGCAACACTCCTGTGTCCTCAACCTATTTTGTTTACATGTTTCAGTTGATATTCAATGGCCTGTTCCCATTATCACGATTTTCGTGCAAGAAATCATTAACTGACAGAGATACTGTTTAAGTTGAAGTTTGCCGTCGTTTCTTTGTAATCTTCAAAAGGAGCGTATCAGCCTGCGATTGGTCAGTTTTTTCCTCTCTCCTGAAACCAATGAAACTATTTCGCTTGTACCTTCAATTTTTGTCATGACATGGTCCAACAGACGACAGTATCCGTGTTTGGAGACCAAGAAAACGGCATACCTTCAGAATCACATTCTGGGATAAAATTATAAAATTTGGTAGTGGAGGTGTTTATAGGTGCTTCTCTGTGTAATATAAACTTTGCTTGCAAGTCCTTGATGGAACTTTAAATGGACAGAAGTACCGTGATCGTATTCTCTGACCTTAAGTTATCCAATACTTTGATGTCCATCAGTTGGCTGGTTGGTCTTTTTGAGGACGTCTTTTTAAGATACAGCGCTTCCGTTTCTGTAAACTTCTATTCCTATTCGTTTTGTATAGTTTCGTTATGTTTCGTTAAAAAACATTCCTTTATATGCTATTGAGTTCTTATTGGATATTTTTCTTATAATTAAGCCCGGTCATAGATATCAGAGGTCCCTAACTTTTGGCCAATTGCATATATCAACACGTAGAACTGACTGGCGTTCTTGTTTCGTATATTCGCGTCACAATACTAATAACACGGACTTATATAAAATCGGTGCAAATAATTGCTTCATTTCTATTACTGTACTAGCTGAGTTGGATTAAATTGTAACTTTTTGAGAAAGTTTTGACAGAGTTTTTTTTTATCGCGAATCAAGCTGCGTTATATATACGTCCCTGGTTTTGCAGTTTACTGATAGCCATGGGATTTAACACTGATGAGTATCTAAACTGAAAATTTATTTCTCAATGATAATAATTTCATGCTTATTTCTACGATTCATTATATTTTATTGCCATAATCATCAGCTACAGGATTGGGCACATGTAATTAAAACATTATTTAAACTCTCTTCCATAACAAACTACATTAACAGTATTTGGCAAACAAGGTCATGAATCAAAGCTTTAATTAAATACATACTGGAAAGTTCCTTTGATCTCTGAACTAAGAAAACGAGATTTATTGTTATTTAAAATCTACTGCTAGATTTCATAAAATTGTACACATTTCTAAATATCATTGCATTAGTATCTACAGGCAGATTTTCATTTCCTGGCAAGTAAGTCTCAATTAAAATAAAAATAAGGCTACATTTTCAAGATAAGCAAAAACAAAAATCACGACTGTTCAGAATTGGGGACAATTAAAGAAAAAATTGAAAGCATTTTCACAAGAGTTTCCACGTGAGCATTCGGCGCCTTCATTCAAATATATGACAAAATTAATCATAGTCAAAGAACTACATTGGTGACGTAACTTTATGTAAATTATATTAAATTTCTGTCACCAAATCCATGATAAATCAAAGATTGGAAAGTTTTGAGTTGGTATGGAATTACAGAAGATTGGAAAGTTTGCAAAGATGGTGAAGATATAGATGTAATATCAAGTGCATTACATAGTCGGAGTGTGGAAGGTCACCTCCATTATTGTTGACCTTGTTCTCATTTGGGAACGTTACATTGCTTAGATCTAACATGATTTATATGATGGCGTCGTCGATAAAAATTGAGCTTCCGGAACACCTGGTTTATCTTGAAAATTTCGAGTTGGATATTTCTTTAGATATTCAAGTATCCTCTAAGTGTTTTCGTTCCACTCTACAATTTATTCAATTCTTTTAAAGAAGTGATCACAGATAGGAGTAAACGGTAATGTTATTTATTTTCAATTGAGTGCAGTAGTTAAATACTATATTTGGTCAAAAGTACTTTTTTCATCAGTGCTGTCTAATATCACATGCAGTCAATATACAGTATAAATATTTTACATTTCCTAAAAAATAAACTTAAATATCATATTTCATTACAGGGATAAGTAAATAGCATAAACAGCCTAACTTCCCCGATACTGTCAATGATATGCCAGCTAATTTTAACCTACATGGCATGTAGTTTTACACGGGTAGGCCAAGTTAATCCAACCGTTCTAGTAGAAATGAGTAATTAGTTTGAGATCGTCTGTAAGTCGGAATGTTTAAATCCTGTCTTTTTCTTCAGGAGCTGAATAGCTTTTTATCTAATACAATAATTGTAATTTCTTTCCTTCTCCGCTAACTGATCGTACCTAAAGACCTCTTTCAACATAATTAGCTGTAGTGATACGTGCAACCTGACGATGGGTTTTTTTCCAATAAGTTTGCGTCATCTACTCTACATCCGTCCCATAATTCATTAACCGATATTCTAACATTGGTAAAATAAAAGTCCTTTAGATATTTTAAAAATGTGTCACATTTTGAGCATATATTTCAAATTTCTTAAAGCATTGATATTTTTTATAACTGAAAAGTAAAAGCTAATTTCTACGTTTAATCACATGACATTCAACGTTTATACTTACTGGTTATTTATGTATTGTGCGCATAATCAGTATGATTTCAGTATCAAATATGAAATAATTAAACATGAAAGTAAACGCTTCCCTTAAGTTACAGCTCACTGTTTTGTCACAAGACATTGAACGAATGGAAAACAACCGAATGTCTAAATCGTTCTCTTTTGTATTTACTTTTACTATTATTTTTCAAGATTTTTAAATACGGAACATGAAAATAACAAAACATCGTCATCATCATCAACTATAAAGAGACATTATCATCATCAATCAAAATATGGTTGTGCTAAAAAAGTCATCATGATTCAAATCATTTTCCTACTCTCGCTTGCAAAGGCACACATCTTTAGGATGTACACAATCTAGTTCCGGCCGGGCGTTATTCTAAGGGTTCATTTACCACTCATCACATGACTGTCAGTCACCAGTCTGTTATTTTCGGATCTTGATCTGCTTTGGTTTTGTGTAAAGCAGCACTCAATCATGTCTGGGCTCCTTGATAACTGTCAGATTCCAAAGTGTGATTGTATCGAACTCGGAGAAAGAAGGAATGCCGTTGTTTCAGTCATAGCAGGAGTGTTGGTAAGTAGAGGGGGTCTGCCGTCCATGTTTACAACCTTCATGTCCACGAGACATTGACATATTGATGAAACAACATGAGTCATATTCTGATATAACTGCAGATGTTAATGAATATCAAACTTCTGAAAAATCACATTATAACTGAAAATACCAGCCAAAGACTACATGGTGGACTTTTGACAACGAGCGGGGAGGGAGTCGACCTTTATTTGGTGAAATGATATGTCTGCCAAGTCCTACAGGTATGTTGTAGGCTGCATTGAGTTTAGATGGATATGAATAGCCAAGTCCATGTGTAACACTGGTAAACACTAGCCTTAATATACCGCTTGGCTAGAGAGAACTTCTCTTTAGTAAGCCAGGAGTTCCGGGTTTGAATCCTAGCAGAGGCATTGAAATAAATAAGGACCTTTGTTACATATGTGCCCACATAGGGACTCGGGAATAATACTTAGCATTGTCCTACAGACATCGCTGTAACCCCTGGAAGACTTGAGGGCGAGTTATTTCCTGGAGGGAAAGTATGTAACCCTGGTAAATACTAGCCTAATATTCCACTCAGCTAGGGATCAAATTGACTTCAATTTAAAAAATCTTCTTCTCAACAATGAACACCCAGGTATGGTAGAATCCAATGCTCTTCATGGCTGGAAGCATCTTAAGGTGCTTTTATTACCAAATTTGGTCTCATATTTCTTCTGTTGAGGAGGTTAACATTAACAAAAAATGCATTTTTGAGCATAACATTGTTTATTTCCTACTGGATATAACTTTGTAAGAATTACTGATATAGGATCACAGTTGTGATGGTATGCAGGTATTGACACTGGTTTGCTATCATCAGTGTCACAGTTTTTTTTCCATCACACTTTAAAGCAACTTATCTTTTAACCTTTATAGTCAATATTGCTTATCTCAAGTGACTGTCAAGGTAGCTAAGCTTCTTGTTATTTATATATTTTTTAACACTTGACAGTCAAGCAAAAATCATACTAATTGAAATGCACTGTTGAAGTTTATAACATGGAACTTGCTTTTCCACTGAGCTACCATGGAGGAGTGAATGTCCTGCGAGGATTCTTGCACGTCAAATAACTTTTTGCATGAAATTATATAAAATCTAACATGGCATCGTGGCATATCATGTTTTTTTTCAATAAATTGATCAACATTATGATGTGAGATCAATTATTGAATAATCTGTGATACAACTAGAATTTTTTTGCTACAGATCACGGAATCAACCCGGTATGATTTTGTTTCTATATATGACATATCATTTCAGAAGAATCTTTTAATATAACTAATGCATAAGGACTGAGCTGTATTAAATGAAAATAACATTTTGTTTATTTTCAGTTCTTTGCTGGCTGGTGGTGTGCTATTGATGCTGCAGCATTGGTTCCAGACAATGCAGACTTCAACCATGCATACCATACATGTGGAGCCATTGGCACTCTAGCCTTCTTTATGTAAGATAAAATAATATAAAATCTACTCACAATACCATTTTGTCCCTGTAAACATATGGTCATGTAATATGTTTGGGATAAAAAACATAAGTTTACATTCAGATGAATGTCCATGGTCTACTTTTCAATATCACAAGTGTTATCAAAATATCATGAATTTTAAGGAAACTATTATTAACAACCATGATGTCAAGAGTTATGAATTTTACCAATAACCTTGATTTGGTGTCAAATAAATAAAATTATTACTAATCTAGAAGCTATTCTTAAGCCATCAGTAATACAGTTATACTACTATCAAGCCACCATTAATCCAGTTGTATTACTATCCAGCCACAATTAATCCAGTTGTACTACTATCCAGTCACAAGTAATACAGTTGCCCTACTGTCCAGCCACCATTAATCCAGTTGTACTACTATCCAGCCACCAGTAATCCCGTTGTACTACTATCCAGCCACCATTAATCCAGTTGTACTACTATCCAGCCACCAGTAATCCAGTTGTACTACTATCCAGCCACCATTAATCCCGTTGTACTACTATCCAGCCACCAGTAATCCAGTTGTACTACTATCCAGCCACCTGTAATCCAGTTGTACTACTATCCAGCCACCATTAATCCAGTTGTACTACTATCCAGCCACCTGTAATCCAGTGGTACTACTATCCAGCCACCAGTAATCCAGTTGTACTACTATCCAGCCACCATTAATCCAGTTGTACTACTATCCAGCCACCAGTAATCCAGTTGTACTACTATCCAGCCACCAGTAATCCAGTTGTACTACTATCCAGCCACCATTAATCCACTTGTACTACTATCCAGCCACCTGTAATCCAGTGGTACTACTATCCAGCCACCATTAATCCAGTTGTACTACTACCCAGTCACCATTAATCCAGTTGTACTACTATCCAGCCACCAGTAATCCAGTTGTACTACTATCCAGCCACCAGTAATCCCGTTGTACTACTATCCATCCACCAGTAATCCAGTTGTACTACTATCCAGCCACCAGTAATCCAGTTGTACTACTATCCAGCCACCTGTAATCCAGTGGTACTACTATCCAGCCACCATTAATCCAGTTGTACTACTATCCAGCCACCATTAATCCAGTTGTACTACTATCCAGCCACCAGTAATCCAGTTGTACTACTATCCAGCCACCAGTAATCCAGTTGTACTACTATCCAGTCACCATTAATCAAGTTGTCCTACTATCCAGCCATCACTAATCCAGTTGTCCTACTATCCAGCCATCACTAATCCAGTTGTACTACTATCCAGTCACAAGTAATACAGTTGCCCTACTGTCCAGCCACCATTAATCCAGTGGTACTACTATCCAGCCACCATTAATCCAGTTGTACTACTATCAAGCCACCAGTAATCCAGTTGTACTACTATCCAGCCACCAGTAATTTAGTTGTACTACTATCCAGCCACCAGTAATCCAGTTGTACTACTATCCAGTACTACTATCCAGTCACCAGTAATCCAGTTGTACTACCAGTTGTACTACTATCCAGTCACCATTAATCCACTTGTACTACTATCCAGTCACCAGTAATCCAGTTGTACTACTATCCAGCCACCATTAATCCAGTTGTACTACTATCCAGTCACCATTAATCCAGTTGTACTACTATCCAGTCACCATTAATCCAGTTGTACTACTATCCAGTCACCATTAATCCACTTGTACTACTATCCAGTCACCAGTAATCCAGTTGTACTACTATCCAGCCACCATTAATCCAGTTGTACTACTATCCAGTCACCATTAATCCACTTGTACTACTATCCAGTCACCATTAATCCAGTTGTACTACTATCCAGCCACCATTAATCCAGTTGTACTACTATCCAGTCACCATTAATCCAGTTGTACTACTATCCAGTCACCATTAATCCACTTGTACTACTATCCAGCCACCATTAATCCAGTTGTACTACTATCCAGTCACCATTAATCCAGTTGTACTACTATCCAGTCACCATTAATCCACTTGTACTACTATCCAGACACCTATCCAGCCACCAGTAATCCAGTTGTACTACTATCCAGCCACAATTAATCCAGTTGTACTACTATCCAGTCACAAGTAATACAGTTGCCCTACTGTCCAGTCACCAGTAATCCAGTTGTACTACTATCCAGCCACCATTAATCCAGTTGTACTACTATCCAGCCACCAGTAATCCAGTGTTACTACTATCCAGCCACCAGTAATCCAATTATACTACTATCCAGTCACCATTAATCCAGTTGTACTACTATCCAGCCACCATTAATCCAGTTGTACTACTATCCAGCCATCACTAATCCAGTTGTACTACTATCCAGTCACAAGTAATACAGTTGCCCTACTGTCCAGCCACCATTAATCAAGTTGTCCTACTATTCAGCCACCATTAATCCCTTTGTACTACTATCCAGCCACCATTAATCCAGATGTACTACTATCAAGCCACCAGTAATCCAGTTGTACTACTATCCAGCCACCAGTAATTTAGTTGTACTACTATCCAGCTACCAGTAATCCAGTTGTACTACTATCCAGCCACCATTAATCCAGTTGTACTACTATCCAGCCACCAGTAATCCAGTTGTACTACTATCCAGCCACCAGTAATCCAGTGGTACTACTATCCAGCCACCAGTAATCCAGTTGTACTACTATCCAGTCACCATTAATCCAGTTGTACTACTATCCAGCCACCATTAATCCAGTTGTACTACTATCCAGCCATCACTAATCCAGTTGTACTACTATCCAGTCACAAGTAATACAGTTGCCCTACTGTCCAGCCACCATTAATCCAGTTGTACTACTATCCAGTCACCATTAATCCAGTTGTACTACTATCCAGCCACCATTAATCCAGATGTACTACTATCAAGCCACCAGTAATCCAGTTGTACTACTATCCAGCCACCAGTAATCCAGTTGTACTACTATCCAGCCACCATTAATCCAGTTGTACTACTATCCAGTCATCACTAATCCAGTTCCCCCACTATCCAGCCACCAATAATCTAGTTGTTCCAGCAAACAGCTGAGATAAATCCAGTGAGTTTTGTTAACCAACCATGACTGATCCAGATATCCCTCAATTCTGCTTAGTAATTAAATGATTCAGTAGAAAGTGCTATATATTGATATTATTGATTTTCAGAATAAACTCTGTATCAAATGGACAGATCCGAGGGGATGCTTACACAACAGGATGTATAGGACAGACAGGTAAGCTAACTATCACTGTGGTTTATAAGATTAAACACTGTTCTAGGAAAGATTTCTTTTCTCAAATCAAACTGGCATCAAATTTGAAGCTGTCACTGTTTTTATCCCCCGCCCAATAAAGTTGGTGGGGGGATATTCAGTTGGGTTCTGTCCATCCTTCTGTCTGTACTTCTGAAAGTCTGGATGCTGCTTTCCATATGATATCTCTTGGAGGACTGGCTATATTTTTATGAAACTTGTTGATATACTTGTTACCTTAACCCCTTGTTCAAGTTTGATTATCTGCAAATTCTGTGCTGCTGTGACCTGATTGACTGAAATCTTTCAGCACCCTTACTGCATGCGTTCCACATGTTATCTTTTGAAGGACCAAATGAATTTGATGAGACTTGGTAAACTTATTATATAATCTCCTCACTCTAATTTGATCCAGTGTGATATTCCATGCATATTTAATCATGGTTCCCTTACCTAATTGGTTGAGTTCTTGAAACAGTCTTGAGGATTGCTTTCCACATTTCTTTAGAAGGAATGATCAAATATTTAATGTGACTTGCTTAGCAGACTTAGTATCTTAACCACTCTCTTAAGTTTGATTATCAGTTAACTCCGGGAATTTCTAATGAGGCAGCATTCACCTGAATGGCTGATTGCTTTGCACAGAATATCTTCTGTAGTAATGATAAGAGACCTTTAAAAGATTATAAACATATCTCTTAATGATTCAGAAATTTAGACACCATAAAATCATGGAAGAAGAATCTGAATAATAATGATAAGAAAAAGAACAATAACAATAGGTCTTTTCACCAGTTGGTAAAAAGTCCTAATAAAGCTATAAAAGTGAATTCCCACAATGTTTTTAGAAGTCTTATGTTCAAAGTGATGTTGTACTGTCACTGATTAGGATTTGTTTTACTGATAGTAACTTTCCTTTGTAATTTCTTATATCTCACTATTAGATGCTGTATTGTGATTTATTAATGTGTAAACCATTTCACTGTTTTGTCATACTTAATCAGTAATAGAATCATTGATTGATCCAGCATCACTGAAATTAAGTAACATTACCATTGGGTAAAAGAAGGCAATATAAATGTATGATGAGCTGATATTTACAGTATTATGCTACTAAATTGATTCTATATTGATCTCTTTCAACAGAACATTAATCTGAACATAAACAATAAATGGTTTCAATACTCTAGTTTTCCATGTTGCTCAATTTAAATGTGTATATTTAACAAATGAACATGGGGGGTGGGGGGTTTGATGACTATGTCCTTGTTTTTTTTTTTTCCTCATGATTGCAATTTTTAATGAAAGGAATTTGGGATGTCTTACTTTCCAGTTGGCATCTACAATGAAGAAGTTGCATTTATATAAGCATATCACAAAGAATATTGTGGCAACCAAAGTTGATGTATGGTTAGATCATTGGGTGTACAACTCAATTTATTAAGGTTAAGTAGGTGAAAATAATTTTGATGGGTTTGAGAATTAGAATTTTTTTTTTTTTTTTAAAGAATCATCTTATTTAGTTCTTATTTTTGTAAACACCTTCAATAAATAATATAGATAAGACATAGGTCTTAACTTCAATGTCTTTTAAAAGCTCATTCTAAGGATTTTGAAAACCATTTTATCATCAAAATATCTCTTGTGGTCAGTTTGGACAGGCAGAATTGATGGGAACAGTCCCAATCAATATAAATTCTAACAGACTATATATAAGGATATCTGGAACTGAAGGATAACGGGATCATACATTTTATACAGAGTATTGAGTAAATACACTGGTGTGTATGCTGGTCTCTAAAATTTCTGGTGGGATTACAATTTTGTTATTTCCTTAGGCTTATTTTTATTGATTTCTTAATTTACACAAATATCGTGTTCTGCTCAGCTAGTAACAACACAAACCTACTCTGTTAGGGCCATGTGAATGTTTGTAAATCAATCTGGCTAGATCTTATAAGAATTTCCACAAATTAAATATTATATATTTTTTTAAATGGTAAATTGAGGTGTACAATTTCCATTAGAACAGATTTTGTGCAGTTTTCTTCAAAAGCATCTTATGAAATCCCAACTGACTAATAGAAGCTTACATAGGTCTGTTCATGGATAATTGAACTGGGATCTGAACTTGAGTGTGGTTTGGCTGGTCAGCACCATATATGTGCCATCACAAATGGCCTATGGAATGTGTAAAAATTGATAATATTATTACTTTGACATGGTTATATGAAATATTGACGCTCCTTACAGTAAGATAGCGTATGTCAGCTGCCTTTCTTTTACAGTACGTTGACATCCTATCAAGAATATGATTACATGATATCTTTTTAGGTGCCCGTGTCTGGCTGTTCCTGGGATTTCTCTTGGCATTTGGTTCTCTCATCGCTGCATCATGGATTCTCTTTGGATTCTATGTTGTGCAAGGTAATTTTAATACCTCCCAAAATGTTTGTCAAATAAATTTCTCATAATCAGGCAGGTGTAACTGGTTTGGGATTATTAAAAAATTTTAGTCAAATAAATTTTTCTTTCCCTTGACATGTGTATGCATAATTTCACTAGTTTGATTCTTCCAAAATACATTTCTTAGCATATACTTGGTCTAATAAAATATCATCCTCGATACTCCAGGGGTTATGATCACTTTTGCTCTCTGCATCCCTGGTACATATCATGGCAAAATGAATGTTCCATGTGTGACACCTTGTGGACACGACAAAAAAACTAGTTTGATGGGGTTATTATAGAATTATGATGTGGCACTGGTGATATTTATACTGCTACTGTTCTGAATGAGCTTATCAACATGTAGGCACTTATTTCCAAAGTATTATGATAATTCAGTATGTTGGTGTTTTAGAAATTTCTGTTTACATAATAAATATTAAGAACTTTAAAAATGTAGGATATGCTATGGTGTTGGCACTGATAACACTGTATGTGATTTATTCATTAAGAAGATTTTAGACATACCAGTATAAATATTTTGGAGTATACAGTGAAGATAATTCTGAAGAAAGTCATGAGACTATTACATGTAATATAGATAGACCAGTCTCGTCTTTATTATAATAGTGTACCTTTACTGCATGTATCCTTGGGAAAAATAATTAGATTTTAGCATGATCTGTGATTGAGCATCATGCTTAGGCATGATAAATGTTACTAGTATATGAAAATACAATTTCTTGTTTTAAAACATTATCCTATAATCATTGATGAAACTTTCTTTTCTAGGTGATCAACAGTACCAATGGCCAGGCATTGCTATTTTTCTCCAAAATGCTCTGATATTCTTCAGGTAAATACTTTGAGAAAATTCATCTTGATTTGTAATTGTCCTGTTAGCATATTCTCCATTAGGAATTTTGGGTAGATTTGTTTTTGCTTTTCAGGTAATATTTCTTCTAGGAATGAAGCATGTGATTTTTCAACTTTTTGTTGTGATGCAGCTATTGGAAATGTGAGAATAAGGTTTAGATTGAATAGTGAGTCCTGTTCTGTAGACTTTTGTAGCTTTTCTTTAAATATATTGGATACGATATAAACAGTAAATATGGGAAAAAAATGAAACTGTAGTTCATACCACCATGAACTAAAATTTTGAATGGTTGAGAGGTATGATGAACCATTAACACATGGTTTGATTATTGGATCATCTTAGCCAATAAGAGTTAAATTGTTGTAAAATAGATAACATAGACTCATTAGTATGTATCCCTGGAATGGTTGTATAATGTGTATGTCTAGAAAGTTGAATTTAATTCAGAATTTTTTATTTTACAGCTCGATTATTTTCAAGTTTGGCCGGACTGAAGATTTGTGGGGATAAATTAAAACTATGAGTGCAATTATGTGTTAAGTGTTTGTGATTGTACTATTTTGTGATGCAAGTTCCATTTTGGTATTTTGGATTCTGAAAGTACGTAATTATGATGGAATTACCAAACTTACTAAAATTCATATATATTTTATCTAATATCTTGAGCGAATGCATGGTAATTCACTGCAGTAATGTTATTATCATTTTTAACCTATGTTATTTGCAAGATTTTTTATGCAAATATTGTTAACAAAGGGGAAGTAACTCTATTAAATGTAGATTTCCCTGTGGACCTGGTATTGTGTTCTTAATATTTGAGATAAGACATTTGATAGATGAATAATAAAGGGGAAAAGAAAACATAATAAGAATGCATTGACAAATTGGAGGTCGGGTGTTGAGATTATTTATATTTGGAAAAAAAGACTTGAGCAGATTAATATAATACATTATAATAAATGTGTTCCTGAGAAATTATTGCTTTTATATAATTCAATTTTGTAAGTGTACCTGTATGTAATTCCAATGACTGGAGGATTTTTTCTCTCTCTATTTCATACATTTGTATATACATCATTTTGTCAAAAACTGTGTTTATGTTTTCATTGACAACGTTTATTTATTAATCTTGGTTATTGTTTACTTTCTGACCAAATGCAGCCTACTTGTCAATATTCTGTAACAATGCTAATGCAAACGGTTTTGAAGAGAAAGTTTTTCAAGTAAGTGAAATTGTCTGGAAAATTGTCAGTTTGTCTAATCTGAACCTTTGATTTGAAAATAATGAGAATAGGAAAGAGGGAATCATCAAAGTAGGCCATTTCAGGTAGGTAATATTTAAAAGTGGTTTTCACAGGAGTTGTTCCTGAAAAAGGAATAAAAAAAGGGTCGTGGAGGAGGGGGGCTAACTCTGTTGTATGAGATATTACTATTTGGCAGCAATAGTAGCTTGGTCACTCCTCTTTGAAATCCAAATACTAAATTCCTAATAAAGTTTGTGTCTATATACATCTCCTTTCTCTTCACTCTTGGAGTTTATCATGAAAAAATTAAAGGCTGTAAAGAATTAACACATGCTAGCCTTTCCATAAACGATGAAAGTCTTCATTTATTGGGTGTAGCTCTTAAATATTCTAAGGAAAGTTAACAGGGCATTGGTCAGTTATCCATGTCTTGGCACCAATCAAATTGTTGCCTATCGAAAACCTTTTATTTTGCCCTGGTGTATTGAAAAGAGTATGGAACTCTTGTATTTTGAAGCCTAGAACCACTTGGACCAAGAGGTAGATTGACTGCAGACAATCAAGCTGTCTGGTGAAAAAGACCTGCATGTCTATTTTCAGATTACAACAATTGAAAACCATGTAGTAGTATGTAATATGTAACTGATATTGTTTTTGTTTTTGTGTTAAACATCAGCTACTTAACTGTATATATGCTGTACCTGTGTATTTGTTTATATGTACATCTTTGTGAATACTTCATTGCTTTGTTAAAAAGTAAATATTTTACATCATGAAAACATGTGAATAAAGTTATTTGTCAATTAAATTTTAGTATATTTTGTATATTTATTTTTTGTCAAAGGGATGCTTGGAAAATGTGTGATATAAATGTTTAAACTCCAGGTCATATGAGTTTGTATTGTCCTTTGTATGTGTTTTTCCCCATAAATTGTCCATCTCCTGAAAGCTGGTAAGAGTTCAAATTGGTTCCTGGCATAAAAAGTTGAAACACATTTGGTCTGGGAATGCATGCTGTTAGTGGGGCTTTGCTGACGAATGATGAAAGACAAAAAACACCTGGGAACTGGAAGTTCATGTTCAAAAAAAAAAAAAAGAAGGAGACTTAAAATCACTACTTAGTTAGACAGAACATTTTGGATTTCTTTTGGTCTGTACGAATATGAAACTATTCAGGTCAGTCTGGGATATGGACGTTTTGAAAGTTATTATCAACTTTATGTAAAAACTAATCCTTTTGTGATGTATTAAGCCGAGAGGAAAATAATTTTTTGAAGATGTTGACGGAGCACTCTAATAAAATCTGATATTCAAGTCATTGTCATAATATTGCTCAATATATTTCCAAATGCAATTTTTAATTCACACAAAGAAATTTGAATGAAATTCTATTCCTTTCCCGTGGGTAATAGGTTAATGTTGTTTTTGCTTATGATGAATTTTCTATTTGATATATAAAACCACACGTCTACAGTGTATACCCTGGCTCTCAGTTTCTGACTTAACCATCTTTACATATTTAAAAATCTACTTTTCTAAGGAAAAATGGAAACTGAAAAATCAGAACTAACTTAACATTCTTCAAAAAAAACCAACCTGATTTCAACATTTTGGTAAAATATGAACTGACAAGAAAATTGGAATGGTTGCAAATCCCTAAACATATTTGATTTGTCAATGAAAATTACACATACTTTCAAAACTTCATCACCTCAGCTTGTCCTGACTTTTGGAATTTCCTCCTTTATTGAGAGAAGCTCTCTGACAGCTTTTTTAGGGAGTAAAACAGAAGGTGTTTTATAAGTATGTGGTAAAAATTGTATAACCATAGGAAGATATATCATAATAGATCCAGACAATGAAAGACGACATACACTGTTGATACTCAAACACTAACATAGTAATGTAATAATTGTATGTATGTACATTCATATAAATGTATCATTAATGTTAGATGTAGATGGAGCAATGTGGAGGGGCATATTATACAAAGTATAAAAACTATATACATATGAACATGATTTTTTTCATGCCAAAAAAATCACTAGAAGTAATGTAGAATTCCTTCAAATATGTAGTTTTGTCAGTGGAAAAATTTCTAAATATGTCAAAGTTTCAGTAGAAAAGATACATAATATTACAAAGAAATAGTGTCATGTTCATAGATATGTATCTTTTAATGTAAACCACAGTATTAGTAGGAAGGCTATCAATTAAAATTATTAAACTGAAAAGTGTTACTGAATTTTGAAATATTTGTCTTAATAGTGCAAAGGAATTTATAGATGGGGGTATATACTAGCCACTGAGTTGGGAATGTGTGCCAATTAAGCCCATGTGTTGATGCAATCATCTTGAGTACCAATGATGTCTTGAATTCATGAACAAAAAAAAAAAAAAAAAAAAAGAAAATTGTTTGACATGTCAGTTGTATATATTTAGTTCTGAAATTGATATAAAACCCATCATGAAGATTCTTTACATAGTGTGTAAAACAAGAGAAATATCTAAGGACCCCACCCCCACCACAACTAGTTTGGGACATATTATGAATTGAAGTTTCCTCTCTCCAAGCTTAGAAAGAGACACTGAAAGTTTAAGTAGTAAAGATTTTTTCCCATGAACATGTATGGAAACAAATGAGTTGCCAATGGTTTTAGCAATTGATAAAAGCTCTATTTTCCAGTTTCATTCAAGATATGATGAGTGCTTTACGGTTTGCCATTCTGTAGCATTCTGCATTCACAGTATTTCATCATGTTGAGTACCTTTTCCATTTTCAATATCACACATAATACCAGAGACATATATATATATGTCTCTGATAATACACATCTTTCAGGGAAACTGGTTTGAGTTCTACTTCTATCAAGTAATGACCTACTCAACTTAGTAAAGGTTATGTCATGTTTGAGAGAGACAAAATGTGCGCTATGAATAGAAGGGAACAGAATTAATATTGATGGGCAGAAATGGCAACTTTGAAGGAAAGTAAGGATTCAGAGGAGACAATGTCGGAAGGGAGGTTGTTCCAATCTTTTATACATGCATCTTTTTTCAAGTAAGGTTCCCTTACTGCGTTTGCATATTTCACCTGAGGGTGGATAAGGAACTTATAGGTCTTTTCTTTAATGTTAGCAGAAGAAACTTTGATTACGATTGCATCTTAGGAAGCCTAGAGTGGTGTTGGCTTTTTTTGTAATATTATTTATATGGGTATCTCACTTCAAATCTGACTGGAGGATAATACCAAGTTATTTTGCCTCTTTTACATGTTTTTCATTATTATTCAGAAATACAAGTCTTCGGATAAACAGAATTTTTCACTTGTGCCGATGTAAGGTGGCATTTATTCATCTTTTGCCAAGATATTCCACAAGTGCAATTTAATTAAAAACTAGCTGGGCTTACTGAATGAAGTATGTATTATCACAGACATATATAACACATAATGTGATATATACGTCTCTGGTATTATGGTTTTTGTCCAAACTTTTAAGTTTTCTGAAGGTTTCTACGTTTGAAAGCATTTCATGTCTTCCTTTTTTCGTTCTGTATTTACTTTATTAAACACCATGCCTATGCACGCGGGTTTATAACTCAGTTCTGTAATTTTCATTGAAACATGCTGATTGGAAACTCTACATATCACGTTTGTTGAAGTACTAAGGCGCAGACATTTAGGTACATATTTTGCCTTAACACCGGTAAGTCCACCTTGGCGGAACCCAATGAAAGAACGTCGTTATCTTTTTCGTTATGGTCGATAGTTGTAAGTAACGGCGTAAACTTATCAAGGTTTATTCCACAAGCAAAATGGCGGCGACATCAAAGAAGCCATGGCGAAATTTTAGACGAAAAGCTGCCGATGAAAGCGATTCTGAAGAAAATCAAAATGATCAGCAAGATGACGATATGGAAGCAGAAGAAGAAAAGAGTGCTGTCGACATTATTGTGAAACCCGCAAAAAAGAAAAAGAAGAAAAAAGACAAAAAAGATTCTGCGAAACTTCTCAGTTTCGAAGACGATCACGACGTTGACGGTACGTGCCTTTCAACATAAATATTTGGATATGTACAGCTTTATGTCCCCTATCAATTGAAAATAGATAATGTTTAGTTTGTAAGTGTTACGTCTGCGATAGTGTACTTTCTATTTGGATAATATTTGTTAATATACAGTAGTAGAATTGAATCCACTGACACTAAGGATGAAATAACCAACCAGTTGGAACATAATCTTTCAATAATGGTCGTTGTATGGACCATTCCTTAAAAGCCAGTAAACTAATGATAATGTCATGCTTTGTTTAAAAATGATGTGCTACTTTTCACACCTATGCATTATCATGAACTGAGGAAAAATTATGCAAAATGACAGTACTTCTCATTTACATAGATGGGGATGTTTTCAAAATCAAGAAATCCAGTCAAAGCAAAAGATTAGCCAAACAACTGAAGAAGGAGAAGATGAAAGAGAAAGAAGAAATTTTGAAAGCTAAGGAAGAAAACCCTGGCCCCAAGGATGTTTCATCAAAGAAATCTGAGGAAGAAACAGATGAAAAAATCAGGGTATGTTTATCATGAAAATACATTTGAAGGTTTGACTGATAACATGTGATTTTGTGTTTGCAATACCCTTTAAGATATATATTTATGTCATGTTGATCTACTCAAATCTACATATGTGCTCATTTTTATACATGATGCCAGTTTATAATTAAGTTCATGTGAAGGCAACACCTTTTAATCATAGAAAAAAAGATCATGTCATATATAGATAGGTATTCATGATGTTTTTTAAGTTTTAGGTCACACATTCTGCATCATTGTCATAGACCACACATTGCAGGCTGTCCAGCGTCCCTAAAATTCCTAATTTTTTTCAGTTTTGCTAAAATTAATAAAAAAATGAAAAATTCAAAGGAAATTCCTAAAAAAACCCTAATTTTTCACTCCAGTTCCTACTTTTTTTTATATTTCTTACAATTTACTGAAAATGTTTTCATTAAATTCATACTTAAAATGTATTTTAATGTAGTCTGTAGTTCTAATTCAGGGTAGACAATGAAAGGCATTTGACCAGTGGATCTATGTACCCAGATTGTTATTGGTTGTGACTGAGTGACAGATGTGTGATTCTTAAGGTCACAGCCAACGGCAGCTGGGACACTGAAACCCTGGAAGACACCTTTCCTGCAATTAAGGCATTGTATGTTAGTTTCTATTTTGTCAAATTTGCAAAGGTAAGTCAGTTTAATGCTTTCATACTCCCTATTCTAGTAACAAAATTGCTAATTTTAGCCCTAAATTTGCGCTAAAATTAGCCCTAATTTTTTGTCAAGAAGTGCTGGACAGTCTGCACATTGTGAATTTTTAGACATAGCAGTTTGTATAAATATGAACAGCGACCCCAATTGATAAAATTAACATAAATGAATTTGGCATCAAATTAGCTGTTCAAATTTGTCAAGCCATACATTTCAGTTATTGGCCAAGTTTGCAGTCAAGATGTGATTCCTTGTGTATGTAAAGTCTTGATGGTTTTCAAATGCTTCAGTCAAACGTTCACTTTCAGTTTTATCATGTTTTAATTAGAGCTTTTATTTGACACTGGCATTGAAAGTAGGATTTTAAGTATCTCATCTCAGGTTTTGGTGAATACTCCTGACTTTTAATATTCTGAAGACATGTCTATATGATATCATATGTATGGAGAATGTGCAATTTGATAAGCCATGGTTAATTCAATAGCTGTAGTTACTGTAGGATATCCAAGTAAATGTAAATTTTTAGATTTTATGCTTAATGCCTAATGGACACATATACCATGTGCATAATAAGATATTTTCGTATTCCAAATTGCTAGTGAAAGGCTTACAGACAACAAGGTAATTTTGATTATTCATACTAAAATTTTACTCCAACTTTTATGTTCTTTTTTCCCCCAGCGATTGAGAGAGGAGTTCATGACATTAAATGGTGATGATGCTGCAGCTTTGGATATGGACAGTGAGGAAGAAGATAAAGGCACTCTCCATAAGTTGTTAGGCAGTAAGTGTCAACTTTTACTATTCACACACATATCTTTTAATAAAACTTTTATCTTTACAAAGTACAATATTCAAGCTGGAAGAAAATATTCAAGTTGTAAAATTGTTTTCAGAATGTATTTGTCTTTTTCCGTTTTTGTTAAAATTTGTAAAAACCTATGGGTAATGCTGTTGTAGTTTAAGAAAATCTAGAGAAGGTCTAGTGCAAGAATTTGACTGGATTTCAATGAACTGGAGGTATATGTATGGACCAATGACTTCCAAGTACTATAATGTTGTTAGCCATTTACAGGTTTATAGCATACTATCCATGGATTTGTGCTTCCAAGTGTATGGTTATTTTCAGCCTAAGCACTAGGTGAATAATATGTGTTATCCACCACTGCTTATGTTTGTTGTTCATTACCTGTACTGAGAAATTTTACACATTTTACAGAGGGTGAAATACCAGATGCCAACATGATCCACAATATAAGGAAGAAGCGACAGCAGGCCAGAGATATGGGAGACTTTGTGCCTTTGGATAATGCAGCTAAACAAGAGAATTCCTCCTCTAGACTTGTCAGGTAGGTAAATGTACTGTAGAGATGTAGCTAGATAATACAGCTGGCTGGTATTTGTTAATAATTGTCAACCATTAGCTGTAACTTGTTAGGTCAAGAAATATGGAATTATTTGTTAATGCTGGAAAGATATTCACAGATCTGAAAAGCTGTTAGAAACATTATTAGGACATTTCATCCATGGTGTTATTTAGAAATATAGTCATAGGTTATGTATATTTCATTATTTGCAAACTGAAAGAAAATTTTTAAGCCACTGTAGAAACTTGTTTGATAGCAGTACTAACAGCGAGCTGAAAGTGTCGGTTATAAATTATCTAACATAACAATTGGCAGCTTTATCATCCAAGTGGAAAGTAAAATCAAAGCGAGGATAAATGGGAGAAACAGGAGGAAAGTTTTAAAGAGAAAATAGTGAAAGTTGTGTTAGTTGTAAAAGTGACATTTAAGCTATTAATGAAACACTGATGATCATGTGCAGATGACTTTTAGTTGGATGAAAGTGAAGGATGAAGGTGAGTTGATATTGTACAAACTAGGCAGGTTTTCACTTTCTGTATGGTTGTAAACATATACTTCGGAGTAATGCCATAAATGCATTTTTAACTATTTCGCATGATTGCTGTGTTGGGTTTTAAATTCTTTTTAGCCCACCATCTATTCAAATAGATGGTGGGTTATTCAAATCGCCCTGCGTCCGTGGTCCGTCCTCTGTCCGTCCGTCCGTAAACAATTCTTGTTACTGCTATTGCTGGAAAAGTACTGGATGGATCTTTCTCAAATTTCATTTGCAGTTTCCCCTTGGTCCCTAGTTGTGCATTGTACCTTTTTTGGACTGATTCGAATTCAAGATGGCCGACAGGTGGCCATCTTGGATTTTTGATGTAAAAGTTTGTTATCGCTATTTCTTGGAAAGTACTGGATGGATCTTTCTCAAATTTCATATGCAGGTTCCCTTTGGTTCCAAGTTGTGCATTATATCTTTTTTTTGGACTGATCCGAAATCAAGATGGCTGACAGGCAGCCATCTTTGATTTTGAGAGTAAAATCTTGTTACTGCTATATCTGAGGAAGTACTGGATGGATCCTTCTGATATTTCATAGATATTGGTTTCCCTTGGTCCCTAGTTGTGCATTGTACCTTTTTTGGACTGATTTGAAATCAAGGTGGCCCACAGGCAGCCATCTTGGATGTCGTCAGTAATACAGCACAAGCATATTGTCCATATGTAACTGACTGCTATCTAATAATACTTTGGGATCTTTTTCAAATGATATTTGCTAATAGGTGTTTAATAAAAATATCTTGTGCCATCATTGAGTACATTCAATGAAGACCAGTTCATGAACATTTACAACACCTGTAATACACAAAAAAAATAAACAAATCTTCAAGAACTGAAAACAGATCCTCAAATGGTGGGCGCCAAGATCCCTCTGGGATCTCTTGTTTTTATCTGAATAGTGTTGTCACTTTGCTAACAATTTTGTATAAACCTTTTTAAATGAAACTAATATCTTGTTACCTTGTGAAACTTTGTAGAGAGGATGACAATGATAAAAGTGAAGATGATGAAGAAGGAAGAATGGACTTCTCTGTAAATATGGCCGCTTTAGAACGACAACGAATTAAGGATCAATTCTTGGCTGCAGAGCATGGTAAATTGAGGCAATATAGCTTGTGGCAGCAAGAATGAGGGAAAAAAGATAACATGAAGTTAAAGGCATTTATAATTTTCAATAATTGTGATAAAACAATCTTTAATAACAGAGGTTGTAAAACTTGAATGTTTGAGATTAATCTTATTAATACCTTGTTTCCACATAGAATTGTAGATTGTTGAAATTATCAAAACAGGACTATTTTATATGATTTGAACACTGAATATATAAACAGGAAGTGATGAGGAGAGTGACCAGGAGAGGGAGTGGGAGGCACAACAGATCAAGAAAGGAGTTACAGTAAGTGACCTGTTGTCAACCAATGATAAATCAACTTCTTAGTCTTGGCTACTTATGGCTTGAAACTGGAAAGTGACAGTTTTCAATTAATGACAAGGGTACATATATGAACGTTGCCTGAAAATGAATACTCTTGTAAAATGTATGATGCAGCATTCTGATTTTGGGACACAAGTGAATAGTAACCATGGAATGGAAAATTGATGTTTATTTAAGGAATGGGAGCAAATTTTCATCCTCCTTCAATACCACTGTAGAGCTTTTAAATTTTTTTATAGAATGCAAACAATTTTTAAAATTTATTTTTGTTTGAAATTGGCATGAACTTCCATTTGTTATTAAACACAATTTGGTTTACAATATTGTCAGGTTTGCATTCTTATCTGCTCCACATGAAGACATGATTTATTGATTGATATTACTGACATGTACAGATTAGTTGGTGGAGTTGAAGGATTTCTTACATTTTGAAACTTAGCTGGGCAGCTGTGACCTAGTGGTCCTTCAGCAGTGATTATTTCTAGATTGTACTCTCTGAGTGGGAAGTTTTATACTTGGGACTTTGATAATAAATTTCCATTCAGAACAAAAACTCAAAATTCTATGGTAGTTAGTACATATGAATTTTGGTGATCATGTGAAATGCTTTGTTCAGGTACTTTGAAAGTGACCTTTATAATATACAGTTATATGGTTAAAAGTTGGAAACAGACAGTATATATGTATAATCTGTGAAGGTGATTTAAGACATCTCTGTCAGCTGTTAGGGTAATACAATCTTACATGGGTCTGTATACCATGTACAGAGATCTCTCAACCCTAGTGTAAGTATATATCTGGTCAACACCAGGCTTGGAATAGACCCAAGATTTATTATTTCTCTCATAGATTTAAAAAAAAAACAGTATCAGGTTGTAAGTTAGGAAACATCCAATGTCAAAGTCCCATGAAATGTGTGTTGAAATGGATGATGTTATCAATTTGTAACATGGTCATGCTACATAAAATGATGACATTACCCTGTTGTAAGTAATGTCATATCACATGCCAGCTGTCCTTCCCTACCCCATGTGAGATGCTTTCTTGTCCCTATCAACAAGGGGAACATTCAGTAAGGTATGTGAGAAAATTCTCACTTTTCTGATGACATATAAACTTATGATAAAACCATGGAATCCAGATGTAAATGCTCCATCTTCCTATGTCATTTGCATTAACCTTCCTTGATGGGGCTCTATTAAATACTGTTGGGTATCCATCTTTGATTCCTTCATGATCTTCACGACCAAAGACAACCAGTATGTTTACTCTTTCCCACTCTGTTGGAATTTCTTATGAATGTGAGAAAATGTTCTCTTCATAAACTATTTGTTATAGCCTCTTTTAACATTGTTATCAGGTTGGACAGCCCGTGGAGACCAAAGCAGAGGATCAAGAAGTGTCTGATGATGGAACAAGTCAAACTAATGGCTACACGTATCAGTCTACCAACAACGTCACATTCCAACCTTTCACTGCCATGTCCAAAACCAGCAACCTCACTGATATTAACATGGATGTCATCAAAAAACGTCTTAAAGAAAGGTCTTTAATGTTTGATAATTTCAATTTTTTGAAAACTTTTGTCTTTCCATTATGATTATTTAAACTTTTACTACTGGCAATTACATATATATATTTGACTTCAGCATTGATCATTGATGTAGTAGCGTCCCAGTTCAGCATTGATCATTGATGTAGTAGCGTCCCAGTTCAGCATTGATCATTGATGTAGTAGCGTCCCAGTTCAGCATTGATCATTGATGTAGTAGCGTCCCAGTTCAGCATTGATCATTGATGTAGTAGCGTCCCAGTTCAGCATTGATCATTGATGTAGTAGCGTCCCAGTTCAGCATTGATCATTGATGTAGTAGCGTCCCAGTTCAGCATTGATCATTGATGTAGTAGCGTCCCAGTTCAGCATTGATCATTGATGTAGTAGCGTCCCAGAAGAAAATAGTGGTTATTTATAGGTAATATTGTTTTTTCAGTCTCATTTATGTGGAAATGGATTGACCTGATTTTAGTTAATTATTGTAACCTGTCTGTAATGACTTTTTAAATAGAACAGAGTTTTGTACATTACAGGTTTAATCCATGAATTCAGGGCATAAATATCTGATAATATCTTCCATAGTGTTAATTGCTAGTATGTACTTTACAAATGTTTATAGGCTTGGCAACAAGATTTGTCAGATTTCAGCCAAAGTAAGTTTTTTTATTTAGACTTGATTCAATGGAGGAGGTCAGCCAGCGTCACACACAGGAACGGGATACACTGGTCGCTGACATCGATGATGCTGATCAAACCACTGTCACATGCGAAGGCAGTGTTGATTCATTGGAGAAGCGATATCGCTTCTTCCAAGAAATGAGGGGGTATGTGAGAGACTTGGTTGAATGTCTCAATGAGAAGGTGGGTTCATAATGCCTGTTAAATGTCTTATTGTGATATTGTTGCCCATTTTCACAAATTCAATTGTATGTTGTGCAGCATTTTCTGCTTGTAAATCCTTTACCAGACTGGTTATTGATAGGGACAGATGGCTGTCATTCTTTATAGGGAAGGTAGATTAATCTCCCCTTATTATATTGGCAGTCACCCTGTCAAGTCCAGGGTGATGAAGGATTACATAAAGGATATGCCATTTTTTTTTTTGCCATAGGACAACTTGACATTGTGAAGACGGTTGTGCTTCAGTCATGAACGGTTGTTTGATGCTTTTGGAAACCTTTTTGAAAAATATATGAGTCCCAGTAAAAATTCTGTCTAGTGTCATTGAAACTACTTGGAAGAAATTTGTAATTATAGTGATATATTTTTGCTTGAACGAAAGCAAAATTAGAAATAAACCAAAGGGCCAAGTGAGGTTATGCCATGCCGCAGCGGCCGCCGTCCGTCCGCCGTCGGTCCTGCCGTCTGTCCGTCCTGCATCCGTCAACTTTTCATTTAAACAACTTCTTCTGATATACCGAAAGGCGTAGAATTATCATATTTGGCTGGAAGGTTTCTTTGGTGAAGCCCAACAAAGTTTGAGTTCAAATGTGTTAAAACCTTTAAATAACATCTTCCAAAATACCGGAAGGCCTAGAATCATTAAATTTGGCTGGAAGGTTCCTTTGATGAAGCCCATCAAAGTTTGCAAAAAGAAATGACCTTGACCCATATTCAAGGTCAAAGAGGTCAAATGTGTTAAAACCTTTAAACGACTTCTTCCAAAATACTGGAAGGCCTAAAATCATTATATTAGACTACTATGTTCCTCTTTTGTGTTCTACAAAGTTTGCTTAAAGAAATGACCTTAGCAAATCTTCAAGGTCACAGGGGTCTAATGTGTTAAACATTTAACTCATTTCTTCCGAAATATTGAAAAGCCTAGAATCATTATATTTGGCTAGTATGTTCCTCTTTGGTGTTCTACAAAGTTTGCTTAAAAAAATGACCTTAGCAAATCTTCAAGGTCACAGGGGTCTAATGTGTTAAAACATTTAACTCATTTCTTCTGAAATATTGAAAAGCCTAGAATCATTATATTTGGCTAGTATGTTCCTTTTATGAAGTCCAAGAAAGTTTGCAAAAAGAAATGACCTTGACTCATAGTCAAGGTCACAGGGGTCAAATGTGTTAATCGTTGAACATATGCATAGATATATTTCTGTTTGTCATAAAGATCCAGGTGAGCGATACAGGCCCTCTGGGACAAATGTCCATTTTGATGGCAGCCTTTTCATATTGTTTGGGTTAAGATTTTGTAATGGATGGGGCTTTGAATTCTGTGCTGTCTGGTAGATTGGCTTTGTTATTTATTGTGAAACAATCTAAGAATCTGAGTGATTTCGAAGTCTTGTACTCTTACTTTTGTAATCTACATTTTGAGAACCCATAAATCTATTTGTAATGGAATAGATATACTGACAGTTCACAATTACTGTAATTTGGTTTAGGAATTATAACTGATTGGAACCTCACAGAAATGTCAGTTTATGCAATAAAATGTAGTTTTTATAGCCCCTACAAAATCTGAAGGAATGAAGGTAATAATTCATGTAGAACATAGTTAAACATTGTACAGATAATGTTTGATATAAAAATATTACATGCAGAAATCTGTTTTTGCATGAAAATAAGAAAACATTAGGAATTAGTCATTGGTAAAAGACACAGAGTAATTGTGGCTTTACTTGTCAATTTATAAGAATACAACAGTTTGCTGCAGGAAAATAATTGGATACTTCACAAGAAACTGAATGACCTACCAGTAATTACCAAACATTTACCGCACTAGAAAACCAAAATTCACACTATAGAAATAGGAAATGAGTACAAACAATATTAAAACTTGCTGAATATCTGATAATAAGGTACATTGATTCTATATAACAGGTACCCATTATCAATGACCTGGAGACAAGGATGTTGAATCTGTTGCGGCGCCAGTCAGAGCAGTTGGTATCCCGAAGACAGCAGGATGTGCGCGATCAGTGTCAGGACTACATGACAAGTCGGTATCCATCTACAGTCCACTGATGTGTATGTCCCTCATGGTTAAATATTTCCCCACCAAATATTGTGTCAGAAAGTTGTGTTATTTTGCCTGTGTAGTCAGATATTAATCTAATTACTGAAACTTTGTTAAGGAGATTGCAAACATCTACCTGATTGTTTGAGAATGCAAATAACCACAATCTCTCACAATCTGATTTGAATGCTAACAACTATGTTACAATATTCTGGAATCAAAGTTTAGTATGATATTAAGCCATTTTGGTTTCAACAGCCAATATGATTTATACAGTCTGCAACTTTTAAAGATGAGATGTTCCTAAAAGACCTTAGCAAAGTTTTGTTTTTTATTTCAAATGAAATGAATTTCCTATATAAGTTGTATAAATTCCAGCTAATGTACAGTCATATAATGAGACTACAATGGGCCTGAATTGATAGAAGTCAAAATTGAATTACTTTACATCAAAGCCATCTTTATGTTGCAGCATTAACGGCATTGTATTTGGGAAGACGGTCATTTGTATTAGTTTGAGCATTTTCAACATAATGAATGTATTTTGTAATAAAAATAAAAGAATATTTAGAATTGAAAAAGAAACATTGTCCTTTCAAGGGTTCTTAATATAATGTCATTTTTGTTGTTCAAAATTGAAAAAAAAAATCTGTTATTGAAAAGAAAATTTTGTAATTTGTCGATCTGCTGCACTGTAACTTATAAAGAAATGGGTCAATGGTAAAAAGTGAAAGTCTCCTCCAACAAGTCTTCAGAGTTTGTCATTTGACTCATCAAAGTGAGTGTATATTACTAGGAGTACCATACTCCAGTTTAAGTATCTTTTCAGATTATACAGGGGTTGAATACAGTAGAATTCTTTCATAAAATTGTTCAACAGTAGCTTCACCAACCAAGGTTATGTACATGTTTTATTGTGTGAGAATCATTCATCAGAACCAACAGTAGAGATGTTTTTTGCTTTTTAGGTAAAGCCAAAATTGTGATGGAATCTTCTGAAGGACAGGCCAAACAGATGAGGACAGCAGAGCGTGAAGCTAGAAGGTACATTACCAACTTTCACATCAACTTTGCCTAGGAACATAGATTGTGCTTTGTTGGAAGCTTAATTCCCTGCTGAATACATTTTGTAAATAATTAAAGAACATTTCTTGTAAATACAATAAAATTCAGCATATGCCCTAAGAAAGACTTGCTGTGCAAAATTTTTAGATGTTATTTTTGGCTTACAAAGGTCCCGAAGACGAAGAAAGCGAGAAGTAAAGAACATACGAGGACATCATGAGGGCCTTTCATCTGATGATGAGGAAAACCAGTCAGAAATTACCAAATTCAATTTAGAAAAAGGTAAGATGTGCATCGGAAAACTATCTCGTGAAGTGTGACAAAATATTCTATATTTCTTAAACATGCAGCCATTTTTCATTTTCCAGAGTCCTCTTTTCATTTCTTTATACCTTTCTCTTGGTGCATCCACACAATGAATCAGTCGATGCCAGCAATGACAAGTATTTTGTACAGTCAACCACATAGTATGTAGTCAATATTAAAGCTTGACCAGGACTCTCTCAAGTGATGTTACACATGGCCAAATATCACCTATGGGATGAGTTGACAAGAAGTACTAAGCTTAAAAAGATTGTCGTGTATAACCAAATTTTCATCTCTATTTAACATTTCGTACGGAAATTTCAATGGGCTTGAGATGGCAACAAAACAAAAGTTTTAGTATATTATTATTGTATTAATTGCTTTTCGTTGCTGAGGTATTTGTTTTCTGGTCTATTTTCAGAGGTCATTGATACAGGTGTGGAAAGGCTGTTTGAAGATGTCGAGGATGATTTCAAGGAAGTGTCGTGTGTACGAGAACGATTTGAATCTTGGAAAGAAGAATATGGAGAGACTTACTCTGAAGCCTACATCGGACTCTGTTTACCTAAGCTCTTCAATCCATTTGTGCGACTTCAGTTAATTCAGTGGAATCCACTTGAAGTATGATCCGTTATATATTTTACCTGTTAAATGAATTGTGAAATTTCTTACCCAGGAAATTCATTCATGCCAGAGATGATGAAATGGTTGGATTTCAAATCACAACGTGTCCTGATATTGACTGAGGAATTTGTGTAAAAATCAGATGCAAATTTGAAAGATTCCAATGCTTGTTAGACAGTGAGTGAGTGACGTCGGTTGCGAACATCATTTTCAGTCACAGTTGATATGCAGCGTCATTTCTTTCTACAAAATGACTCTTCTTAATGGTTATTGCTAAAATCGGATTTATCATAAAAAGAAGTCAATTTTTTGAATTAGTGAATATTCATTAATGAATATGTAAAAAAAAACAGTGAAATTTGTTAACAATCATTTATTATAATAACAATTAATTTGACTTTGATTGAGTTGTGCTGCTGAAAATCAATCACGTGAATCAGTGATACTGTTGTTTCCCCCCTTAAAAGTTCTGCTACAGGTGAGATTAGAAAGATTTGTGAAGGTTTGACTTTGTAATTGCCCAGGACTTACTTTAAAACTTAGCTCCAAGTTTTTAATATGTAGTGTGATTGAAGATATACAAATTCAGGTATTGATGTCATAGGGTTTCACAATATAATCTGAAGAAAATAGACAATGGGGTAACAATATTTACAGTTATGAAAGCATTTACAATATATTGCCACTGATGTGATTCTAGATAGGTGTACTTTGTTAATTCAGATTTCAAAGCAAAGATTTTGATATTTTAGGCAAATGGCCAGGACTTTGAAGATACCCAATGGTTTGAGACGTTGGTTTTCTATGGCTGTCAGCCTGAGGACACAGAGCAGGAAATGAACAATGATGACATCAAACTTTTACCGACCATTGTAGAAAAAATTATTGTCCCGCGAATAACAGGTATATATTGCTTTATTGTCTCTGGCATAAAAATTGACAACACCTTGTCTTTTAAGTGTACAAACATCAAGAGAATGGAAAATTTTTACTATAAATTGGAATATTGTAACTGGTGTAAAGACAAAGAAATAGTAGAGTGGGCTTTTGAAAGTTAGTAAACACAATGAGGTTGAAACAGTATAGAATATATATCTCTACCAAATGCTTCTGTAATAGTGTTAGCAGAGACGGTATGGGACCCACTGTCTACCACTCAAACCTCACGTCTCGTCAACATGATCCAGCGTATCATCAGGGACTATCCATGTGCTCACCATTCAAACAGATCCATGCAGGTATGTGATAACTTAAAAGTTAAATCATCGTATTAAAAAATGGAATGCTTAGAAACTCTTTGCTCAGATTTTACAAATAACTGTTCAAAAGTTTTACAAATGTTGAGAAAGATGTAGTAACTCATGTACACTTAAAAGAATTATACTTGTTAACGTTGAATGTCAGGCAATAATGTATGAAGAAGACAAGTTTGGTTGGACTAAACTTAGTGATGTACACACCCAACAATCAGTGTGTATAATCTCTCACAAGAAGTTTTCTACTTTACAGAACTTACTACATGCTGTTGTGAAACGACTGCAGAAAACCTTGGATGATGATGTCTTTATGCCTCTCTATCCAAAATCGTATGTTATCATATATTCGATGTTGAATGATCTTTTGAAAAACTGAGTTTTTTTTTTCTTCAAACTTATTTCGTTAAAACAAAGAGATTTTGAATTGTAAAAAATCCTACAATATAGCCTTCCAACAACATTGTTGATAGTGAGTGAAACAGATCTTATACAATGATTGATTAATGCAAATAGATAATATATAAATGATAGTAATAATTTTGTTTTCCAGTGCAATAGAGAATCGATCATCTGGGGCCGCTGTGTTCTTCCATAGGCAGTCCTGGACTTGTATAAAGGTTTACACACATCTAGTCAAGTCTGAATAATGGATTTACCTCAAAATGAAGGCGTAAATTTAATCTTGTATCTGTATAGAATTTTCGAAATCGAATATATTGATGCATTCAAATTTTATAATGGTGGTATTATGCATGAAAAACATAAATAAAAAAGCAATTAAAAATCAATTCTGTTCACATTAGTTCTTTTCCATTTATTCAGATTTCACAGCGATACATGATCATTCTTCTGTGTGTATTACTGACATCTCTATTTTTCCATTTCAGTTACTAGGCAGTATTATGAGTTGGCATGGTATTATATCGACCAGCATTCTACAATCCTTAGCTCTAGATGGCCTTCTCAACCGCTACGTTATCCTTGGGCTTTGTAACTCTGTTTTGAACCAAGAAACTATACAGAAATGTCACTCGGTGAGTCATGAAAATGCTAAATATTGGCATTGATAAATGCTATATAGATGGAAAATGGTGATATTTTTATTTGATGATAAGTTACGATGCGGTAACATTCAGTTCTGATGTTTTCATAAGCAAGTGTACAACAAGCATTAGTCAGAATGTTCTCTTCAGTCTAAAATAAATTTATTTTCAGATGATAAGCTGTAAGCATTGTTACCAGTTCAGATTAAAATCTGTAGATGTCATACTACCAAAGATCAGATTAATAGACTTGCCAAGTCTGATCAGCTTTACCAAATGTTATCAAATAGGTAATGACTAGGGATAAATATTCGGCATGTTTCCAGATTGTCTCTACATTCCCAAAGGAGTGGTTTACCGGCCTGGACGAGGAGAAGACTTTACCCCAGCTGGAGAATCTCTGTAAATACTTGGTGTCTGCAGCTAAAATCCTCGAAAAGGAGATAGCTGCATCCAAAGACATGGATAAGAAAGACCATAAGTATGTATATATTGTGTAAACCTTTTCTTTGTTACAATAAACTTTCACTTAAATTTCAAAGTTAAAGTATAAATCGGACTCCTCTGTATTTGTGGCAGTCATTATGTATATCAGTCAGTGTTTCAATCATGTTTTGCATGTAAGTCTCTTTTGAGATGGATATCAAGAACTCATTATAAGATTCAATTTGATTAAAAGTATTTGTTGAAATTTACAGAGACATGGTAAAACAGATCAACAAAATGCTAGTAAATGTTCATGCCCTGAATCATGCACTGAGCCTTCAAGTCTGATGGGAATTTATCATAATGGAAGGATCTACTGAACTGTGATGTGTGTTTACTGGACTGTGACAAGCATTAGCATACTGTCTTGTGTTCACTGAACTATGTACATGTTTGTCGTGTACTCATCAAACTGTGACATAGTGTCCTCTAACTGTAACATAAATTCATGACTGTTATTTTTTTCTTTCTTGAATTATGTCTGGTGTTCTTCCAGCTGTGTTACAAGTTCACTGAACTGTGACATATCCTTTAAAACAATGACTTCTATTAATGAAAATGGCGAAACACTATTACTTTAACTGTAACTTATAGTTTAGAAATGTTACTGTAACTTGTGATTCAGAAAAGTAGTGATTCCGGGCAAATTTGTTACAAGTCATTCTTGATGATCCCACTGGATGTGAGAATAAAATGACTTGATAAAATATGTCTCTTGAAAACTCTTCAGCCAACAGTAAGGAAATCTCGATACCGAAAAGTGAGGTGTTGGAGTGGTTTTTGGGGTTGTTGTTGGGGGTTGTTCTCAACCTCAAAGTGACTTTTTTTAGTGTTTCTCAAGGAAGTTCTGGACTGTCTCGTGTCTCTCTACATCTAAAGTGACTTTCTTCAGTGTCTCGTGAACTCTCTCCACATCCAATTCATGAATCAGGAAATTCAGTGGTATCTTGTGGACACTGAACTGACCTGCTCTTTTCAAATACATGTGTATCAGGGATATCAGTTTGATTCCAGTACATCAGAAAGTGATCTCTTAATTAGGAATGTACAGTACAAGTTTATGCCATTGTTTAAAAGCATCTTGTTTGAAACTTGATCTATTTAAGGACCAGAGAAAGCATTTGTCTTCCTATAAATCGTGTTTTAAATTCTGACAAGATTTCACGATAAGAATATATTGAAGTAAATCCAAATGTACATTTGCATTAATTTTAATATTGTACATGTATTATAAATTGATATACCATGTCTCCAGGTCCTGTCTGGAATGTCATTTGTATCCTAAAGAAAATAGTAAAAAATGTTGCTTGTTGTTTCAGTGTTTGTTGATGACTGTTGGAAATCACTGACTTACTGTGTACAGTATAAGCCTTAGTTTTATTGTTGTCTAAGTAGGTCTCTATGTAGATAGTGTTCATTTATGTATCACACGTCACCTTCATTTCAACAGCAAAGGTCATGGAAGTTCAAATTTTTGCAATAATTTTTTGTCCAGGTTACAACTTTTAAAAATACTAAAGAGGAAAGTTGCTGTACACTCGAAAAGTGCAATGCCTTGTCCTTGGATCATAGCAACTTCCACCTCAAGTTCAAAGGTCAAATAAAAGCAAACCTTTAAAGAAGAACAGTGAATTTCAAAACTTTTATTCTCACACACCTAATTTATTTCAAAAGCTAATGCTTATGTTTGTTAAAACAAAACTCTCCTAGTTATCCAATTGAAAATATTTAACTAAAGATGAATTCAAATTGGGCTGTAGAAATAAGACTGTGTAAAGTTGTGTGTAAAATTTAACAGAGTTACTCCCCTTCTAATATATGTAGTTATCTCTCTCTTTATATAGCATTTTGCCAAATATGCAAATTATTTTTGACCACAGCTAGGATGTTGCATCAAAAATATAATTGAAATCAACAATTTTTAAGGGTATGTGGTTAGGTGGTGGGCTGTTTACATAGCCAATCCACAAAGGTTCCAACCGTTGAATTTTTAAAATACATTTTTTATTGCAAAATTAAAAAGAAAAAAATTGTGCTTCTTGGTACTTGAACTCACCATGCTTATGTTGATTGTCTGATGGCTAACCAACTTGACTATTTAAGCTAGATGACACTATGGAGCATTTCTTGTATTTAACGTTAACATTGAACAGATTAAAACAATACTGCACAACTCTTTCTTATCTTTTATTCTTATTGTATAACAAAGCTTGTCAATGTATAAAGAAACTCTTCCATTTGTAACAGTACTAAATGTATCTCGTATTTCAGTGTGATATAAGAATATTATGAATTGGATATCTTCTGATCTATATTATATGTCCCTGCATTTCTTTTTGATTCTGATTACATTGGATTAGTTAAAACGTTCATAAGTTGACAAAACAAAAACATATGGATAAACTTTAGGGTCACATATTTGTGCAAATTACTATCCAATGTAATAGTAATTATATTACATTAATACAATGTTAGTATCTTTAAATATTTTATAATATTTTGTAATACCGTGTATCAGAAAGTTATATCCCTGTATTATTCATCATTAGATTGCTGCAAGAGGTCTCAAATTCCATATATCTATTAATGGAGGAAAGCTTGCTACACAGACCATTTTTATAAAACATACAAACGATAATTTGTATATGAATAAATGAATCAAAATGTTTTGTTGCATTAAATCAGGAAAAAAAAAACGAAAATGAAAGTACTTTGAGGTCACCTCCACGGTGACCAGTCTCGAAGCAACACCTTTGCATGATGCATGCATGGAAACAAAAGAATAATAGATTGATTGCGAGATCATTCATTATTTTGAAATACTATACTGACCAGAAACAGAATGGATGCACTGACAGTCAAAAGGTAAAGGATACAAGTAGGATGAAAAAAAATTACAAGAAAAAATAATTCATGCATCCATGTACATAGTTCAGTACCTTTAATATTACTACTATGCTGATTTGTAAATTGTGATAAAATATACATAATGTTAAAGTCATTTGATTGATTTCTTTATCTGTACTAGATATCAAATTTCATTTTTTAATTCACAAATTTTATATATATATTTTTTTTTTCAATACATGTACATTAATGTAAAATCAATAGTTACAATGAAAGTGGATTCTATCATACCTGTTCAGGTGCATGACAATCCAAGCATTCAACATCAGAATATCCTCACGGCATGAAATATATGGATAATCCATTGGATCCCTCAAACTTGAGTGGAACATGGAGGACAGCTTTGCTGGAGTTTTTCGAATTGGTTGTGTCGATAGCTGAGTAGTGATAGACTCTATTGAGTCCTAGAAGAAAAGAATTCACTTTCTGGAGCCACTTTTCTTTGAAAACAACATCTTGTACTGCAAATTCCAATCATTGCAACCTTGCAGTGTTTCCTGCTGATATGGGGATTATCCTTTTTAGCCCACCATCATCAGATGGTGGGGTATTCAAATCGCCCTACGTCCGTGGTCCATCCATCCTTAAACAATTCGTGTTACCGCTATTTCTGGGAAAGTACTGGATGGATCTTTCTCATATTTCATATGCAGGTTCCCCTTGGTCCCTAGTTGTGCATTGTACCTTTTTTGGACTGATTTGAAAACAAGATGGCTGACAGGCAGCCATCTTGGATTTTGGAAGTGAAAGATTGATCATTATTTCTGGGAAAGTACTGGATTGATCTTTCTCAAATTTCATATGCAGGTTCCCCTTGGTCGCTAGTTGTGCATTGTACCTTTTTGGACTGATCTGAAATCAAGATGGCTGACAGGCAGCCATCTTGGAGTTTGAAAGTAAAAGATTGTTACCGCTATTTCTGGGAAAGTACTGGATGGATCTTTCTCAAATTTCATAGGCAGGTTCCCCTTGGTCCCTAGTTTTGCATTGTACCTTTTTGGACTGATCTGAAATCAAGATTGCTGACAGGCAGCCATCATGGATTTTGAGAGTAAAAGATTGTTACCACTATTTCTGAGGAAGTACTGGATGGATCCTTCTGATATTTCATAGGTATTGGTTTCCCTTGGTCCCTAGTTGTGCATTGTACTTTTTTTGGACTGATTTGAAATCAAGTTGGCCCACAGGCCGCCATCTTGGATGTCGACAGTAATATAGCACAAGCATATTTTCTTCGATATTCTATCATATTGATTCAAGACCAAGTCCATTATCCACCTGTAACTGACTGCTATCTAATAATACTTTGGGATCTTTTTCAAATGATATTTGCTAATAGGTGCTTAATAAAAAAATCTTGTGCCATCATTGAGAACATTCAATGAAGACCAGTTCATGAACATTTACAACACCTGTAACAAACAAAAAAAAATAAACAAATCTTCAAGAACTGAAAACAGATCCTCAAATGGTGGGCGCCAAGATCCCACTGGGATCTCTTGTTAGCCCACCATCTATTCAAATAGATGGTGGGTTATTCAAATCGCCTTGCGTCCGTGGTCTGTTGTCCGTCCGTAAACAATTCTTGTTACCGCTATTTCTGGTAAAGTACTGGATGGATCTTTCTCAAATTTCATATGCAGGTTCCCCTTGGTCCCTAGTTGTGCATTGTACCTTTTTTGAACTGATTCGCATTCAAGATGGCCGACACCTTCTGTATCTGTCTTTTTAATACACCTTCTGTATCTGTCTTTTTAATAAACCTTCTGTATCTGTCTTTTCAATACACCTTCTGTATCTGTCCTTTTAATACACCTTCTGTATCTGTCTTTTTAATACATCTTCTGTATCTGTCTTTTTAATATACCTTCTGTATCTGTCTTTTTAATTCACCTTCTGTATCTGTCTTAAATACACCTGTATCTGTCTTTTTTGAAACGCCTTCTGTATCTGTCTTTTTTAAAACGCCTTCTGTATCTGTCTTTTTAATACACCTTCAGTATCTGTCTTTTTAATACATCTTTTGTATCTGTCCATTTAATACACCTTCTGTATCAGTCTTTTTAATACATCTTCTGTATTTGTCTTTTTAATATACCTTCTGTATCTGTCTTTTTAATACACCTTCTGTATCTGTCTCTTCAATACATCTACTGTATCTGTCTTTTTTATACATCTTCTGTATTTGTCTTTTTAATATACCTTCTGTATCTGTCTTTTTAATACACCTTCTGTATCTGTCTTTTTAATACATCTTCTGTATCTGTCTCTTCAATACATCTACTGTATCTGTCTTTTTAATACACCTTCTGTATCTGTCTTTACTACCGATGAAGGGAAGGTGTGAACGTTTCAAGTACTGTAGTACTGAACAAAGTATTGATAGTATTGTATTGAAGTACTTCACCAATCGAATTCCTTAAATTTATGCAACAAGCTCTCTGATTGGCAGAGCCAAGTCTAGATCGATTGTGGGTGGAGCCAGGTGAAAAAATACTGTGCAGACATCGGCATTTTACAAACACTCGACTGTCGCGAGAGGTTAATTGGAAGAGTCCAAGTCACAGGTGGCTTCAGATCAGACCTAATTGGGTTGTCCCATTTGTTTCGTTCTACACCCAATGATACTTTTCTTTTCCATCGATGGTACAACGAGAAAACGAAAGTTACTCAGTACTAAACTAATTTACGTACAAAATATATATCAACAGGTTAGATCACTGGGACCGGAGAATTCATAACATCTTAACAGTGAATGTAGTCATATAGTCATTCTGTACTAGTTTTATTTATTTATTTATTTATTTTTTTGAAAGGGGGGGGGGGGGGGGGGGGTTGGCTCAAAATTTTTCGGTTTAAGCCCAAGCTCTATTATATGTAACAAAGAATTACGAATTACCTGGGACCTCCTGATATATGCCGATAATTCATACTGCATTAAAAAATAAAGGAATTCTGTGGTCCCATATATTTTTTATTTTATTTTTTATCTTTCCATCGAAAATTATACATATCCGCAACATGTGAAAAAACTTTGAAGTTGGTTGGGCGGAATATCTAGAGCATTTACTACTGCAAGTTCCAGAAATTCTGACACAAGTCGGGTATATTTGCCCGAAGCCTCTGTCTCATGACATTGAATACATATTCAGTTACGTTGTATTCCGGGGAATAAGGCGGCTGAAAAACCAGGGACACGCCATATTCTTTCAGCATATTTCTTAAAATGCGCTCTCCCTGTCTATGGTGATGGAATCCACAATTATCCATCACAACCACATCGCCTTGTACAAAAACAGGATTCCCCATATCGTTCGTATCGGACATAATTTCGTCGAAGAAAATTTTGCGTACTGTTGCCGTCGTCGGACATTTTTCCAGCGATTACTTAGTACTTGTTATGTAACTGATAGTGTACATTAACTCCGCCTACCGGAACAAATTGGGTGTCAGATCAACTATTCAGGTTGTCTAAACTCCGCCCCCGACCAATCACAGAGGTCGTTGTATACTTGACTCGATTATTTGAATACTTCAATACAATAGTATCAATACTTTGTTCAATACTATAGTAAGTGTGTCGTTCACACCTTCCCTTCATCGGTAGTAATACACCTTCTGTATCTGTCTTTTTTGAAATGCCTTCTGTATCTGTCTTTTTTAAAACGCCTTCTGTATCTGTCTTTTTAATACACCTTCTGTATCTGTCTTTTTAATACACCTTCTGTATCTGTCTTTTTAATACACCTTCTGTATCTGTCTTTTTAATACACCTTCTGTATCTGTCTTTTTAATACACCTTCTGTATCTGTCTTTTTAATACACCCTATGTATGTCTTTTCAACATTTTCATGCTTACTGATTAAGACTTTTTCACCAAATATTTACCAAACAGATGGAGGAAGATGTAGGACAATAGGTAATCACAAAAGGTCACAATGAGGCTTTGTCAGGTGATCTAAAAAGTTAATAGTAAGAACGAAAACAAGTGAAGTTAGTTACCTGCCCCACCATAAATTTTGCTATCCCAAACATGTTTTTGGTTGTTGATGTGTTTTAAAGAATGAATTTGGGTAATGCAAAAATATTTAATGAAAAAATCTCAATAAATAAGAAAATACTGAAAGGATGCATTTTACCATACTGGTAATGAGAAGTCCCCATGCCCAACCTAAATTTCCCTGCCTCAGACATATTTGAAAAATAATTTGAAATGAAAACAATCAACAAAATCAGTGAATTAGGATGAAAATAGCAAAATGTGTCACTTGACCTTAATAGCCAAGTGATTAAGATCAGCTAACATCCGTGGTATGTTAACAATTCCTTTTAATGCCATTTCTTAGGAAGTGTTGAAAGGAAAATTCCCAAACTCGATTTCTAGGTTTCCTCAGTCCCTAATTGTGCTGGTTTAATATTGAAATTGACCAGAAAAACGACATGCTGACTGGTAGCCATCTTGGATTTTGACATTTGAAGTTTGTTATCGCTATTTCTCGAGAAGTACAGAAAAGATATTTCTGAAATATGATGTGTAGGTTCCACTTATTACCTAGTACTGGAAAAGTAAGTAAGTAAGACATATTCAAGAAACACCAATCATAATTAAAAAAAACAATACTACATTTCTTAACAAGAAAAAAAGGCTTTAGAATACACTAACAATTAGTATATAATCAGGCACTCCTTAGAGTCATACACACAAACTGAATTCATGCATCCAAAATTTCACTCTACTCTTCTACTCCACAAACATGACAATCCCAGTATCAACAGTACTGTAAAACATACTAAAACAGTTGTACTTGTTCACAGATTCACAATTTTAACAGTCTTGTAATTATTTTGAAAAATGCTGATTGAGTCTATATACTGTGATATATAATGACAAGAGGCCCAGAGGGCCTGTATCGCTTACCTGCATCTTTATGACCAACAGTACTATATCTGTGCATATGTTCCACGTTTAACACATTTGACACCTGTGATTCCAGGCTTTTTGATATTTCAGAAGAAATTGTTAAAACGTTTTAAGACATTTAACACCTGTGACCTTGCAGATTTGTCTAGGTCATTTTTTTACGCAAACTTTGTAGGACACCATAAGAGGAACATAGTAGCCTAATATAATGATTCTAGGACTTCCAGTATTTTGGAAGAAGTCGTTTAAAGGTTTTAACACATTTGGCCTCTGTGACCTTGAATATGAGTCAAGGTCATTTCTTTTTGGAAAATTTGTTGGGCTTCACCAAGGGAACCTTCCAGCCATAAATAATGATTCTAGGCCTTCTAGTATTTAAGAAGAAGTTGTTTAAAGGTTTTAACACATTTGACTTCTGTGACCTTGAATATGGGTCAAGGTAATTTCTTTTTGCAAACTTTGTTGGGCTTCATCAAAGGAACCTTCCAGCCCTTTGGGCCAGGTAAGCTAAAAATATGTTTAACATGTATACTCAACATCTCAAAGTTCCTTTAAAATATTTGTGAAATTCAAAACAGAATGTGAACAATTTTAAATATCTTTATATATTCAGTCAAAGTTCAATTGTATTTTGACTGGGTAAATCTTTAACATTAGAATGGTTCTAATGAGTAATGACACCACAGTAGATAATATTCCTCATGACATCGCAATAGATAATATTTTTGATGACAACACAGTGAAAGTTCCTGATGACATCACAGTGAATAATGTTCCTATTGAAATCACAGTGGATAATGTTCCTGATGACATCACAGTGGATAATGTTCCTGATGACGTCACAGTGGATAATGTTCCTGATGGCATCACAGTGGATAATGTTCCTGATGACATCACAGTGAAAGTTCCTGATGACATCACAGTGAATAATGTTCCTATTGAAATCACAGTGGATAATGTTCCTGATGACATCACAGTGGATAATGTTCCTGATGACGTCACAGTGGATAATGTTCCTGATGGCATCACAGTGGATAATGTTCCTGATGACATCACAGTGAAAGTTCCTGATGACATCACAGTGAATAATGTTCCTATTGAAATCACAGTGGATAATGTTCCTGATGACATCACAGTGGATAATGTTCCTGATGACATCACAGTGGATAATGTTCCTGATGGCATCACAGTGGATAATGTTCCTGATGAAATCACAGTAGAAGTTCCTGATGACATTAAAGTGGATAATGCTCCTGATGACATCACAGTGAAAGTTCCTGATGACATCACAGTGAATAATGTTCCTATTGAAATCACAGTGGATAATGTTCCTGATGACATCACAGTGGATAATGTTCCTGATGACATCACAGTGGATAATGTTCCTGATGACATCACAGTGGATAATGTTCCTGATGGCATCACAGTGGATAATGTTCCTGATGAAATCAGAGTAGAAGTTCCTGATGACATTAAAGTGGATAATGTTTCTGATGACATCACAGTGGATAATTTCTTGATGACATCACATTTATGATATCACAGTGGCTAATACACAATTTATATTACCATGTAAGGCAAGTCAAAGTAACATACCAGTATTCCAAAGAATTCTTTTTAACTTACCATGCAACATATAAATTATCTTTCACTTGAATGATTAATTGCTGGACAGAAACAGCAATCATGTGACTTTGCTTGGTTTTCAAACCACCCTATACCAGCTTAAACCACCAAATTATCTGATGGCATCACACTGAAGTAACAAGTTTGAGCCATGGTCTGAGGATGTATTGTCTGATGGCATCACACTGAAGTAACAAGCTGGAGCCAAGGTCTGAGGGTGTATTGTCTGATGGCATCACACTGAAGTAACAAGTTTGAGCCATGGTCTGAGGGTGTATTGTCTGATGGCATCACACTGAAGTAACAAGTTTGAGCCATGGTCTGAGGATGTATTGTCTGATGGCATCACACTGAAGTAACAAGCTGGAGCCAAGGTCTGAGGGTGTATTGTCTGATGGCATCACACTGAAGTAACAAGCTGGAGCCAAGGTCTGAGGGTGTATTGTCTGATGGCATCACACTGAAGTAACAAGCTGGAGCCAAGGCCTGAGGGTGTATTGTCTGATGGCATCACATTGAAGTAACAAGCTGGAGCCATGGTCTGAGGGTGTATTGTCTGATGGCATCACACTGAAGTAACAAGCTGGAGCCATGGTCTGAGGGTGTATTGTCTGATGGCATCACACTGAAGTAACAAGCTGGAGCCATGGTCTGAGGGTGTATTGTCTGATGGCATCACACTGAAGTAACAAGCTGGAGCCAAGGTCTGAGGGTGTATTGTCTGATGGCATCACACTGAAGTAACAAGCTCAAACCATTGCCTGAGGGCATCACACAAAACAGTGGGCAGGGAGTTGATATCACGTAGGATAATGTAGAATGGGAAAGGAAAGTGGTCCATATAAGATTTAATCTCCGGCATCTGAAGAAAAGATCAACAATTGCTTGGAATAATGTCAATGACTGGACTGGCCTAAGTTTCATTAAAAGGTTGTCAGCACATTCAGGTTAGATATGAATAAATGGTGTACATCTAGCTATGAAAATTGAAAATAAATACATAGAAATTCAGAAGAACAGTTCTTGTGTTTCTATATAACAAATGAATCCTTAAAGAAATTAGTTTTGTAAAAAAAATGGAACTGCTAAATATCTAAATTTATATTACATGTCATGTACTTACTTATCAGCTCATCTAATGTAACTACTTAATCTTACCTGTCCAGCTTCCTTGAACACTGGTACTTTGATATCCAGTATAGAATCCTGAAAAAGAAATTAGTAAATACACCATATTTCCTGCAGTTGTCTATAACGAATGAAAGCGAATAGTTTTCTCTATTGGATCACCCAAAATGTGGCACTCTTGTGTTGGTAAGAGGTGCACATGCAGCTGGTGAGTTGGCCAGTTCAGGGCAGCGCACTTGCTAAGATGCTCCATTTTCTTTTTATTTTTGGACAATGTAGATTTGTATTATAATTATATTCAAGGATTGTTTCTAAATTAAGTAATTTTATATCAAGAAACTCTTCAACAATTTATCATATGTGTTAACTGATCATTAAGTAAGATCCTCAGCCTTGCTGTATATGCAAAATGTGATTTGATTATTGAATGAAGAATTAAATGGCATCAATTGTGTGCCATGGAGTCGGGACCCACTGTTTATACAAAATTGATTCCCCCCATCACACAAGAATGCTTCAGACCAAATTTGGGTAAAATCCATTGATTGCTACAGGAGAAATGGGATCTTAAAAGCTCTATTTCTCCTATTGGATCTCAGAACTTTTTGCCTTGTGGGCCGAGACCCACTATTCATATAAAATTGATTCAGACCAGGTGAGCTAAAACTTAAAAAGAGCTTCAGATATAAAGAGAAGGTGAAAAAAGAAGCATTACAATTCTAACCAAATTCAGTGATTTTTTAACTTTGACCCTTTAACCTTGACCAATCACTATCTTGTTTTTCAAGATATGACAATGACTAGGAATAGTACAGGATAGGACAGACATTGGTTACTATATGCACCCTGTATGGCAATAAAAAGGCAATAAAATACAACAATGCAGATTTCAGATGAAAAAAAAATACTTGGAACATTATGTAATATACACACAATTTGTTGCCTTTGAAATGATGTCCAAGGTTTTAACCACGAAAGGTGTCCTTGGTTTTAATGAAAGTTACTACCTATCAACATGCTTTGTCTGACCAGGAGTGGAAAATACAGTTGCTATTTACCTTATTTTCTGGATTGTCAATGATAACAAAGACAAGGAACAATCTGGCTTCTCTAGCCTGCCTTACAGCTGCCCTCACTGTCTCCATTCCCTCTACAAATAATCCCCTTCCATCAGACACGATCAAGAGCAGCTGTGAGGTGTCAGGATTACCCTGCATGCCCTGTTGGCTAGACCGTGCATCAACCATTAAACTTGTCATCTGCTTGAGAAGCTGTAAAACAATGTAATACTTTTTTTTATAATTTCATTTTGTATCAAACAATGAATATTATTTTGGACAATACTTCCTGATACCTATACAAACTTTAAAATTTCTGGTGAAAATTGTCTTGTAAAGTATTTGACTAATACATTCTTGTTTCGACAAAACATATCTTAACAACAACAATAACAAAGAAAAAAGAAAACAAAATTGAGAAAATATCTTATGATAGATAAATCAATCCGGGTTTATTTCTGCTCAATAAAATATTGAAATATTTGGGAATCTGTCTGAAATTATATACTATCTATCTTTTATCAATATTTTGATAATTCTGTGCAAAATCTACTACCTGAGCAATCTTGGTTTTCTTCTGCTCAAATGTAAAGTGTTGTAGAAGCCGAGCTCCTGACTGAGTAGTGAACTGTTCAGTGAAAGGATGGAGGAGACGAACACTTTCTCCAAAACTGAAAAAAACACAACTTTTATACAGCCATCTTAAATGTTTCCAGTAGCAAACTGAACTGCTGAACAGCTACATCAACAAATACTTCTATACTTTATATGAGTTCTTCTGATTTAGTTGATATCTTTAGACTGATCAGAATTATCATCATACAGCTGCCTACATAAATCATCAGTCTAGTGGTATACTAAAATTAGATTATAACCAACTGAATTTTATAGTCAACATATTTTTGTCTTTCAATCTGTCTGAAACAACTATATAATAGTCATTTAATTATGATAAGTTTTTCTCTACCAACCAAACAATTAAGTCCCCCATGTGTCATTTTTGACAAATTGACTAAAATACTCTAATATCTGATTCTCCAGACAGGTTGTATACATCCAATAGAGAACTAATTAAAGATAGGATGGTCATGGCTGCCTCACCTACAAATCCCAAGTTCTCCAGATTCCAACAAGGTTAAAGCATTAGCGATCAGTGCTAGTGATTCATATGCAAGCTGAAAAATAAGGTTTTGAACAAATATGAGGCTCCAATATAATTACTTGGAAAAAAGAGGAACAGCAAAAAAATGTTTAATTAAAATTCATTTATATTCTTGGCTTCAATGAAAGAAATAGTGAATCTCTGTTGGCCCTAACGCAGGAAACATCATCCAATGGGAGACTAAATAGAAACCATTCCAACCATCTTCTCCAATGGAGCATTCGTCACACAGCAAATCTATAATGTCATAACATAAAAGATCACTGTCATATTGTTGGTGGTAGAAAGTGGCTGAATTTCTGACCTCTATCGTGTAAGTAGATCTGTATGTAAAATACTCTTTTCATTGTTAAGGTATGTCAGATATTACAAAGTAGGAGGTAACAAAAACTGGCAAAACTGCCCTACAGAGCCACAACAAAGTGTACTATCTCTATCTTCATGTATTAAAACAGTGTCAAAGTATACCTGTTTGGAGTGATTATCAACCATACTCGACGAATCGTCAATAGCTAACATAATCTGGTACTGCCGTTTGCTTGGCTTGGTGCGACGTAGCCATATCTTGTCCTTACGGAACTGACTGGCAATGTACGGAATGACCTTCCTCATATTCAGCCTCTTTCCTGTTCTATAGTCACCCCTGAAAACAGAAATTTTCTTCATCTCATTATTGCATATTCATATAACCTATAGCATTGATGGGTATTTTTGTGACCTGAAAATGGACATGTTCCAGTATATGAGTTTTGAGATGCTGAATTGTATATTTTTCATGGACTTCATCACATTTTGTAACCATCCACACTTTCGTTCCAAGTACCACTGAGAGAAAAGGTCTTAAAATGACCATCCACATTTTTGGTCTCTAGTACCACTGAGAGAAAAGGTCTTAAAATGACCATCCACATTTTTGGTCTCTAGTACCACTGAGAGAAAAGGTCTTAAAATGACCATCCACACTTTTGGTCTCTAGTACCATTGAGAGAGAAGGTCCTAGAATGACCATCCACACTTTTGGTCTTAGTACCATTGAGAGAGAAGGTCCTAGAATGACCATCCACACTTTTGGTCTCTAGTACCACCGAGAGAGAAGGTCCTAGAATGACCATCCACACTTTTGGTCTCTAGTACCACTGAGAGAGAAGGTCCTAGAATGACCATCCACACTTTTGGTCTCTAGTACCATTGAGAGAGAAGGTCCTAGAATGACCATCCACACTTTTGGTCTCTAGTACCACTGAGAGAGAAGGTCCTCAAATGACCATCCACACTTTTGGTCTCTAGTACAACTGAGAGAGAAGGTCCTAGAATGACCATCCACACTTTTGGTCTTAGTACCATTGAGAGAGAAGGTCCTAGAATGACCATCCACACTTTTGGTCTCTAGTACCACTGAGAGAGAATGTCCTAGAATGACCATCCACACTTTTGGTCTCTAGTACCACTGAGAGAGAAGGAGAATGAATGAGAGAGAATGACCATCCACACTTTTGGTCTCTAGTACCACTGAGAGAGAAGGTCCTAGAATGACCATCCACACTTTTGGTCTCTAGTACCACTGAGAGAGAAGGTCCTAGAATGACCATCCACACTTTTGGTCTTAGTACCATTGAGAGAGAAGGTCCAAGAATGACCATCCACACTTTTGGTCTTAGTACCACTGAGAGAGAAGGTCCTAGAATGACCATCCACACTTTTGGTCTCTAGTACCATTGAGAGAGAAGGACAAAAGAATGCACAACCACACTTGTGGGGAGTAGTACCACCGAGAGAGAATGTCCTAGAATGACCATCCACACTTTTGGTCTCTAGTACCACCGAGAGAGAAGGTCCTAGAATGACCATCCACACTTTTGGTCTCTAGTACCACCGAGAGAGAATGTCCTAGAATGACCATCCACACTTTTGGTCTCTAGTACCACTGAGAGAGAATGTCCTAGAATGACCATCCACACTTTTGGTCTCTAGTACCACAGAGAGAGAAGGTCTTATAATGACCATCCACACTTTTGGTCTCTAGTACAAATGAGGGAGAAGGTCCTAGAATGACCATCCACACTTTTGGTCTCTAGTACAACTGAGAGAGAAGGTCCAAGAATGACCATCCACACTTTTGGTCTCTAGTACCACTGAGAGAGAAGGTCCAAGAATGACCATCCACACTTTTGGTCTCTAGTACCACTGAGAGAGAATGTCCTAGAATGACCATCCACACTTTTGGTCTCTAGTACCACAGAGAGAGAAGGTCTTATAATGACCATCCACACTTTTGGTCTCTAGTACAAATGAGGGAGAAGGTCCTAGAATGACCATCCACACTTTTGGTCTCTAGTACAACTGAGAGAGAATGTCCAAGAATGACCATCCACACTTTTGGTCTCTAGTACCACCGAGAGAGAGAAGGTCCACACTTTTGAATGAGAGAGAAGGTCCATCCACACACTTTTGGTCTCTAGTACCACTGAGAGAGAATGTCCTAGAATGACCATCCACACTTTTGGTCTCTAGTACCACTGAGAGAGAAGGTCCTAGAATGACCATCCACACTTTTGGTCTCTAGTACAACTGAGAGAGAATGTCCAAGAATGACCATCCACACTTTTGGTCTCTAGTACCACCGAGAGAGAAGGTCCTAGAATGACCATCCACACTTTTGGTCTCTAGTACCACTGAGAGAGAATGTCCTAGAATGACCATCCACACTTTTGGTCTCTAGTACCACTGAGAGAGAAGGTCCTAGAATGACCATCCACACTTTTGGTCTCTAGTACCACCGAGAGAGAATGTCCTAGAATGACCATCCACACTTTTGGTCTCTAGTACAACTGAGAGAGAAGGTCCTAGAATGACCATCCACACTTTTGGTCTCTAGTACCACCGAGAGAGAATGTCCTAGAATGACCATCCACACTTTTGGTCTCTAGTACCACTGAGAGAGAATGTCCAAGAATGACCATCCACACTTTTGGTCTCTAGTACCACCGAGAGAGAAGGTCCTAGAATGACCATCCACACTTTTGGTCTCTAGTACCACCGAGAGAGAATGTCCTAGAATGACCATCCACACTTTTGGTCTCTAGTACAACGGAGAGAGAAGGTCTTATAATGACCATCCACACTTTTGGTCTCTAGTACCACTGAGAGAGAAGGTCCAAGAATGACCATCCACACTTTTGGTCTCTAGTACCACTGAGAGAGAAGGTCCAAGAATGACCATCCACACTTTTGGTCTCTAGTACCACTGAGAGAGAAGGTCCAAGAATGACCATCCTCATTTTTGGTCTCTAGTACAAATGAGGGAGAAGATCCTAGATCAAACAGATCCAAATGCATTTTTTTTTTTTATATGAACCAGCATAAACACCTTTTTGGGTATCTGACACATAGTGAATTTTGTGGTATGGGATTGTACAAACACTTATCATATATTAAAATGGTATATTGTCTGACACAAATGGAAATATAACCTTGCGTAGAGAAAGAATGATACCAACTTGAGTTTAGTAGCCTGTGACGGCTCCAGAACCAGTCTTAGCTGTTCACACAGTTCCTGGGACAGACTAGCTGTCAATGCCTCATACTTGTGCCAGGCTTCTGCTGCAACACTCTCCTGGAATATACAGTTAATATAAAGCCATGAATATCACACTATCATAGATACTAGAAACGACAAATCATACAAATACAATCTATAGAAGTACTATATTGTAACAGTCTATAAATGAAACATCAGTAGTACCAGGTATTAGACAATACCGGATCATGTCAGACTTTGAAATTTTGAAAAGCAGCAATCAAGGTAAAAGGACTGAAAATATGTGTATTTAATGTGTAAAGTTGTAAGAAGAAGGGCTGAAGAAGACACAGTGGAGATATGTAGAAAACTTACATTTTGCAGTGAACAGGCATCAAACCAAGTGACCAACTGTTCTTCTAGTTCTGATCTCAGCTTTTCCATGTCAAAGTCTGTTATCTGAAACCAAGAAACCAACTAAACATAGTTTATGAAGTAAATAATAAACTATTGCTCTCATATCAAATGTAAGTCTACCTGCAGCAAAAGTTTCCTTGGCTTATACAGTAGTGAGACTTGAGTGTTACAATACATAGTGTTGGAGATAATTAGTTATGACCTTTGACCCAATGACCTCTAGAATGTTGGATCAAGATAACATAGTGCATCAACTAAGATTCTAAGAAAATCTGTAAACAAACTTTATACAGGCAGATGGATAGATGGAGGTACATCCTAATTACTCATTAAGTTAATTGTATAAAGGTTTGTACCAATAGATGGCAAGTAATTACCAATATGTGTAATTGTTGATCAGTAGTGTGGATGGTAGATTCTGGTCCTCGAACTACCATTGATGTCATAGCAACCTCTCCATCAATTTCATGTTTAACACTCTCTTCTGTTTCCATAACATCGTCCTCATCAACACCTTTTGATGACTCCTCCTTCTTTCCATTTAACTTGGCGGACATCTTTGTGGGAGCCTTTTCCTCTGTCTGAAGTAGAAACCAAATCCTAGCCATTATAACTATTTACAGATTTCCTGTCCACAATGGTATCCCTTCAGCTCCTTGTTATGCTGCATTTCTTGTATTTCTTTTTTTATTTCTTGTATTTCTCTTTTTTAAATATTCCTGACTAGTTAAAAAGTTCCTGATTTTGCTTATTTTTAACTTTTTCTGATTAGCTCCTTAATTTGTTACACAGTACCTGATTGGTTCCTTGACTTCTTAAAAATTACCTGATTGGTCTCCTCTTCCTGCATATCCACATCCTCGTCTTGTTGCGTGACCTCTGTTTCCTCTTCTTCCATATTAGGCAATGCCTGTTGCTGCTGTTGTTGGTCATCTGTTGCTGTGTCTAGGGTCTGAGTGTCATGTGACTTTGAGTCTTTGATGTGTTGATAGAGGTCTGATTCTGTTTCTCCTGCCTCCTCCTCTCCACCCTACAGTGAAAACATGAATATGGACATGTTATTAAAACTATGTACAAATGAAAGATCTACAATGGAATCCATGTAAATGTACCAGGGGTTAACACCAGGTGTTTCATAAAAAAAAGCACCCCACCAAGAAATTTCTGTCAAGTCTTGGTAATTTCTTGTGCTCAAATTGACAACAAGAGCAGTAGTTATAGCAGAAGGGTATATTAATGAGCTTTATACAAAGAGGTCAAACAAAAATACAGGGATGGTCGCAACATGGCTTCCATTCTACTGATTTACCTTCTATTATCAAAATAAGCAATCAGCTTGTTAATGTTGAGTTACTGAATATTTCAATTCATTTTTTTTTTAGTTGTTGTATAAATTTGAAAAACATGTTATTTTTGTCTATGAAAGATTTGGTTTATGAAGTTGAAGGAGGCAGAAATTCTTTTGTAATAACTTGTCTGTCAGGTTTTATATACTATCATACTGACCTGTGCTACTTCCTCAACCGTTTTTAGCTTCTTATATCTGTTGTCTTTAGATCCCAGACTGCGGTCTGAATCTGACTGCCCTGGCTTCCTCTTCATTGGCTGACAAGACAAGACAAAACAGGTCACAGTCACATCTTAACACATATTAAACAGGCTTAATTTTGAGAAATTGTTATACCATTCCACAAATCAATCAAAAGCAATAATTAATTTCAAGGTCATTCATTTGATCAAACTAGCCGTTTCATCCCAGCATGCTACAGATCCAATATCAGAACCCTTGGCATTTTGGTTATTGAAAAGAAGTCATTTGAAGATTTTAACAAATATGACACCAGTGAACTTGAGAGCAGGTAAAGGTCAATTATTTGATAAAAACTTGGTAGTCCTTTATTCCAGTACGCTAGTGCCCTTGTCCTCTTGCTTATTAAGAAGTCATTTAAAGTGAAAAGTTTTAAATGGGCACATCAATTGAAAATCATCCTATGATAATATGTTTTCAACTCAAATTTAATCATATGAAAATAAATGTTAGAACTACATGTCACTCACTTCCTCTTTCTAGTCACTGCATAAGGAACTAACGTAGTGAACTTTAGCTTATGCTGAAAGGAACCATGAGGCAAATGTTTTGATCGTGACTTTAACATTGGAAAGAGGACCAGACCAATAATTTCATCTGGAGGCTGATGTATGTCAATGCTGTTAACTGATATATGCTAAATTGGACTATTCATGTCATCATCAAATCAAATCATAGGATTTGCGACATTTATATAGTTGTGTGATATGTTTCCACTACAGATATGTATTTCTACTGTAAGTTGTATGCCTTGCGTTGGAGGAAACTCTGACTCACTTCTTTAATAACCACACAGTACTAAAATAGTTTGTGCTGATATAACAAGAGCCCAGAGGTTTGCTGGTGTTAATGATATGATAAATAATCATTCATCATACTACTTTTGTTGACAGTGTTTGATTTTTAGCCAATTTTTAGCAAATCTGACTACTGTTAAATTGAAAGTTATTTCTTTGAGGAAAATCTGTAGCACTCCATCTGAGGTACATGATTGTGAACTATGTGGACCCTTAGTCTTTTGAAACTTGAGAGGATTCTTAAAAAAAAGTACAGGAATAATAATTCCAGGTGTTCAGGACGAGTAAAAGTTGTCTCCTTCATCGACGAAACCTGCATTGTAAATCTTTGTCAATCCAAGTAAGTATTGTAATTTTCCCAAATGAGAACAAGGTAAAAAACAACAGAAGCATTAGGCATACTTACTAATGGGAGTCAAACATGTCATGCGTCATATCACACCAAGAAATCTATTTTTAGGAGAGATCATCATGATGAATGCAAAACTTCCCCATAATCTTCATCAACCTATATCTCTCAATATCCTACTATATGAGTTTGTCTGTCAGTTGCCTACAGCATGAATAGAAAATATGATACTGGGAACAGGTCCTAAAATATTGATTCATCTGCACAGTCAACTGCCCAAGCATCAATATTATCCAGCAATACAGGCTTCTTTACCCTATAGTTGTCCTGACTGGCAGCTCCATGAGTGACCTTTGATGAACTTTCACCTTCATGACCTTCAAGCTGTTCTGTAGATGTGGTTCCCACATTATCACTCTGAAGATATAAATAACATTAATCCATTAATCAACTTGCTAAGTATAGTGCTAACTTGGAAAATGACTATGTACTTGTCATTTTTCACTTCATCCTCCCAAACTATTGTTGGTCATTCTGATTCTCCCCTGACTATTTACCTGTTGTTGGTTGTTCTGACTCTCCCCTGACTATTTACCTGTTGTTGGTTGTTCTGACTCTTCCCTGACTATTTACCTGTTGTTGGTTGCTCTGACTCTCTCTTGACTATTTACCTGTTGTTGGTTGCTCTGACACTCTCTGGACTATTAACCTGTTGTTGGTCATTCTGACCCTCCCCTGACTATTTACCTGTTGTTGGTTGTTCTGACTCTCCCCTGACTATTTACCTGTTGTTGGTTGTTCTGACTCTCCCCTGACTATTTACCTGTTGTTGGTTGTTCTGACTCTCCCCTGACTATTTACCTGTTGTTGGTTGTTCGGATTCTCCCCTGACTATTTACCTGTTGTTGGTTGTTCGGATTCTCCCCTGACTATTTACCTGTTGTTGGTTGTTCTGATTCTCCCCTGACTATTTACCTATTGTTGGTTGTTCTGACACTCTTTTTACTATTAATCTGTTGTTGGTTGTTTGGACTCTCCCCTGACTATTTACCTGTTGTTGGTTGTTCTGACTCTCTCTTGACTATTTACCTGTTGTTGGTTGTTCTGACCCTCCCCTGACTATTTACCTGTTGTTGGTTGTTCTGATTCTCCCCTGACTATTTACCTGTTGTTGGTTGTTCTGATTCTCCCCTGACTATTTACCTGTTGTTGGTTGTTCTGACTCTCTCTTGACTATTTACCTGTTGTTGGTTGCTCTGACACTCTCTGGACTATTTACTTGTTGTTGGTCATTCTGACCCTCCCCTGACTATTTACCTGTTGTTGGTTGTTCTGACCCTCCCCTGACTATTTACCTGTTGTTGGTTGTTCTGATTCTCCCCTGACTATTTACCTGTTGTTGGTTGTTCTGATTCTCCCCTGACTATTTACCTGTTGTTGGTTGCTCTGACACTCTCTGGACTATTAACCTGTTGTTGGTCATTCTGACTCTCCCCTGACTATTTACCTGTTGTTGGTTGTTCAGATTCTCCCCTGACTATTTACCTGTTGTTGGTTGTTCTGACTCTCCCCTGACTATTTACCTGTTGTTGGTTGTTCTGACTCTCCGCTGACTATTTACCTGTTGTTGGTTGTTCTGACTCTCCCCTGACTATTTACCTGTTGTTGGTTGTTCTGACTCTCCCCTGACTATTTACCTGTTGTTGGTTGTTCGGATTCTCCCCTGACTATTTACCTGTTGTTGGTTGTTCTGATACTCCCCTGACTATTTACCTGTTGTTGGTTGTTCATATTCTTCTCTGACTATTTACCTGTTGTTGGTTGTTCTGACTCTCCCCTGACTATTTACCTGTTGTTGGTTGTTCTGACTCTCCCCTGACTATTTACCTGTTGTTGGTTGTTCTGACACTCTTTTGACTATTAATCTGTTGTTGGTTGTTTGGACTCTCCCCTGACTATTTACCTGTTGTTGGTTGTTTGGACTCTCCCCTGACTATTTACCTGTTGTTGGTTGTTCTGACTCTCCCCTGACTATTTACCTGTTGTTGGTTGTTCTGACTCTTCCCTGACTATTTACCTGTTGTTGGTCATTCTGACACTCTCTGGACTATTTACCTGTTGCTGGTCGTTCTGACACTCTCTGGACTATTTACCTGTTGTTGGTTGTTCTGACTCTTCCCTGACTATTTACCTGTTGTTGGTCATTCTGACACTCTCTGGACTATTTACCTGTTGTTGGTCATTCTGACACTCTCTGGACTATTTACCTGTTGTTGGTTGTTCTGACTCTTCCCTGACTATTTACCTGTTGTTGGTTGTTCTGACTCTTCCCTGACTATTTACCTGTTGTTGGTCATTCTGACACTCTCTGGACTATTTACCTGTTGTTGGTCATTCTGACACTCTTTCTACTATTAATCTGTTGTTGGTTGTTTGGACTCTCCCCTGACTATTTACCTGTTGTTGGTTGTTCTGACTCTCTCTTGACTATTTACCTGTTGTTGGTTGTTCTGACCCTCCCCTGACTATTTACCTGTTGTTGGTTGTTCTGATTCTCCCCTGACTATTTACCTGTTGTTGGTTGTTCTGATTCTCCCCTGACTATTTACCTGTTGTTGGTTGTTCTGACTCTCTCTTGACTATTTACCTGTTGTTGGTTGCTCTGACACTCTCTGGACTATTTACTTGTTGTTGGTCCTTCTGACACTCCCCTGACTATTTACCTGTTGTTGGTTGTTCTGACCCTCCCCTGACTATTTACCTGTTGTTGGTTGTTCTGATTCTCCCCTGACTATTTACCTGTTGTTGGTTGTTCTGATTCTCCCCTGACTATTTACCTGTTGTTGGTTGTTGACCTGTTGTTGGTCATTCTGACTCTCCCCTGACTATTTACCTGTTGTTGGTTGTTCAGATTCTCCCCTGACTATTTACCTGTTGTTGGTTGTTCTCCTCCCCTGACTATTTACCTGTTGTTGGTTGTTCTGACTCTCCGCTGACTATTTACCTGTTGTTGGTTGTTCTGACTCTCCCCTGACTATTTACCTGTTGTTGGTTGTTCTCTCTCCCCTGACTATTTACCTGTTGTTGGTTGTTCGGATTCTCCCCTGACTATTTACCTGTTGTTGGTTGTTCTGATACTCCCCTGACTATTTACCTGTTGTTGGTTGTTCGGATTCTTCTCTGACTATTTACCTGTTGTTGGTTGTTCTGACTCTCCCCTGACTATTTACCTGTTGTTGGTTGTTCTGACTCTCCCCTGACTATTTACCTGTTGTTGGTCGTTCTGACTTTCTCCGGCCTGACTATTTACCTGTTGTTGGTCGTTTGGACTACCTGTTGTTGGTTGTTCTGACACTCTTTTGACTATTAATCTGTTGTTGGTTGTTTTGGTCATTCTCCCTCTCTGACTATTTACCTGTTGTTGGTTGTTCTGACTCTCCTGTTGTTGGTTGTTCCCCTGACTATTTACCTGTTGTTGGTTGTTCTGACTCTTCCCTGACTATTTACCTGTTGTTGGTCATTCTGACACTCTCTGGACTATTTACCTGTTGCTGGTCGTTCTGACTTTCTCCGGCCTGACTATTTACCTGTTGCTGGTCGTTCTGACTTTCTCCGGCCTGACTATTTACCTGTTGCTGGTCGTTCTGACTTTCTCCGGCCTGACTATTTACCTGTTGCTGGTCGTTCTGACTTTCTCCGGCCTGACTCTGGGCCTGTTCACTCTGCTCAACATTCTCCACACCATGTGTCGACTGCCCTTCATATTCGTTGGTTGAAGGATCATTCTCTTCCATCTCTTCCTCTTTCTCCTCTGTTTTGTCATCCTATAGCAATAACATCAATCCATCTTACCATGAACATACCATTTCATTATTGTTATAATATATCTATACTGTATACCAACCTGCCTAAACCAAGATTACCTTTATTGTCTGGTTTGGGTGGAAGGTGGGTGGGGTAAGGGTGTGTGTGTGTGATCATTACAAGTTACAATAGGAGGTTAAACTTTAGCATTTGAGACAGACTATGAGATCACTAATCTATAATGATCAGGAATCTCACAGAGGAAAAGAAGAACAGTTTTAACCATGTTATATTTGTACTTAATATGTTTTATAACATAAAAAAGCTGAACAAGGCATGTACTGGAATGAGAAAGTTTTAGCATTACCTATAACAATCCTATAATTTGTAGGGGAGGTGGGGGGTGGGGGCAACATATTACCTCTGACACGAAGTCCAGAGTTGGCTGATAACAGGAAAAATAAATACTTACTAATCAGCCCTGGCCTTGGGATCATCAAACACATTTGACCTATTTTTCATGATATCATATTTCAATAGTTGAGTCAAAACCTTCCAAAGTCTTAGAATTCATATCATTTCAACTTCCAGGGACCGGGGCTTACATGCCTTAGCTAGCTATAAAAAGAATTCCTTCCATCTGGTCTTACACCTCTGTCATTTTAATTGAGAAGCTGCATAAGCTTTGTTAAACAGTTAAATTTTAATGATATTTCAGTACGATAAATTCTCTGATGGAAGTACCTGAGCAGTAAATCCCGGGGTACCATCCTGTACGTCCTCATCCTGTACGTCCTCATCCTTCCCCTCCTCTGGATTGTTCTGAGGATCATCCATCATATCCTAAATAAAAAAGATGAGAAGTTTTACTCTCAATCAACAGTAGTTCTGAGCTTCACCATTAGTGTTTAATGAAGATAAGTTCTTGATCTCCTTAAAATACCATCTTAGAGGGGAAAGGAGAATGGCAGTTAATATTCTTTAAAATTGAATTTCAGCTACAGACAGTGCTATCATGTGTCAAGATAATAAAGTTTCAGTGGGTTCAGTATCACAAAATGAATGAAGCTTTATTGAGGAGAGGAAGGCAAAGTACAGATGGACTGACAAACAGGCATGTCCTATAAATATTTGTGTTGTATAATCAGATAGTAATGTGTTTCTTACCTTTTTATTTTGATTGTTAGATTCCTCAAACCCGTCTTCCTCTTTCTCCTCCTTCTCCTCTGCTGAATTGTCATCAGGATTTTCTTGGTTTTCTTTGTCTTCTACTTCTTCTTCCTCTCCAGGAGTTATCTCCTCTTTAAATTCAGTTTCCTCTTTTCCTTCTTCTTGTTTCGTCGGATCATCATCTATATAGACAATCAATGATGAGTTCGATTTACAGGGTTTTTTTTTGCTTTTAAGTGGTTTAATGTCCTTGCAACTGCCAATCGTAGGACAGACATCAGTTGAAGTATTCCTTCTTATCAAGTAAAAACTGTCAAAATTAAATTTCCAGGGACTTGTGCATTTATAAGGACAATCCATCTATGTTCTAAATGTAACTGTATGTAAATTATCTGCACATGTTCACAGGCTTTTGAATGTCTTTTTCAAGAAAGCAAATTAAAATCTCCATTATCATTCCTTATTTCACTTAACATATAATTCTGGTCTGACCTATTAAACTTGTAAGACCACAATAAATGTAAACCAAACAGGTCCCTAGCCCACAGACTGATAAGACTGTTTACCTGGACCGTCAGCCTTCTCCTCGCCCTCATTATCATCCAGATTGAGGTCCTCGGGTAGGTCCATGGCCTCTGGCTGTTCTTGCTGATCTTTGTTACCATGTTGTGGGTCTATACGATCATCATCATACTCAGACTGGTAAGGAACATTATATTTCTTTAATAAAAAATCACTCATCATTGATTAAGTTCAATAGATCTATAGACAGCCATTATTTCACTAATTAATTTCCTGCAGTAACCAAGATAAACCTAATCTGTTGAGCTTTCAGACCACAGGCTGACTGTTTGAACCAGTAAAAAATCAACAAAGATCTGGAGCAATTCATAAGATACTTGGAACCTGCCATTCCAATGTTCAAACATTTCCTCTTTTATACTTTATGGCAGATAGTCCTTAGTTTCTAGAATTTTTATGCAAATAAAGTCGAAGTACAAATCTATTGCAGAATATACAGTAATATGATAATCAACCTGCATTATTTTGTCCAGTTGTGGATGGGGTTATTTTTAGTACACATTACAGTCATTTTTATTTTTTTCTTAAAGCAATCTAGATTTCATTTCCTCACCTCATCCATCTCCTGTTGTTGATGAGGCTGGGTGTCTTTGTTTTCTTCTGTCTCATCCTCATCCTTCTTGTCTTGGTTCTTTGTGTCATCCTCATCTCCTTTGTTGGTATTGTCATCTTTTGCCACCAGGTGGCTCTCTGCTTCCTGTCCAGCTCCTGGACCAGACTCTTCCTTCTTGTCCTCAAAATTTTAGGCAACATCACTTAATCAACAAGACCATACACAACAATACCATACACAACAAAACCTTACACAACAATACCATACACAACAATACCTTACACAACAATACCATACACAACAATAACATACACAACAATACCATACACAACAATAACATACACAACAATACCATACACAACAATAACATACACAACAATACCATACACAACAATACCATACACAACAATACCATACACAACAATAACATACACAACAATACCATACACAACAATACCTTACACAACGATACCTTACACAACGATACCATACACAACGATACCATACACAACGATACCATACACAACAATACCATACACAACAGTACCTTACACAACAATACCATACACAACAATACCATACACAACAATACCATACACAACAATACCATACACAACAATACCTTACACAACGATACCATACACAACGATACCATACACAACGGTACCTTACACAACGGTACCATACACAACGGTACCATACACAACGATACCATACACAACGATACCATACACAACGATACCATACACACCACCTTACACAACAATACCATACACAACAAAACCATACACAACAATACCTTACACAACAATACTATACACAACAATACCATACACAACAATACCTTACACAACAATACCATACACAACAATACCTTACACAACAATACCTTACACAACAAAACCATACACAACAATACCATACACAACAATACCTTCATCTGACACAATTAGCACAGAGTAATCTTTCATATATTTTTGTAATAATACTTTTAAGTGTAAATTTGTTATAATTGTCATTGAAATAAAAACTACATAGAATTAATAATATTTGAAATAACCCTGATCAGCCAGCTGTTAATACCTATGTCTCACCTCTTGATTTTCTTCTTCCTCCTGGTCATCATCGCTGCCCCACATCTGGTCATCTAATTTATCAGCATCCTGTTCATCTACCTCACCCATCTGTTTATCCAGCTTGTCCTCATCATCTTCCTCCTCATCTTCTCCTTCACTTTTTTTGTCTACATCCTCAAGATCTTGTGGATTTGCATCAAAGTCCTCCGACATCTCAATGGCATTTTCCTCAGAAGCTACGTCTGGATGATTCTCTGGTTCTTTTTTCTCGTTTTGTTGTCTTGTGTCTTCCAACTAAAAATAAGAATACCAGTAACATACCAAAAGCATCAATACTAAAACACTCAGGATAATTCATATACCCTGTTGTATGGATTCATATACCCTGTTGTATGGATTCATAAAGCCTGTTGTATGGATTCATAAAGCCTGTTGTATGGATTCATAAAGCCTGTTGTATGGATTCATATACCCTGTTGTATGGATTCATATACCCTGTTGTACGGATTCATATACCCTGTTGTATGGATTCATATACCCTGTTGTATGGATTCATATACCCTGTTGTATGGATTCATACACCCTGTTGTATGGATTCATATACCCTGTTGTATGGATTCATAAAGCCTGTTGTACGGATTCATATACCCTGTTGTATGGATTCATATACCCTGTTGTATGGATTCATAAAGCCTGTTGTACAGATTCATATACCCTGTTGTATGGATTCATATACCCTGTTGTATGGATTCATATACCCTGTTGTATGGATTCATATACCCTGTTGTATGGATTCATACACCCTGTTTTATGGATTCATAAACCCTGCTGTATGGATTCATATACCCTGTTGTATGATAAACCCTGTTGTAAACCCTGTTGTATGGATTCATACACCCTGTTGTATGGATTCATAAAGCCTGTTGTATGGATTCATATACCCTGTTGTATGGATTCATATACCCTGTTGTGTGGATTCATATACCCTGTTGTATGGATTCATACACCCTGTTGTACAGATTCATAAACCCTGGTGTATGGATTCATAAAGCCTGTTGTATGGATTCATAAACCCTGTTGTATGATAAACCCTGTTGTAAACCCTGTTGTATGGATTCATATACCCTGTTGTATGGATTCATATACCCAGTTGTACAGATTCATATACCCTGTTGTACGGATTCATAAACCCTGGTGTATGGATTCATAAAGCCTGTTGTATGGATTCATAAACCCTGTTGTATGGATTCATATACCCTGTTGTATGGATTCATAAACCCTGCTGTATGGATTCATATACCCTGTTGTATGATAAACCCTGTTGTAAACCCTGTTGTATGGATTCATACACTCTGTTGTAAGGATTCATAAACCCTGTTGTATGGATTCATAAACCCTGTTGTATGGATTCATAAACCCTGTTGTATGGATTCATATACCCTGTTGTACGGATTCATATACCCTGTTGTACAGATTCATATACCCTGTTGTACGGATTCATAAACCCTGGTGTACGGATTCATACACTCTGTTGTATGGATTCATAAACCCTGTTGTATGGATTCATAAACCCTGTTGTATGGATTCATAAACCCTGTTGTATGGAATTGTATGGATTCATATACCCCGTTGTATGGATTCATATACCCTGTTGTATGGACAGATATCTTTACCTGATCCTCTGTCTCTATCTGGTCGCTGACGTCTTTGGCCCCTTCTCCCTCTCCCATTCCTCCTCCTTCTATGTCGACAAAGTCAGTAGCACCTTCTCCTGCTATCTCATCTGCAAACTCGGCTGGCAGACAGAAACCCTGCAAACGAATGTAAAGATGATCATTATACTATAAACTCATAAGATTGTATAAAAGACACACAGGTGAATGTCAACTCCATTCTGAAATAGCATAGATGCTAATGTGGCAAATTATTAATTAAACTGCATCATATAGCTATTTTGTAATTCTAGGACTCATCAAGTGATGCTGGGGCCTAAAATGTGACCACCAAGAAGTTTTGAAAATTAAAATTCACTACAAACAAGAGATCTCGGAGAGGTCTTGGTGTCCACCATTTTATAGCCTTGATGTCCTTATTAGTTGGGTTTTTCCCTTCTTTTCTCTATTCTCTTATTTCGTTTGAACACATATTTGGGGCAGACAGAAAGTGAAGCCTATCGATGAACCATTACTTAATGAAAATGCAATAACAATAAAAATCCAATCATCAGATGGTGCACTGTTCAAACTGCTCTTCATCCATGCACAAGTATAATATGAATAAATTTCAAATTTTTTGTCTGTACATTCCCATCAGTAAAGGGAAAACATAGCTTACTGGGGGGTAATTGATTTCATCCAATTAAAATCAACAAAATGACATGCAAAAATTACGATATTTATTGTGTTGAATGGTTATCGTTATGAAAAGACCATCTTGACCTCAATTTTTTCTGAATAATAGCCGAATTTTATTTGACACATTTGAAGAGTCCCAAAGATATCATCATATCTTACATTTGTTGTCAGTTCTGTGAAGACCCCCAGCAGAGTGGACAGCAGCTTGCCTGTGGTCCTGGTGATGGCCAACTGATGGAGGAAGTTGTATTGAGCAATTGACAGGAAGTGCTGAATCAGGGGCAGACATCGCACTAGCATCTGTCCACAGAGGGAGCTACAGGCACGCCCAGTCTCTGAGTTCCACAACACTGACAGCTGGTTCAGCAACTCCTTGAGGTCATTTCCAATCTGTTGACAAAGTCATTATCATGTTTATATATTTAACTGATACAACAGATCTCCAAACAACCAACAAATGCACATCTCTGCCTATTGTATATCTCTTGGTATCTTTAATATAGGAAGATACACAAGGAAACCTTACCTTAAAATTCATCACTTTCTCTTTACAATTCCTCATTCTTGTAACTAAACACACTGATGTTTCCCTAGCCAGGTGTGCTGGAGTTCCAGTCAACACTAACTTTACTGAGAAGGAATAGGGCAGCTTATTGCAATACTCAGTGAATTTCCTATCAGTGGTATGTTTTTCAGTGTATACTCAGTGAATTTCCTATCAGTGGTATGATTTTCAGTGTATACTCAGTGAATTTCCTATCAGTGGTATGATTTTCAGTGTATACTCAGTGAATTTCCTATCAGTGGTATGATTTTCAGTGTATACTCAGTGAATTCTATCTGTGGTATGATTTTCAGTGTATACTCAGTGAATTCTATCTGTGGTATGATTTTCAGTGTATACTCAGTGAATTCTATCTGTGGTATGATTTTCAGTGTATACTCAGTGAATTTCAGTGTATACTCTATCAGTGGTATGATTTTCAGTGTATACTCAGTGAATTTCCTATCAGTGGTATGATTTTCAGTGTATACTCAGTGAATTTCCTATCTGTGGTATGATTTTCAGTGTATACTCAGTGAATTTCCTATCAGTGGTATGATTTTCAGTGTATACTCAGTGAATTTCCTATCTGTGGTATGATTTTCAGTGTATACTCAGTGAATTTCCTATCAGTGGTATGATTTTCAGTGTATACTCAGTGAATTTGATTTTCAGTGTATACTATCTCTGTGGTATGATTTTCAGTGTATACTCAGTGAATTCTATCTGTGGTATGATTTTCAGTGTATACTCAGTGAATTTCCTATCACGGGTATGATTTTCAGTGTATACTCAGTGAATTCTATCTGTGGTATGATTTTCAGTGTATACTCAGTGAATTTCCTATCTGTGGTATGATTTTCAGTGTATACTCAGTGAATTTCCTATCTGTGGTATGATTTTCAGTGTATACTCAGTGAATTGTATCTGTGGTATGATTTTCAGTGTATACTCAGTGAATTTATCCAGTGTATACTCAGTGAATTTCCTATCTGTGGTATGATTTTCAGTGTATACTCAGTGAATTTCCTATCTGTGGTATGATTTTCAGTGTGTACTCAGTGAATTTCCTATCTGTGGTATGATTTTCAGTGTATACTCAGTGAATTTCCTATCTGTGGTATGATTTTCAGTGTATACTCAGTGAATTCCATCTGTGGTGTGATTTTCAGTGTATACTCAGTGAATTTCCTATCTGTGGTATGATTTTCAGTGTATACTCAGTGAATTGTGGTATGATTTTCAGTATCTGTGAATATGATTTTCAGTGTATACTCAGTGAATTTCCTATCTGTGGTATGATTTTCAGTGTATACTCAGTGAATTCTATCTGTGGTATGATTTTCAGTGTATACTCAGTGAATTTCCTATCTGTGGTATGATTTTCAGTGTATACTATACTCATTGAATTTCTATCTGTGGTATGATTTTCAGTGTATACTCAGTGAATTTCCTATCTGTGGTATGATTTTCAGTGTATACTCAGTGAATTCTATGTGTGGTGTGATTTTCAGTGTGTACTCAGTGAATTTCCTATCAGTGTTTTCAGTGTATACTCAGTGAATTTCCTATCAGTATGATTTTCAGTGTGTACTCAGTGAATTTCCTATCTGTGGTATGATTTTCAGTGTATACTCAGTGAATTTCCGATCTGTGGTATGATTTTCAGTGTATACTCAGTGAATTGTATCTGTGGTATGATTTTCAGTGTATACTCAGTGAATTTCCTATCAGTGGTATGATTTTCAGTGTATACTCAGTGAATTCTATCTGTGGTATGATTTTCAGTGTATACTCAGTGAATTCTATCAGTGGTATGATTTTCAGTGTATACTCAGTGAATTCTATCTGTGGTATGATTTTCAGTGTATACTCAGTGAATTTCCTATCAGTGGTATGATTTTCAGTGTATACTCAGTGAATTTCCTATCTGTGGTATGATTTTCAGTGTATACTCAGTGAATTTCCTATCTGTGGTATGATTTTCAGTGTATACTCAGTGAATTTCCTATCTGTGGTATGATTTTCAGTGTATACTCAGTGAATTCTATCTGTGGTATGATTTTCAGTGTATACTCAGTGAATTTCCTATCAGTGGTATGATTTTCAGTGTATACTCAGTGAATTTCCTATCTGTGGTATGATTTTCAGTGTATACTCAGTGAATTCTATCTGTGGTGTGATTTTCAGTGTATACTCAGTGAATTTCCTATCTGTGGTATGATTTTCAGTGTATACTCAGTGAATTTCCTATCTGTGGTATGATTTTCAGTGTATACTCAGTGAATTTCCGATCTGTGGTATGATTTTCAGTGTATACTCAGTGAATTGTATCTATCTGTGGTATGATTTTCAGTGTATACTCAGTGAATTTCCTATCAGTGGTATGATTTTCAGTGTATACTCAGTGAATTTCCTATCTGTGGTATGATTTTCAGTGTATACTCAGTGAATTGTATCTGTGGTATGATTTTCAGTGTATACTCAGTGAATTGTATACTCAGTGAATTTCCTATCAGTGGTATGATTTTCAGTGTATACTCAGTGAATTTCCTATCTGTGGTATGATTTTCAGTGTATACTCAGTGAATTTCCTATCTGTGGTATGATTTTCAGTGTATACTCAGTGAATTTCCTATCTGTGGTATGATTTTCAGTGTATACTCAGTGAATTTCAGTGTATACTATCTGTGGTATGATTTTCAGTGTATACTCAGTGAATTTCCTATCTGTGGTATGATTTTCAGTGTATACTCAGTGAATTTCCTATCTGTGGTATGATTTTCAGTGTATACTCAGTGAATTCTATCTGTGGTATGATTTTCAGTGTATACTCAGTGAATTCTATCTGTGGTATGATTTTCAGTGTATACTCAGTGAATTTCCTATCAGTGGTATGATTTTCAGTGTGAATTACTCAGTGAATTTCCTATCTGTGGTATGATTTTCAGTGTATACTCAGTGAATTTTATCTGTGATTTTCAGTGTATACTCAGTGAATTATCTGTGGTATGATTTTCAGTGTATACTCAGTGAATTCTATCTGTGGTATGATTTTCAGTGTATACTCAGTGAATTTCCTATCTGTGGTATGATTTTCAGTGTATACTCAGTGAATTCTATCTGTGGTATGATTTTCAGTGTATACTCAGTGAATTTCCTATCAGTGGTATGATTTTCAGTGTATACTCAGTGAATTTCCTATCAGTGGTATGATTTTCAGTGTATACTCAGTGAATTTCCTATCTGTGGTATGATTTTCAGTGTATACTCAGTGGTGTGATTTTCAGTGTGTACTCAGTGAATTTCCTATCAGTGGTATGATTTTCAGTGTATACTCAGTGAATTTCCTATTTTCAGTGTATACAGTGAATTTCCTATCAGTATGATTTTCAGTGTATACTCAGTGAATTTCCTATCAGTGGTATGATTTTCAGTGTATACTCAGTGAATTTCCTATCTGTGGTATGATTTTCAGTGTATACTCAGTGAATTGTATCTGTGGTATGATTTTCAGTGTATACTCAGTGAATTTCCTATCTGTGGTATGATTTTCAGTGTATACTCAGTGAATTCTATCTGTGGTATGATTTTCAGTGTATACTCAGTGAATTGTATCTGTGGTATGATTTTCAGTGTATACTCAGTGAATTTCCTATCTGTGGTATGATTTTCAGTGTATACTCAGTGAATTTCCTATCTGTGTGTATGATTTTCAGTGTATACTCAGTGAATTTCCTATCAGTGGTATGAAAGGCAATTGCTTTGTGTGGTCAAGGACCTTACACTACACATTCTCCTAGTGTTAATTTTCATTATCCTAGTTTAAGAATAAGCAATCTAACTGATTTTCAGTGTATACTCAGTGAATTCTACCTTTGGTATGATTTTCAGATATAAGTTGATGACAATGACATTACTTGTACATGTATTGTGCATTATATGTAAATGTACCAACAACAATGATTACTCAATGTGACTAACGTACAAGCATGTTTATACAGAGCTGAATGTGAACTCTTAATCATAGAATATGTTTTATACACATTTTGTCTATCAGTATTCAATACACTGTTAAGCACAAGGTTATCTTAATGCATGTACTACAACAAGGTAAAGGGCTGATTGCCACTAGCTGAGATTATTAGGGTGAACCCTTTACTTCTACACATATTAAAGACATACATCTTTATTGTAACACTTATCCACTATTTACAGTCACACTAACAGTATATACATCATAACTAGTGTACACTTTACCAGATCAGTATTCCAGCGCCATCTGTCACACTTAGCATTTTATTCTGGATGTCCTTCGTATTACAGAGGATTTTCTACAATTTCATGAAAAAAAACCCATAAAAAGCCAATAGTATATCAAAAACAATTTCTCCAATCCATTAGGAATTAATTAACATCTTATCATACACATGTAACATTAAAATGCTTTAAAATGACATATTCACTTTCCTCGTTAATAATTGCACAAATAAATAAATAAATGAATAACATATTATGAGTGTTTTAGGAAAGTGACTTTGACTTGACTAAATACTGACCTTGACCCTATTGGATGCCTCACTCCAGATCTGGTCACCATGGCAAACTAGTGCCATTTGTGACAGCTGTGAGGAGGGGAAAGGTGAAGGGTGTGGGGATGGCCCATTTCCAGAAGAAGGGCAGCAATTTAGGAGAGCTTCAAACTGTGTCACACCCTCAAGTACTGTAACCAACATAGCCTTTATCCGAGCCTATAAGAGTTAAAAATAATTTAAAACCAATCATAATTGTGAAAGTTTGAAAACAATTAATTGGTAGAGTTTTAAGAAAAGAAATACAAAGAACAAGTATTATTTTTCAAATGAAGTGGTTTATTTAGAATATATCTTTGTATTCAAAATTCAAGCTTCTGAAAAGTTGTCAAAATGCTTTATAACTTATTGTAAAATTAGCTGTATCTTCTGTAAAAGTTACAAAGATCTAAATCACTTTATGAACAAATGAAACCAAATGGAGGGACACTTATACTGCTATTACACAATGTCTACTGAGTGTTGTTTTGTTTTAAAGAGATACAGGAAATAAGACATGTTTGATTAGAGGTAACCTGGGCATAAGACTTACTATCCAGTCGGTCGTTTGCTGAACTGGGGGCTGTGGTCGACTCCCATCGTCATCTAGTCTGGTCAACACAGAGGTTAACTCACTGCAACGTACAATATAAAACACCCCAAAATTTCACTGAAATTTCAATACATTGAGAGGACGTTAAATAAAGTACATCTAAAACCACACGAATCATATATACTTACATTGTGTAGTAAAAATAATGTAATATCATGTGTCATTTATCAGAAGAAAATGTGATAACTAAAGTGTTTAAAATGTCTACGCCCAGATGTAATCTGTAATAAGCATTGTGGCTAACACATTACACCTGGCTTAAAGCAGCGGTAGGCATCATGTTGTTCATTTTACTACCAACAATAAATATGAACAGTGATGACAGCTGATGCGATATCCCAAGGTGACCATGTTTTTAGATTATCTAAGTATCTGTTTGATTTCTCTGTGCTTTACTTTAGGAATTTACTTTTGACATTAGCTAGGACTGTAATCTATACAACTGATAAATAACAATGTCTATCAGATTTCACTCTTCTGATAATCATTTAAAAGTTTAGCATAATGAAATTTTAAATGCAGAACTGAATAATTAAGAAAATATTGAAGATTTATTGACTACTTATTACTACCGATGAAGGGAAGGTGTGAACGACACACTTACTATAGTATTGAACAAAGTATTGATACTATTGTATTGAAGTATTCAAATAATCGAGTCAAGTATACAACGACCTCTGTGATTGGTCGGGGGCGGAGTTTAGACAACCTGAATAGTTGATCTGACACCCAATTTGTTCCGGTAGGCGGAGTTAATGTACACTATCAGTTACATAACAATTACTAAGTAATCGCTGGAAAAATGTCCGACGACGGCAACAGTACGCAAAATTTTCTTAGACGAAATTATGTCCGATACGAACGATATGGGGAATCCTGTTTTTGTACAAGGCGATGTGGTTGTGATGGATAATTGTGGATTCCATCACCATAGACAGGGAGAGCGCATTTTAAGAAATATGCTGAAAGAATATGGCGTGTCCCTGGTTTTTCAGCCACCTTATTCCCCGGAATACAACGTAACTGAATATGTATTCAATGTCATGAGACAGAGGCTTCGGGCAAATACCCGACTTGTGTCAGAATTTCTGGAACTTGCAGTAGTAAATGCTCTAGATATTCCGCCCAACCAACTTCAAAGTTTTTTCACATGTTGCGGATATGTATAATTTTCGATGGAAAGATAAAAAATAAAATAAAAAATATATGGGACCACAGAATTCCTTTATTTTTTAATGCAGTATGAATTATCGGCATATATCAGGAGGTCCCAGGTAAATCGTAATTCTTTGTTACATATAATAGAGCTTGGGCTTACACCGAAATATTTTGAGCCAACCCTCCCCCCCCCCCTCCCTTTCAAATAAATAAATAAATAAATAAAACTAGTACAGAATGACTATATGACTATATTCACTGTTAAGATGTTATGAATTCTCCGGTCCCAGTGATCTAACCTGTTGATATATATTTTGTACGTAAATTAGTTTAGTACTGAGTAACTTTCGTTTTCTCGTTGTACCATCGATGGAAAAGCAAGGTATCATTGGGTGTAGAACGAAACAAATGGGACAACCCAATTAGGTCTGATCTGAAGCCACCTGTGACTTGGACTCTTCCAATTAACCTCTCGCGACAGTCGAGTGTTTGTAAAATGCCGATGTCTGCACAGTATTTTTTCACCTGGCTCCACCCACAATCGATCTAGACTTGGCTCTGCCAATCAGAGAGCTTGTTGCATAAATTTAAGGAATTCGATTGGTGAAGTACTTCAGTACAATACTATCAATACTTTGTTCAGTACTACAGTACTTGAAACGTTCACACCTTCCCTTCATCGGTAGTAAAGTAACAAATAGCTACAAAGAACTGGGACTTCAAATTAAATTCTGACTAAAAAGTTATGGATTTCTTTTACTACAAAATCATACAAATTTCATGGTTTTCAAACAATATACATTTTTGATAGTACATGATTTTGTGAATACCTCTTGTATAACAAATTCATAACTACTATAATCCATGTAAGGTTTTATCTGTTTATCATTACATGGACATGTGAATTTGTGGATTTAGATTACCCACAAATACAACGAAAATAAGTCATCAATGAAGATCAATGATTTTACAGTTTTCAAAATAATCACCACCAGCTATAAAATCCTATGATATAGATTTAGGAATTGTATAAGATTCACGACGGCTGATACATTTTCACATGTGAGATAATACAGCAGGCCCAGAGGGCGTGTATCGCTCACCTGGATCTTTATGACCAACAGTACTATATCTGTGCATATGTTCCAAGTTTAACACAATTGACCACTGTGACCTTGAATATGGGTCAAGGTCATTTCTTTTTGCAAACATTGTTGGGCTTCATCAAAGGAACCTTCTAGGCATATATAATGATCCTAGGCCTTCCGGTATTTTGAAAGAATTTGCTTAAAGATTTTATCACATTTCACCTCTGTGACCTTGAATATGGATCAAGGTAATTTCTTTTTGCAAACTTTGTTGGGCTTCATCAAAGGAACCTTCAAGCCAAATATGATAACACTATGCCATTCTGTATTTCAGGAGAAATTGTTTAAATGAAAAGTTGACGGACGCAGGACAGTATGGCATAACCTCACTTGACCCTTTGGGCCATGTACGCTAAAAATCACAAACCTGAGATGGCAGAAACTTTCACTGATGTTGGATAGACTTCGGTACTGACGGATCAGCATGTCAAACAAGTTCTCTGTAAATCCTTTACAGCGGTCAATGTTTCCTACTCCGAGCTCCTTAAAACACAAGATTATGGCAGTCAATGTTACCTACCCGAGCTCCTACAAACACAAGATTATGGCAGCAATGTTACCTAAAAATCACAAAACCAAGATTATGGCAGTCAACTTTCAAACACAAGATTATGGCAGTCAATGTTACCTACACGAGCTCCTACAAACACAAGAGTATGGCAGTCAACGTTACCTACTCTGAGCTCATACAAACACAAGATTATGGCAGTCAATGTTACCTACCCGAGCTCCTACAAACACAAGATTCTAGCAGTCAATTTTTCCTACTCTGAGCTCCTTAAAACACAAGGTTCTAGCAGTCAATGTTACCTTCTCCGAGCTCCTACAAACACAAGATTCTAGCAGTCAATTTTTCCTACTCCGAGCTCCTACAAACACAAGATTATGGCAGTCAACGTTACCTACTCCGAGCTCCTACAAACACAAGATTATGGCAGTCAATGTTACCTACCCGAGCTCCTACAAACACAAGATTATGGCAGTCAACGTTACCTACTCCGAGCTCCTACAAACACAAGATTATGGCAGTCAATGTTACCTACCCGAGCTCCTACAAACACAAGATTATGGCAGTCAACGTTACCTACTCTGAGCTCCTACAAACACAAGATTATGGCAGTCAATGTTACCTACCCGAGCTCCTACAAACACAAGATTCTAGCAGTCAATTTTTCCTACTCTGAGCTCCTTAAAACACAAGGTTCTAGCAGTCAATGTTACCTTCTCCGAGCTCCTACAAACACAAGATTCTAGCAGTCAATTTTTCCTACTCCGAGCTCCTACAAACACAAAATTCTAGCAGTCAATGTTTCCTACTCTGAGCTCCTACAAACACAAGATTCTAGCAGTCAATGTTACCTTCTCCGAGCTCCTACAAACACAAGATTCTAGCAGTCAATTTTTCCTACTCCGAGCTCCTACAAACACAAAATTCTAGCAGTCAATGTTTCCTACTCTGAGCTCCTACAAACACAAGATTCTAGCAGTCAATGTTACCTTCTCCGAGCTCCTACAAACACAAGATTATGGCAGTCAATGTTACCTACCTGAGCTCCTACAAACACAAGATTCTAGCAGTCAATTTTTCCTACTCTGAGCTCCTACAAACACAAGATTCTAGCAGTCAATGTTACCTTCTCCGAGCTCCTACAAACACAAGATTCTAGCAGTCAATTTTTCCTACTCTGAGCTCCTACAAACACAAAATTCTAGCAGTCAACGTTACCTACTCTGAGCTCCTACAAACACAAAATTCTAGCAGTCAACGTTACCTACTCTGAGCTCCTACAAACACAAGATTATGGCAGTCAATGTTACCTACCCGAGCTCCTACAAACACAAAATTCTAGCAGTCAATGTTTCCTACTCTGAGCTCCTACAAACACAAGATTATAATAGTCAATGTTACCTACTCCGAGCTCCTACAAACACAAGATTATGGCAGTCAACGTTACCTACTCTGAGCTCCTACAAACACAAGATTATGATAGTCAATGTTACCTACTCTGAGCTCCTACAAACACAAGATTATGATAGTCAACGTTACCTACTCCGAGCTCCTACAAACACAAGATTCTAGCAGTCAATGTTACCTTCTCCGAGCTCCTACAAACACAAGATTCTAGCAGTCAATTTTTCCTACTCCGAGCTCCTACAAACACAAAATTCTAGCAGTCAATGTTTCCTACTCCGAGCTCCTACAAACGCAAGATTATGGCAGTCAATGTTACCTACCTGAGCTCCTACAAACACAAGATTCTAGCAGTCAATTTTTCCTACTCTGAGCTCCTACAAACGCAAGATTATGACAGTCAATGTTACCTACTCCGAGCTCCTACAAACACAAGATTCTAGCAGTCAATTTTTTCTACTCCGAGCTCCTACAAACACAAGATTACAGCAGTCAATTTTTCCTACTCTGAGCTCCTACAAACACAAGATTCTAGCAGTCAATGTTTCCTACTCTGAGCTCCTACAAACACAAGATTATGATAGTCAATGTTACCTACTCCGAGCTCCTACAAACACAAAATTCTAGCAGTCAATGTTACCTACTCCGAGCTCCTACAAACACAAGATTCTAGCAGTCAATTTTTCCTACTCTGAGCTCCTACAAACACAAGATTCTAGCAGTCAATGTTTCCTACTCTGAGCTCCTACAAACACAAGATTCTAGCAGTCAACGTTACCTACTCTGAGCTCCTACAAACACAAAATTATGATAGTCAATGTTACCTTCTCCGAGCTCCTACAAACACAAGATTCTAGCAGTCAATGTTACCTACTCCGAGCTCCTACAAACACAAAATTCTAGCAGTCAATGTTTCCTACTCTGAGCTCCTACAAACACAAGATTATGATAGTCAATGTTACCTACTCCGAGCTCCTACAAACACAAGATTATGATAGTCAATGTTACCTACACTGAGCTCCTACAAACACAAGATTACAGCAGTCAATGTTACCTACACTGAGCTCCTACAAATACAAGATTACAGCAGTCAATTTTTCCTACTCCGAGCTCCTACAAACACAAAATTCTAGCAGTCAATTTTTCCTACTCCGAGCTCCTACAAACACAAAATTCTAGCAGTCAATGTTTCCCACTCTGAGCTCCTACAAACACAAAATTCTAGCAGTCAATTTTTCCTACTCCGAGCTCCTACAAACACAAGATTCTAGCAGTCAACGTTACCTACTCTGAGCTCCTACAAACACAAGATTATGATAGTCAATGTTACCTACTCCGAGCTCCTACAAACACAAGATTATGATAGTCAATGTTACCTACTCCGAGCTCCTACAAACACAAGATTATAATAGTCAATGTTTCCAACTCCGAGCTCCTACAAACACAAAATTCTAGCAGTCAATTTTTCCTACTCTGAGCTCCTACAAACACAAGATTCTAGCAGTCAATTTTTTCTACTCTGAGCTCCTACAAACACAAGATTCTAGCAGTCAATTTTTCCTACTCTGAGCTCCTACAAACACAAGATTCTAGCAGTCAATTTTTTCTACTCCGAGCTCCTACAAACACAAGATTATGACAGTCAATGTTACCTACTCCGAGCTCCTACAAACACAAGATTACAGCAGTCAATGTTTCCTACTCAGAGCTCCTACAAACAATAGATTCCAGCAGTCATGTTTCCTACTCCGAGCTCCTTGAGCATGGATATAAAGCAGATTTTCCTGAATATAGCTGTTTGTAACTCTTATCGTACTCACATTTGAGGGTGTCTGAAGTGCGACCATAAAGCGGACTTTCCTTGCTATACATCTGTTGTAATAGTGACCACAGCCTTCTCCCAGCACAGACATAGCCTCTCCTAACCTGAAATTAATATTAGTTCAAACTTGGATATTTGCATACCTAAATTCACATTCACCTATTTCATTGGGTTATATGTTTCCATTCAGCAGTCAAATGTAACATGAAAAGAGGAAAATATCTTTTTGTAAATAAGCAATTATTAAGATGATATAATACAAACATTATTAGCAATGAAGACTGGCTCCTGATTAAATTGAGTGAAAATTTATAAAACAAACTTAATTCTGACCAGCAGATTCTTCCAGTTTACAGAGTGACTTAATTGTGTGCCATTTGTGCACACACAGTAACATCACTTTCCAGTCTGGGAAAAACCAACCGATTCAGAGAGACAGACAAACTACCTTACTTGAATGCAACATGCTGACTACAAGTTTGCTTCTGGCAAATAGCATACCCACACCATAGAATCAAATATATTATTTTATGTTAAAGATGAAAATTTAAGAACATAAAGGAAAATATCTTGATGCTTACTGCAGGTGAGTGTTCTGTTGCACCAACGCAGATATATTAACAGGTGGCACCATCAGAGCCTCATTCTGGCTCTCCATCTTATTCATCAGCACCAAACCTTTCCTGTAGGACAAACCTGAACAAAGATTTTCACATGATTCCATCGCAAGCAAGAAAACATATATTGTTATCAATAAAAAACCATCAGATTGATATCTCCTGAGATGTAATAGCCTATTGATACTCCTAATGGGGCTATAAAAAAGTCGGCATAATAATTGTGAATCAACACTAATGTTATATATCACCTACCAAAATTTGGTTAAAATTTGCTTGATGGTTCATGAAAAGAAGTTGTTAAAAGTTAAAAATGATGGACAGACAATGGACAAATACAGACTTCATAGCCTCCATTGATTCATTCAGCCAGATAAGGTGATCAATGAAGTGATATACATACATTTACAATACATAATAAAGACTGATTAACAAAAACTGATTTGCTGTGATATGTGACTGACCTATAAATGTAAGATGTTTGAACAGATCTGCCAAAGCTTTCCTTTTCTTTTGGTGGATGTGTTTGGCTTCTGCCTTCTGCTTGTCTTTCTCTGCTGACTGTGGGCAGGAATTATTTATACAAAATGTAATGACATACTTCGTCATTAGTATTACACAGAAATAATCACAGATTATCAATAAAACACATAGATTACTGATTTTTAACATAATTAACACTTCTTACCTGATCCACTTCAAGGGACTGTAGTTCTTGTATTGTCTTAATGATTTCACCTGAAAACAAAGTGAACTGTAAGCTATGATCTGACTTATTACCATACCATATTCCAATACAAATTTACTCAAGTCAATCACACATAGCTAGTTTCATAAAAGCTAAAAAATTATGAGCACTACAAATCTAAATGAGACTGGAAATAAACTGGTTATAAAGTTTTGGCATAAGTTATTACCAGTTGCCTCATCCATAGTACTGATGTAGTCTGTATACCCAGTACTGGCTGTGTACTTTGTAAGGTGTTTGCCTGCTTTGTGACACAGAGCCAGCAGACGACATTGCAAGGGGAACAACTCCTCTGACATGAATGTCAGTAGATCAGGAGTCTTTTGCTGAAATTATAAAAAATATGTAATCATACACAAAATCACACCAGTGATAACAGTTCAAGATGGTCATTATTAATGTGGTTGATAAATGACCTTTAAATATATATTATCATGGCTGGTAATTGACCTTCAAATGAATATTACCATGGCGTGTAAATGTCCCCAAGATATAAATACTACAATAGCTGGTAAATGAGATTGAGATATATACAACGGTTGGTAAATGAGATTGAGATATATACTACAATTGCTGGTAAATGACCTTGAGATATATACAATGGTTGGTAAATGACCTTGAGATATATACAATGGTTGGTAAATGACCCTGAGATATATACTACAATTGCTGGTAAATGACCTTGAGATATATATATGGTTGGTAAATGACCTTGAGATATATACAATGGTTGGTAAATGACCCTGAGATATATACTACAATAGCTGGTAAATGATCTTGAGATATATAAAATGGTTGGTAAATGACCTTGAGATATATACAATGGTTGGTAAATGATCTTGAGATATATACAATGGTTGGTAAATGACCTTGAGATATATACTACAAATGACCCCGAGACATATATACTACAATAGCTGGTAAATGACCTTGAGATATATACTAAAATTGCTGGTAAATGACCTTGAGATATATACTACAATCGCTGGTAAATGACCTTGATAAATGACCTTGAGATATACACTACAATCACTGGTAATTGACCTTGAGATATATACTAAAATTGCTGGTAAATGACCTTGAGATATATACTACAATTGCTTGTAAATGACCTTGAGTTATATACTAAAATTGCTGGTAAATGACCTTGAGATATATACTACAAGTGCTTGTAAATGACCTTGAGATATATATATGGTTGGTAAATGACCTCAAGATATATATATGGTTGGTAAATGACCTTGAGATATAGATATGGTTGGTAAATCACCTTGAGATATATATATGGTTGTTCGATGACTGGGATACATAACTAAATCCACTAGATATTGACCTTGTTATATCATTACCTACCAGGGTTAGTGTAAACTTGATACTTGACACAGCCTCAGACAGTTGGTTTAGCCATGAGGATGGTTGGATGACACTGTCCACATTGGCACTACCCTCTTTCAGTATACCTTGGATGGGAAACTCCAATATAGCCTTTCAACAAAACACATTAATCCAAAATAAATCCCATCCATCAGTCAAATCTGAATGGCTCTTAAACTAAAATCCCCTATTGTCATTATTATGTTTGAACATGATACAGCAGGCACATCTAACTTCAAACTGGGGAATGTGACTTGCTTTAATTCAAAATCTTTAAATTTTACCCTTTGAACCTGAACTTTGATCATTAAGAAAATTCAAGACATCAACTTACATCATCAAAATAGGATTACATCTTAGCAGAGAGGAACTTAAACTGTGATGTTCATTTGTTTATTCTAGGAAAAAACTTGCTATGGTATTTTATCAAATATGTTCTTAAGTTTGCCTTGCTATTTGAATGACTTGTGTAATTCTGTGTGAAGTCATTCCTACACAGATACTGATGGTCTGTTCGCCTTGCTATTTGAATGACTTGTGTAATTCTGTGTGAAGTCATTCATACACAGATACTGATGGTCTGTTTCCTTCTTTTTCTGTTTTCTATTATTCATATCTATATCATACTACAAAATATATCATTAGTATTTCATTTTGACATTCGAAGATTTCACTAATCAACTTTACAATATTTCCAAAATTTGTATTTTCTAAATAAAAGTCATGGCTTCCATCAGACAAATAGCAATACCAAGATATGGCGACTACCAGGTAAATTGTTCATGTATCAAGTATATTACTAATGTGTACAAGATTTTATAAATCCATCATCCCCTCACAACCACTTAGATAAATCAGTATCCTAGATATTATTACTACACTATTACCTTAAAGGACTTCATATGCTTGTGTAAAGTTCTGTGTGTCTTCTCTGTCGTCTGCTTCAGTGCCCAGTAATTCATGTCTGTCCACCGCGCTATCTTCACAAAGCCCTGTACAACATGTCAAATATCTCATCATATACCATTGACAAGCATACAAACCTTATTCTGAGACCTGATTATCTCTGCTGTTAAACACATCAGTCTTTCTCTCTAAACATCAGTAAACTCATCACTCACCTTGAGTTCCTTCAGTACAGGAGATATCTGTCTGTCTAGTTCCCTCTGTACAACATCAGTAAACTCATCACTCACCTTGAGTTCCTTCAGTTCCCTCTGTACAACATTAGTAAACTCATCACTCCTTGAGTTCCTTCAGTACAGGAGATATCTGTCTGTCTAGTTCCCTCTGTACAACATTAGTAAACTCATCACTCACCTTGAGTTCCTTCAGTACAGGAGATATCTGTCTGTCTAGTTCCCTCTGTACAACATTAGTAAACTCATCACTCACCTTGAGTTCCTTCAGTACAGGAGATATCTGTCTGTCTAGTTCCCTCTGTACAACATCAGTAAACTCATCACTCACCTGGAGTTCCTTCAGTACAGGAGATATCTGTCTGTCTAGTTCCCTCTGTACAACATTAGTAAACTCATCACTCACCTTGAGTTCCTTCAGTACAGGAGATATCTGTCTGTCTAGTTCCCTCTGTACAACATTAGTAAACTCATCACTCACCTTGAGTTCCTTCAGTACAGGAGATATCTGTCTGTCTAGTTCCCTCTGTACAACATCAGTAAACTCATCACTCACCTTGAGTTCCTTCAGTACAGGAGATATCTGTCTGTCTAGTTCCCTCTGTACAACATTAGTAAACTCATCACTCACCTGGAGTTCCTTCAGTACAGGAGATATCTGTCTGTCTAGTTCCCTCTGTACAACATCAGTAAACTCATCACTCACCTTGAGTTCCTTCAGTACAGGAGATATCTGTCTGTCTAGTTCCCTCTGTACAACATTAGTAAACTCATCACTCACCTTGAGTTCCTTCAGTACAGGAGATATCTGTCTGTCTAGTTCCCTCTGTACAACATTAGTAAACTGATCATAGAACTGGTGTAGATTCCACAGGAATGAAACCAGTGTGGCTGTAAGACAGAACAGATAGATAACACATCTTGTATTTCCTGTACAGGATTGAGCTCCGATTAGTTATTTATAAACTATTGTTATTGTTGATGTTGTCTACAGTAGCAAGTTATTCTTCTTTTCCGTTACAACTAACAGACATTATGGAAAAGTTGGTATTTTTTCCTTCACACTTCTGTACATGAACAAATAAGCATGTCATTAAAATGAACTTTTACTTCTTTTTGATGGAAAATTTTAATGGTGCTTTAATGTTCACTTTCATAATCCATGTATACAGTAGTGTCGACAAATCATTACTTTATATGTGAAACAATCGAGTTTCCCTGGGATAATGATAATAAATGTATAATATGATAAAGCATCAATTTATCTTGTCTTCTCTTTAACAACTGATATATCTTTAAATGCCTCTGTGCTGATTAAGTCAAGTTTACATAAATGCTGTGGAAAAAATTGTTTTCCGAGATCCACATTTCTTATAAAAATATCATCAATTTTCTGGGATACAGACCTTGTTTTGGGGATGTCTCTATGACAACCAACTGACAGTGGAAAGCCTTGAGCATGCCCAATCTAACACTGTAGTCACCAAGGTTAGCTGTCTCCATGAACTGTTTAAGAGACTTAAGAATCTCATTCTGGTTACTCTCTCCTTCCTCAGGTTCAGTATCCTGATTGTCCTCCAGCATCTTAACAAAATAAAATTATAACAAGTTATTGTTATATTTATACAGCTGTCATGTATTTCAGGGAAGTTAAAACTCACAATTAGTATTAATAATTTTTTACTATTTCTTCACTGATGTCAAATGTTTGTATTACCTGTGATCTGTGTTGCAAGAAGGCTTGAATCAACTGATACAAATGAAACCACCACCTGCTTGTCTGGCACTTATGTTTCCTCCTGATAGACTCCAGACACTGGTTCCAACAACTGTTAGGAGGTAAAAATATCAAGAGTAACAAACTTTCTAAAGACACAATTAAGTACCTGAATTACCCTACATTAGAATGACTACTACAAATATTAGCAGTGACCTTGACCTTGATGTTAGCACCTGAAAACATTAAGTGATTAAGAAGATATTTATTAATCAAAACTTCTGATGATAAAAATAGTCCCTAGAATTTAAGCTATATGCTTCTCCTCCCAAATGGTAGTCACATGAAAATCTAGTTAAAACTCCATAATGAATGTTTTCCTGAAATCTAATGACTAAATGAATAACAAGAGAACCTACCTGAGCTCTAGCTTCCTCCACTGCATGATCAGCAGTGATACATCTGCCAGTTGAGTTGCCATGGATACATGTCGTGCTGCATTGCTCTCCCATTCCTGTAGATGAAATATCAACAAATTTTCACAACCATCAATACAGGCACACCACAGAGATATGTGAATGTTGGTAGCTTTAAATATTTAACTGAAAATCAGCATTCAATTTAACAGTTTTATTTAAAGGTTAAGGACTAGAAATATGTTGATATCACAATCTTTCATACATCATTAAGGATGAAGGATGGACCTAGGATTGACTTACCTTGGTCTTCTCAAAAGGTAGGTCTAAGGCTTGTCAGGAATTTCATTATAGGAAAACAGATCACAGGATGAACCTAGGATTAACTTACCTGTGCCTTCTCTAATAGTAATTCTAGACCTGTCAGGAACTTCATTATGGGACACGTCACTGGGAAGTTTAAGATCCTATCTGTAATTTTTGTTAGCTGAAAAGATCAAATTCAATTTTTGTTTAAGTGCTTACAGCAATGATATTTAAATTTCAGCACAGTGGGCATATGGCGTATTTCAGATCCGATAATGATCAATCATGACTACATAATAGTATATATATAAGACTTCATAGTTTGATTGGCCACCTCCCTGATGATACTATATCTTAATTTTTCTTCTCTCTCTCTTTCTTTTAAAAATAAATTCCTGTGATAATTTTTTACGTGGCCAATCCAAAAGAATTATTGCCCCTGAATTCTACTTTAAATTTGAAAATCTCTTAATACTAGTCCCCTTGAATTAAAATTAATCTTTGAAATTACCTGTCTGAGAGTAGGATGGTCTGGCCATTCAGAAAGTAGCTCCTGAACACGGGTAGTCAGGCGTTGCAGTACTGGTCGACACTGGACAACCTCTGAAACATTTGGGTCATGATAGATGTCAAATGTTGGTTTTCCTTTCATCCGTTCAAGGTCATTACCACAGGACACAGATGGAGTAATCTGCTCCAGAATCAGCCTTGTTGCCAACAGATGCCCTCCAATAATTTGTGAATCTACTTTGTTAGCTGAAAAAAATTAGAAATCAAACATTAGCTTAGCTGTTATCACTTTTGTGCAACAATTGGTAAACACTGTACTTTCATTGAAAATCTACACAGAAAACAAGAGGCCCAGAGGGCCTGTATTGCTCACCTGGATCTTTATGACCAACAGCACTATATCTGTGCATATGTTCCACCTTTATTACATTTGACTCCTGTGACCTTGACTATGGGTCATTTCTTTTTGCAAACCTTCTTGGACTTCATAAAAGGAACATACTGGCCAAATGTAATGATTATAGGCTTTTCGATATTTCAGAAGAAATTGTTTAAATGTTTTAACACATTTGACCCCTGTGATCTTGAAAATTGGTCAAGGTCATTTCTTTTAGCAAACTCTGTAGGACACCAAAAGAGGAACATAGTAGCCTAATATAATTATTCTAGGCCTTCCGGTATTTGGGGAGAAGTTGTTTAAAGGTTTTAACACATTTGACCTCTGTGACCTTGAATATGGGTCAAGGTCATTTCTTTTAGCAAAATTTGTTGGGCTTCATCAAAGAAACCTTCTAGCTATATATAATGATTCTAGGCCTCCCGATATTTTGGAAGAAGTCGCTTAAAGTTTTATTACACATTTGACCTCTGTGACCTTGAATATGGGTCAAGGTTATTTTTTTTGCACACTTTGTTGGGCTTCATCAAAGGAATCTTCCAGCTATATATAATGATTCTAGGCCTTCCAGTATTTTGGTAGAAGTTGTTTACATGTTTTAACACATTTGACCTCTGTGACCTTGAATATGGGTCAAGGTCATTTCTTTTTGCAAACATTTTTGGGCTTCATCAAAGGAATCTTCCAGCCAAATACGATAACTGTACGCCTTTTGATTTTCAGAAGATGTTGTTTAAATGAAAAGTTGACGGACGCAGGACTTGACGGACGACGGACAGACGACAGACGCTGCGGTATGGCATAACCTCACTTTGCCCTTTGGGCCAGGCGAGCGAACAATATTTTACAAAAATTTGGCTTTTCTCCATTTTCTCTCATCAATTCATTATCAAGACCATTTAGATCAGTTTAAGTTGCAAAATCAAAATAAGTTTAGAAGGTGTTGGAATTTCAAAATGTTTCAAAGCAATCACTTACATAAGATATCATAGGTTAGGGTAGCCATGACACTCCCTACGTAGTAGGTGGACAAGGAGGGCGCGACCAGGTCCTGTGTATTCACCTGAGGAGCTGGTAGTCGTGGTAACCATTTAGTCTGACAGAGAGAGGTGAACACCTGGTGGTGAGTCTGATACACATGGTACATCTCCTCCTCAGTGATCATGTCCGGAGTTGTCTCCTCTTGCTCAGCTCCTCCGACATTGTTTGGAGTCTCCATCTCTTCTGACTCCTCAAGTGTGTCTTTGCCAGTGATGTCAACAAATTCCTTCACAACAAAAAAACAATTCAGCTGAATATAAAGTCAACATATTTTACATGTTTATCTTTGGTGTGAAGGAGATAGGAGTATCTTTTTATTTTTTCGTTCCTTCAATGTCTATCTGACAACTTCACATCATACCTTATCTCACGTAAAAGCTACAACAGGTTACTCATTCAATCGAGGATTTGGAAATTTGCTTATTTTATGTGAGTATATATTTTTGTGAAATTATGACACCAACATGGATGAGAATTGACCTGTATGTGTAACCCATTGATTGCCATCAGGAGCTGATATTCCTCTTACTTTGCCTTAAATAAATTTTTTGTTATTAAACTCAACTGAGAGGAAACCAAAATTCTACAAAGATGAACTGATATTTACAGATTTATAAACAACAACAAACGATGGATATACGATTAGAAAATTGTAATGAACACATCCAATATAAAAACCATACTAATAAGATCATAACAAAGCATATATATATACATAACATTGGACAACATGAAAACATATAAAAATTTTCCATTCAGGGCTGTCTCTGCTGCTTTATGTGATAACCGGATGTATGAATGAAGATGAGTATGATTCCTACATGCAGGCGAGTCCTAGTCCGAAATAGGAAAAGGTGGTCCTGGTTGTAGGAATGAGAAGTATAAATGAAAATTTTGAACAGTGGTTGATCGAGAATGAAGGTTTAAACTATTAAATAAAACATGACAAATTTGAAAATGAGTAAAATCAGCTTGTTGCCAGGCGAAGGAGTCCTGTACAACGAAGACTGCTAAAATAGTACACAGTCTAGGTAACATCGCCAGGCGAGGTCCTGAGTTCTACTGAAGAACCAGGCGAAAATGGTCCTGTACGGATGCACTATAACTGTACTATACGAAACTATGTATGTAGAAAATGAATTGAAAAACCCACGACTTGGGGCTAATGGACTGATTTGAAAATTGAGCAAAATCAGCTTGTTGCCAGGCGAAGGAGTCCTGTACAACGAAGACTGCTAAAATAGTACACAGTCTAGGTAACATCGCCAGGCGAGGTCCTGAGTTCTACTGAAGAACCAGGCGAAAATGGTCCTGTACGGATGCACTGTAACTGTACTATACGAAACTATGTATGTAGAAAATGAATTGAAAACCCGCGACTTGGGGCTAACAGACCGATCACATACAGCAGCCAAAACCTCCAATAAGTACCATGGTAGTGTGGACGGGGATGGTGGTGGCCAACAAAAAAATGAAGTCAGCACAACAGATGTACAACATGTCCGCTCGTTATCTTGAAGTGATACTAAATATGGTAATACTCATTAGTATGCATACAATGTAAACAAACAGAAACGAGGTTAAAGGTCAGAACTGACTATATATATAGAGCTAGCTAGTAAACACATGTATGTGACAGACCTCTAGGCATAGATAATTAAGGTAGCATAATGGTAGAAATCAGTAGTTTACAAACCAAGTTTAATAATTAAATTATTAAACAATAATTTATAAACAACAACAAACGATGGATATACGATTAGAAAATTGTAATGAACACTTCCAATATAAAAACCATACTAATAAGATCATAACAAAGCATATATATATACATAACATTGGACAACATGAAAACATATAAAAATTTTCCATTCAGGGCTGTCTCCGCTGCTTTATGTGATAACCAGATGTATGAATGAAGATGAGTATGATTCCTACATGCAGGCGAGTCCTAGTCCGAAATAGGAAAAGGTGGTCCTGGTTGTAGGTATGAGAAGTATAAATGAAAATTTTGAACAGTGGTTGATCGAGAATGAAGGTTTAAACTATTAAATAAAACATGACAAATTTGAAAATGAGTAAAATCAGCTTGTTGCCAGGCGAAGGAGTCCTGTACAACGAAGACTGCTAAAATAGTACACAGTCTAGGTAACATCGCCAGGCGAGGTCCTGAGTTCTACTGAAGAACCAGGCGAAAATGGTCCTGTACGGATGCACTATAACTGTACTATACGAAACTATGTATGTAGAAAATGAATTGAAAAACCCGCGACTTGGGGCTAATGGACCAAATTGATATGCGCAGCATGAGAAAGCCCCAAAAATTGATAATAGGTGTAGGTGATAGTTCAAGATATGAATGTGATATGGGAATAAAAGTAAACACTCACATTAACAAATGTTGGAAAGTGGCTTCTAAATTCTTCTTCTTCAATGACATCTATGTGTCGCTCATCTCCGTGGACTTTGGACTTGTATCTGTAAAGACTCTCTTCCTCCCTCTCTTGCTCTCTCCTTGCTTCCTCCTGTTTCTGCCAAGATGTCACAAATTGATGGAACAATACAGACAAGGTGAAGGTCAAATCAGGTGTCAACTCCCTCCTCACTAGGCTGTCTGACTTCAAAAGGTCAAGGCTGGCATGTAGTAACCTGGTAAAAGGCAAACATTATGGCTTTGAAAACAAGGTTTCCTGTTTGTTTTCTGGGATAATTGACCAATCAAAATTTAGGATCATTTCTCCTTATAACAGCCATCAGCTACCTCACCGAACAACAGACTGGAGGGTCAGCAGATGGCTACCATGGCAAATTTTTAGGGAAAAGTGTCTAGCTCAAGGGCCAAACAGTCTGTTTCTCCAGTTTCAGAGAAATACAAACTGCCACGGACAGTAATTGCACCACGAACAACCTCAGATCTTCACAAGATGAAAACTGTATATGTTGAATCAAGAAGGGCCGACCTACAACAGAGTCTATATCATATTACAAGTTCTGGTGTGTTTGTTTTACCTCGAAATCAGTTGTTTTTTCTGTTGGTATTTAGTGTCCTGAGTGTTTTTTCTCTGAATCACAGTCAGAAGGAAGCTTGATGTCAGGTCAGAGATTAAAGATTTCACAAGATCAAGGTTACTAGGATATGCTTCAGATATTGTTGGGAACTTGGCCATCATCAGCAACTTTTCCTCCAGGTTCCCATGTGACTACAAAGTAAAGGGCTTTCTATATTAATACTATATCACTAGAGGCAGGATTATGGAAAAGATTGACCATAACAAACAATTAACGAGCAATAGCCTCATCGAAATTTTGAAATGACAAAAAATTCAGTCCTTCTGCGAAACAATATTCACGTTTACAATGAAAAATCCTCTTTAACTCCATTATAAAGTTTATTTGCTCTGAATTGCATAGTGGGCCAAATTTCAAAACCCTACAAATAAAGTTTCTGATAGCAATCGACAGATAACCAAGTTTTAATTTGCCGAGTGTTCTGAACACTTTGAATTTCTTCACATTGTAAAGTTTTATCAAATACATGCTATTCCATATACATTATTATATGTATTACAATATCTTACCTCTTGACCAATCAGCTGTTGCCTGACTAGTTGCTGCTGAGCACTTCCTGTGACTAGACGCATACCATGCCTAATTAACATCACTGTCAGACTAAATGGGGTCACTAAATCACGGTACTCCGGGTACCGGGAATCTAGGTTATCAAGGAAAGATTCTTGAGTCTTTTGCCACATCTTTTCCTCGGCAAACTCATTCCCTGTTGTCGTGGTGACAGATGTAAGTCTACACTGGAGTTGAAGAATGTGATCCTCATTCCCGACACTTGATAAATAGTCCTTGAGGTCGTTCACAAGAAACTTAAACTGAAATGTATTTCAATATTTCATTTCAAAGCCAAGTTTCAAAGTAAACAAATAAAGCAAAGTGTCTTGCTTTTCACATAGCACCCTGCACATGTGTTCATATATACAAAATAGAATCATTTCAAGCAATGAAGAACATATGAAAAACACTATACAAATCACTGAAGCCAGATCATGAGAATGTGCTTATATTGATAAAACAGGGTTTTATGTTTGTTGGGGGCCATGAAATTTTAGATGGTAAGATATTGTAAAATTACTTTGAAAAATAAACAACTTTCAAGCAACAGATGCTAAATTTATGAATTAGTGCATGTAAATCTTTTGTACTTGTATGAAAACGACTGAATTAGAACATTATGTACATAATATCACTTGTTAAGTATTATTTTGTTTTACAATCGCTTGAGTAGTTTTTCCCAAGTTCAGCAATAAAAATACAAGAGATCCCAGAGGGATCTTGGCGCCCACCATTTGAGGATCTATTTTCAGTTCTTGAAGATTTGTTTATTATTTTTTGTTTGTTACAGATGTTGTAAATGTTCATGAACTGGTCTTCATTGAATGTACTCAATGATGGCACAAGATATTTTTATTAAGCACTTATTAGCAAATATCATTTGAAAAAGATCCCAAAGTAATATTAGATAGCAGTCAGTTACAGGTGGATAATGGACAATATGTTTGTGCTGTATTACTGTCGACATCCAAGATGGCGGCCTGTGGGCCACCTTGATTTTAAATCAGTCCAAAAAAGGTACAATGCACAACTAGGGACCAAGGGGAACCTGCATATGAAATTTGAGAAAGATCCATCCAGTACTTTCTCAGAAATAGCGGTAACAAACTTTTACTTCCAAAATCCAAGATGGCCACCTGTAGGCCATCTTGAATTCAAATCAATCCAAAAAAGGTACAATACACAACTAGGGACCAAGGTGAACCTGCATATGAAATTTGAGAAAGATCCATCCAGTACTTTTCCAGAAATAGCGGTAACAAGAATTGTTTACGGATGGACGGACGGACGGACAGACGGACGGACCACGGACGCAGGGTGATTTGAATACCCCACCATCTGATGATGGTGGGCTAATAAAATATCCTCTAACATCCAGATCTAGTCAAATCTCTATCGATATGTTTAACTTTACAAGGTCATGATTCACAATAATTAACTAACCTTAGAAGGCTTTGGTCGGTATGCCTGCTGCAGTTCCAGCTTGGTGATCTTTTCCTGAAGATGTTTTGTCATGGCGACCAAATAAGGTATGCGTGGATGTACCAAGTAGTCAGGTAGACTGGACAGGGGTTGACCAGTGGTTGAAAGATGATGTTGATCATAAACACTCAGCTCGGCCTGTATGTCTGCCAGCTGTAACATCACATAAGAAAGTATACACATCATAGTCTGTTTACAAGTGATTTGAACAGAACCAAAGTAAAAGTTTTGATTCTGAATTAGAAATAATCTTATAACTATCATTACATGAATAATTATTTCAAGCAATGTAATGATTCTAAACAGGACCAAATGCAACAGGATGGCACCCGATTGACCTTATATCCACATCCGTCATAAACTGACAGGAGCATAAAAACATACAGTCTAACCTGCATTAAACGGCCACTGTTGGGAAATTATGAAAGTGGCCTTTAGAGAGGTGGCCTCTTAATTGATGTTCCTTATTTTCGAACCCAAGTTGCGGCAATTTGCACATTGATATTTGAATACAGTTTAATAATAAGATATAAAACATCATCTGTTATTATTTATTATCTTGTAAGCATGTAATTTGAAGACAGACCAATCTTTATTTTATGACAGAACTGTAATAGGGTTAAGTTTTATATAAATATATATAATTTTGGCCGCTGTTGTCTAGCGTCGCGTCGTTGGGATTTTCGCGCCGTCTGTGATCGTTATAAATGTATGTATATATGTTGCGTCTATATGTCCAGTTTGCCCGTGTGACGTAGTGTGTCTATATATGTCCAGTTATTGTCTCGTTTTCGTTCTTTGGTCTTTGTCTGTATTTGGCGGGTTTTTTAGTGGACAAAGGGGACATTGACTACTACGGACGATTGAAACCTCCGTCCGGCTTACGAACACATTTGTCCCGTAAATTTAATCATCTAGATCTACGATCCAATGATATCATTCATTTGCCTACGATCGAGCCCTATGTTACTTTAGGACCCTTAACCCATTGTTGGGGGTCTTTAGGGTTTTTACCTAATAAATGGATGGAACCGGATATGGTGTTCGCCCTCATTATTCTTGAAATAACCACCAAATTTACATTGGCGCCCACGTAGATGTACTCGACAGTAAGATGAACGGATGAGACAGCCTACCGTGATGCAGAATTTCTGATCCGGACAGTTCCGTTCCTTTACTCCTGATTGTACTACGCACCCTAGTATAGTGTTCCGGTTTACCCTACTTCCGGTTTCCAACACGTGAATGACAGTGACAACATTGGGATTTCAGTGAAGTAAAGACAGTGATGTTTTACAGTATTAATACCCAGGTGAAGGTGAAGACTTACTCCGATAGAGAATTACCTTACCATCCCACTTGTGCGATAATCCAGCCAGCCACAGACTGTGTTACCTCAGAAGGTTTGGATATTACTCCTGGATTGATCTCCTACCATTACCAAGGAAATAGGAATGTGGAGGTGGAGCTTGCTAACACTACCAGTAGGTGTTTATCTGTGTCGCCAAAGGCTTTACTGTGTGAGATTACACCAGTTACCATTCTGGATAAGGATGACCAGACAGATGAAGTAGAGGAGATAGAAAAGTTGATGGAGAAGATTGAGATTGATGAAGATTTTCTCTCAGCTACAGAAATTGAGGAGGGGAGACAACTCATCATGTCCTTTAAGGATATCTTCTCCAAGAATGATAAGGATATTGGATTTTCCAATGCAGTTAGGCACAGGATAGACATGCATGATTCAACGCCTATCAAGCAACGACACAGAAGGATACCCCCATCAATGTACGAGGAAGTAAAGAACCATCTCCATACTCTTCTGGACATAGGGATCATCCGTCCGTCACACAGCCCGTGGTCTTCGCCAGTTGTTCTAGCCAAGAAAAAGAACGGAGAACTACGTATGTGTGTTGACTTCAGAGAAATTAACAAGAGGACGATACGTGATTTTTATGCTTTGCCCAGAATTGAGGATATTCTTGAGTGTTTGTCTGGAGCAAGATACTTCACAGTCCTGGATATGAAGTCAGGCTACCATCAGGTTGAGGTTGATGACTGTCATAAGGAACGTACAGCTTTTACAGTTGGGCCCCTTGGTTTTTATGAATATACCAGGATGCCATTTGGCCTGTCGAACGCTCCCGCAACATACCAGCGGTTAATGGAGGAATGCCTAGGGGACCTTCATCTCAACATCTGCCTGATTTACTTGGACGATCTCATTATCTTTTCAAACACTTTTGAGGAACATCTTCGCCGATTGGAAAAGGTACTTCAGAGATTAAGAAAGTGCGGTTTGAAGTTGTCTCCGAAGAAATGTAAGTTTTTCCAAAGGAGAGCAGTGTACCTTGGACATATGATTTCTGAGGAGGGAATTTCACCAGATCCAAGCAAGATCGAGAAGGTACTGAACTGGCCAGAGCCCACTACTCCAGAGGAAGTCCGTGCCTTTTTGGGCTTTGCAGGGTATTATCGGAAGTTCATCAAGGACTTTGCTAAGATTGCTAAACCCTTGAACGAGCTGTTACCTGCTTGTGCCAAGATTGGAGGAAAGAAGAACAAGACAAAGAAGAACTCGGATTCCGACTGGAAATGGGGTCAAGCTGAGATGCAAGCCTTTCAGAAGCTTAAGGACTGTTTGTCAACACCACCAGTACTTGGATATGCTCAGCCAAACCAGCCATTTGAACTCCATACTGATGCATGTGGACAGGGATTAGGAGCCGTCTTATATCAACATCAGGGTGACAGTCTCCGCGCAATCAGCTTCGCAAGTAGAGGACTCTCCAAATCAGAACGGAACTACCCCGCCCACAAATTAGAGTTCCTTGCGCTTAAATGGGCTGTTACTGAGAAATTTAACGATTATCTCTATGGACAACGATTTACGGTTTTCACGGACAACAACCCTTTAACATATGTCTTGACGTCAGCGAAGTTGGATGCAACTGGACACAGATGGGTTTCTGCGTTAGCTGCTTTTGATTTCGACATTCGCTATCGGCCAGGAAAAAGCAATGCTGATGCAGATGCACTTTCCAGGCTTCCGATGACCATGGATTCTGTCCGTGCAGTTAGCCAGTCCATCAATTCTTCGCTGTCTTTTGTGGAAAGTCTTTGTTCACCTGCACAAGTTGCTGATGCCCTTGAGGATCCTTGCGTTGGTGATTTAGAGAAGATGACATCAAAGGATTGGAGAAGAGTCCAACGACAAGATGTGTTGTTGCGTCCATGGATGCAGTTAGTATCCAAGTACAGGAAACCGAATCGTCGAGATTTTCCTGCGACTAAAGAGAATTCCCAGATGTTCAAGATTGCTGACAGCTTGACGATGCGTCGTGGCGTTCTGTTTAAGGAGGTTAATAGAGATGGTGTATACCACTACCAGCTAGTTTTACCCTCGGCCTACATCAAGAAAGCCTTGAAAGGACTCCATGATGACATAGGACATCCTGGGAGGGACAGGGTATTATCTCTACTACGTGACAGATTCCACTGGTCCAACATGACGAAGGATGTAGAGGAGTGGGTCAACGAGTGTCCACGCTGTATCCGAGCTAAGACTTCGAGGAATGAGCGAGCACCCTTGGTTGGGATACACACTTCTCATCCGCTTGAGTTAGTGTGCATGGATTTTCTGTCTCTGGAACCATGTAAAGGAGGATTTGCCAACGTCCTTGTTGTCACAGACCATTTTACAAAGTACGCGCAGGCATTTCCAACTCGAGACCAAACTGCGAAGACAACAGCTGCTACCCTTTACAACAATTTCATCATTCACTATGGTATTCCAAGACGCCTACATTCTGATCAAGGCCCAAACTTTGAAAGTTCAGTTATATCGGAACTTTGTGATCTTCTCGGGATGGAGAAATCACATACTACCCCCTACCATCCCATGGGAAATGGAATTACTGAGCGGTTTAATCGTACCCTCATCTCTATGCTTCGCACCCTGAAACCAGAAGAAAAGAAGGATTGGAAGGTATATATCCCATCTTTAGTCCACGCCTACAATTGCACCCGTCATGAGTCTACTAAAGTTTCACCTTTTTATCTCATGTTTGGAAGAGAGCCTCGTCTACCATTGGACATTGTGTTTGGTTTAGGTGGACTTGTTAAAGAAGAACAGACTCTCTCCGACTACACCAAGGACCTTAAGGATCGATTAACCTTCAGTTACGACTTAGCTTCAGAGATGCTATCGAAAGCGAAAAGGAGACAGAAGGCCCATTACGACCTGAAGGTCAGAGGATTGCCTATTAAGGTTGGAGATCGTGTATTGGTGAAGAAGCTTGCTTTTGATGGGAAGCACAAACTGGAAGACCTTTGGGAGGAAGATGCCTGTACAGTGATTAACCAACCTAACCCGAATATTCCTGTGTTCGTAGTGGAACCAGATTCAGCAGAGGGAAGGACAAGAACCTTACACAGAAACAACCTGTTGCCTATAGGATACATTCCACACGAAGAAATGTCCTTGGATAATCTGGATAGCAAGGTTGAGCCTTCCATGGAAAACACAAACTTAGCCCTCGCAGATATAGAAGACTCTGACAACGAGGATACAAATGTTTTATTGGCACCTTGTACAGCTGGCAGTTCGGAGTCAGATGATGAAGAAGGCGATACGGCAGTACGGGATCCGGATGACGATCCAGGCTCTCCTGTGTCTGCCACTGGTCCGCCTGGTGACGACCAGTTCTCTACTGAGGAGGGAGGACCAGCAGATGATGCCAATAAAGACGTAAAACAAGATGATGTTCCGAAGTCAGACTCAGTAGTGTCATCGACTGGTGAACTTGGGCAGGATACAGTTGTCATCCCAACTGATGATGTCTTGGACCAAGACAAATCTCATACGAACGAGGAACATGTGTCAGAGCGTCCGGTGCCTCTTCCCCGAAGATCTACAAGAATTTCCAGACCGCCACAATGGCAAACTTCGGGTGAATTTGTAATGGGAGGAGCAAAGAGTTCGCAAGTAAATGTTGCTTCGTGGAACCTTAAGGCAAAGCTTTTGGAAAACTTGGCAAAGGAAGGTGTGTTTTCCAGAATTAATCCAGATGCTACCACTGCTTTAATCAGAATCATTTGTGATATATAAGCCTTAAACGTCTTTTCTTATTTTGATATTTATGTTTACCTTTGACAGTTTGTAATTCATTTTATCAGTGATTGCGACATTTTCACTTTATGTTTGTCGTGAATGATATTTGCTTTTAATCTATTTCAGAATTGAATATTTAGTGATGTTAATATGTAGTATGTAAGCTATTCTCTTTGATAAGTATATCAACAAATGTTGACATGGTGTGAATTATCCTTGTATAATTTAGGTGACGAGGGCGTCCCTTTTCCTTAGCGGGGGGAGGATGTAATAGGGTTAAGTTTTATGTAATTTTGGCCGCTGTTGTCTAGCGTCGCGTCGTTGGGATTTTCGCGCCGTCTGTGATCGTTATAAATGTATGTATATATGTTGCGTCTATATGTCCAGTTTGCCCGTGTGACGTAGTGTGTCTATATATGTCCAGTTATTGTCTCGTTTTCGTTCTTTGGTCTTTGTCTGTATTTGGCGGGTTTTTTAGTGGACAAAGGGGACATTGACTACTACGGACGATTGAAACCTCCGTCCGGCTTACGAACACATTTGTCCCGTAAATTTAATCATCTAGATCTACGATCCAATGATATCATTCATTTGCCTACGATCGAGCCCTATGTTACTTTAGGACCCTTAACCCATTGTTGGGGGTCTTTAGGGTTTTTACCTAATAAATGGATGGAACCGGATATGGTGTTCGCCCTCATTATTCTTGAAATAACCACCAAATTTACAGAACTATAAATACAAAAGAACAAAATTGAAAGGAAGGCATGTACAAGTTTTAATGAAGCTATTGAAAAAAAGAGCGGATGTCTGATTTTTTCGAACGGCTGTCAATAAATTCATTTGCTATCAGATCTTCAATCTCCATAAGACAAGACAGAATATCACATTTGCCCCCTGTATTGCAAACTTTTTTATTTTTGCCAAAGAATGAATAAAATCGTTCATTAACATAACTGGTTCGACTCTTGTCACATTCACTTTCGATATCATGTCTCCTCTGATTCACAATCTGTGCCAGTATTGAGGAGGCTGGGTTATCCCAATTGGTCAAACTATCATCGCAAGTTTTGATATTTCGTCGATCAACCACAGTTCCTTAAAGTCACATCCGAAAATTTCACGCAACATTTTTACAACACTTAAAGGGATATCATCATCATCGTTGTCGTCGTCATCGCAACCCGTGGGATCAGCATTGTCACTCTCTTCCTGTACTTGGGGGTTTGTGGTTTGGTCTGTGTTCTCAGTCATTCAGTCAAACCCCGCCTTTTTGAAACACTTCTCGATAGTTGAGTCTTCCACCTCATCCCACGACTTCTTTACCCAGTAAATTGTGTCCAGAAGCGATATATCGCTCAACATTTCACTTTTTGTGGTTCTATCCAATTCCTTAATCATGTGATTAAGTTGACACTTACGAAATTTAAGTTTCAAAGTTTGTATTATGCCAAACTCAATACAAAATGCATGGTGAATTGTGTTTACATGCCATCAGCTGTTTTCTTTGTAGGAATGTTCACATGGCAAGAAAACGTGACTCACAGTCAAGAAAACTTGTCAAATGACTTGTGGTCAAAACGGCTGTTTAAACGAGGTTCGATCGCAAGTTTGGGGGCGAAAAGGGTGGCTGCTGACTGCGTTAGACAGGTGGCCGGTAAATTAGGTATCATTAATGAGCAAAAACGATTGGGAGAGTCTGAAAACGGCCGTTATAAGCAGGTGGCCGTCTAACTAAGGTGGCCGTTATGACAGCTCAGACTGTATATCAGACATGAAACATTGCAGTCATTGAGTGGAACTAGGAAGCTAACTTTAGAACAAAGGGACACAAACAGGGAATAAGGGCCATATTTCCATCTAGTTCATGGGACATTTGAACAAAGTTCAGAAGCGATGAATGGTGAATTCAGATAGATAAAACATACCACACATGTTGGTTGTATGTGAGCTTGTGATATCTGAGTGCTATCTACTGAGACATCGTGCTACAAAAGAGTGGGGGAGTGTGGTGGAGGGGGGGAGGGGGAGAATTCAAGACACTGGTGTTGTTTATTTCCTTGATCAAGATGTTTTCCTTGATGCTTCTTTTCATTCACAAAAAAGAATTAATTTTCCACTTTAACTGAAATTAACAAGTAAATGCCAATCATTTTATATGCAGAATTTTGATATAAGATCATAAATAACACATATGTTACATACCTCTTGCCTGGCATACTTGAGTTTAACTGCCACTTTCTCTACAGGATCCACACCGATAGTTGGCACCAACAGCCTTCTCTGTAGGAGGCCCAGGTGGAGCCAGGCTGTTCCCACATCCATCAGACTAACTGGTGGTTCCTCAAACACTTTATACAAGCTATAGAAACTCCTATGGATCAGACATGCTAGATCAGGTAAACTTTCAGTCAAGCAACTTTGAAACAATTCCAGTCTTTCTCTCAAGAACTGCTCAATAGCAACCTCACCTCCGCCTTCATGTTTCATGGCTTGATTCCATTTCATCACCATGGATTGGATTTCACTGACGAGTGTTCTAGAGTGCTCCCCCATGTCAGGGGAAACAATTATGGTGGCAGATTTCAAGAAAAAGACAAATACCTCCAGTAAATGTTGCTTCTCTAAAAACCTGTGAAAAAAAAAATTCAGTCATGATTGATATACTTTATCCACACTTTCTAAAAGGCATTGCTTAAATCTATTACACTGTCAGTTTTGGTTTGACAAAAGATGACAGAGACATAATACAGATGGATATGAAACTTGGCCAAATGAAGTTTTCTCTGGCTTTAGCTTTTGTGTTTGTTCACAATGTCATCAAGCCCCCTCTCCTCATGCTAATTACCTAATTTGATCTACCTATGCCCCATTTACTTTTATACTGCTGTTAGTGTAGACTTCCAATGTTACAGTCGGACAACTAAAGTACATCTTCAGAACTAAAACACTAGTTGTAGTTAAAGCTATATCATTATAGCATCATTATAATTAAACATTTAAAGAAGGGACTGGATGGGTCCTGGTTACCCTCAGCTTTGCCTCAGAAAATACAGACCTGTCTGGAAACTTACTATATTCCATCATCCTCTACTCTTACTGTAGAGCTAATCTGATGGTAAGAAAAAATGAAAGAAAAAACAAACTACAACTGTATCAATTTTCTTCGTTTTGAAAGTATAAAAGCAAATATTAACAAATTACCAAATGAAAAGTGAACAATTACCATGGTGAGTACTGCTGGCATGACATCAATGGACCATGTGACCAAAGATGTCTGGCAACAAGAGCCAGTCTCTGAGCCTGGGACTGCCAATGTCCTAATGACACTTGTAAACAGTGAAGGTCAGATGGGGCAAACCCCAGGCACCTCTTCTCCTCTCCACCTCCACACAGAAAGGTACACACAGTGTAGGTAGGCGTGGCCATATGGAATGAATATGGACCCTTGATGAAAGATATGAAGCATACAAGTTACCGAGATTTTGAGGACCAACATTATGTGTAACACATATGAGAATATGAGAAAAGAATAATGCAAATATTAAAACTTTATATAATATAACAATAATTGTTTCTATTCAATCGTTACTAAATTCTCTTTTTGCATCTGGTATGTTAAAATTTCAGTTTTCTTATTTTTGCCATACCTGAAATTAATACAAGTTACTAGATATCAAACACACTAAAGCCTACGTCATATACAATATTTATCAGGTTACCAAGCATTAGGTAATATGCCTTCAAAATAATTTTTTGGTGAAACATCCTAATCAGGATACCTGAAGCCTTCATTGTATGATTTTGATACAATACAAACTTCACAATGTGATTTGTCCGAAAATCCAGAATTCACTGTAAGAAAATTTTAAATAAAGGATCTTACCTGAGTCTCCATTCATATAAGATTGATGAAACTTGTTTATTTTACACAACCAAACACTGATTACATGAACTCTGCAAATTTTTTTTTACAGAAAACAAGCTCATGGCTCTACAGTACAAACAACTTCTTCACTGTGGGAACATTTAATGCATTCAGGGAGACTGTGATACTGTGGCAGCCCCTTCACTACAGGCTAATTACAGTGATTACTAAATGTTACATGGGTGTATTTACAGAAATCGTGTGATAAATCATTACAACATACACAGAGGCTGTCCTTGACATGACTTGATGTATCATCCTGGTCATCCCGTTCACCCCAGAGAAGCCAGGAGTCTATATGTTTCACAGCAGTGCAGTTCCATGTTTTCCTGAACAACTGTTTATGCAGGGTCATCCGACATATCTGTGGAAAATATCAATATTTAAAAGGTTAAAAAATGCTTTAATTTTTTTCCCTTTCTGAAATAAAATTGAAATAAGGTGAATTTAAGACTGCTGTAACTGTTACCTGTTGAGTTACCAGTACTGTAACTGTTACCTGTTGAGTTACCAGAACTGTAACTGTTACCTGTTGAGTGACCAGTGCTGTAACTGCTACCTGTTGAGTGACCAGTACTGTAACTGTTACCTGTTGAGTGACCAGTACTGTAACTGTTACCTGTTGCGTTACCAGTGCTGTAACTGTTACCTGTTGAGTGACCAGTACTGTAACTGTTACCTGTTGAGTTACTAGTCCTGTAACTGCTACCTGTTGAGTTACCAGTGCTGTAAGTGTTACCTGTTGAGTGACCAGTACTGTAACTGTTACCTGTTGAGTGACCAGTACTGTAACTGTTACCTGTTGAGTGACCAGTCCTGTAACTGCTACCTGTTGATTGACCAGAACTGTAACTGTTACCTGTTGCGTTACCAGTGCTGTAACTGTTACCTGTTGAGTGACCAGTACTGTAACTGTTACCTGTTGAGTGACCAGTACTGTAATTGTTACCTGTGACTGTAACTGTTACCTGTTGAGTGACCAGTGTAACTGTAACTGTTACCTGTTGAGTGACCAGAACTGTAACTGTCACCAGTTGAGTTACCAGTTCTGTAACTGCTACCTGTTGAGTTACCAGTGCTGTAACTGTTACCTGTTGAGTTACCAGTCCTGTAACTGCTACCTGTTGAGTGACCAGTGCTGTAAGTGTTACCTGTTGAGTGACCAGTACTGTAACTGTTACCTGTTGAGTGACCAGTACTGTAACTGTTACCTGTTGAGTGACCAGTACTGTAACTGTTACCTGTTGAGTGACCAGAACTGTAACTGTTACCTGTTGAGTGACCAGAACTGTAACTGTTACCTGTTGAGTTACCAGTCCTGTAACTGCTACCTGTTGAGTGACCAGTGCTGTAACTGTTACCTGTTGAGTGACCAGTACTGTAACTGTTACCTGTTGAGTGACCAGTTCTGTAACTGTTACCTGTTGAGTTACCAGTTCTGTAACTGTTACCTGTTGAGTGACCAGTACTGTAACTGTTACCTGTTGAGTGACCAGAACTGTAACTGTTACCTGTTGAGTGACCAGTACTGTAACTGTTACCTGTTGCGTTACCAGTGCTGTAACTGTTACCTGTTGAGTGACCAGTACTGTAACTGTTACCTGTTGAGTGACCAGTACTGTAACTGTTACCTGTTGAGTGACCAGAACTGTAACTGTTACCTGTTGAGTTACCAGTGCTGTAACTGTTACCTGTTGAGTGACCAGAACTGTAACTGTCACCAGTTGAGTTACCAGTCCTGTAACTGCTACCTGTTGAGTTACCAGTCCTGTAACTGTTACCTGTTGAGTTACCAGTCCTGTAACTGCTACCTGTTGAGTTACCAGTGCTGTAACTGTTACCTGTTGAGTTACCAGTCCTGTAACTGCTACCTGTTGAGTTACCAGTGCTGTAACTGTTACCTGTTGAGTTACCAGTGCTGTAACTGTTACCTGTTGAGTGACCAGTACTGTAACTGCTACCTGTTGAGTTACCAGTCCTGTAACTGCTACCTGTTGAGTTACCAGTGCTGTAACTGTTACCTGTTGAGTGACCAGTACTGTAACTGTTACCTGTTGAGTTACCAGTGCTGTTACTGTTACATGTTGAGTGACCAGTGCCATAACTGTTACCTGCTGGTGGTTAGTATGTCCGAGCATGCTGTATTTGTTGATCTGTGTTGGGGATACCGGGGTAAAGGTCAGACAAAAATCGTTGAAAGTGTTACATCCATCAGACACATCACCAGCGTAGAGTTGTGGCACAATTGCTGTCTCTGCCACCAGGGTGGCATATTCAAAAAGAGGCCACAAACACACATGTTGCCATGGTGAACGGACAACCATATCATTCTCTGGTTGAGACTGGATATCAGAAGCCATATCGTCATCAATAGTTTTATCCAAACCAAACATTTTCAGAGTGGCCTGAATCTGTTTCTCCTTCACTTGGTACTCATCTGAAAGCATTCAAACATTAACCATCTTAAAAAAATAGCATCCAAGCTTGATAATATACCTACTTTTCAGAGTAAACTGAATTAACATCTAATAAATTTTTATTATTTCTCACTTCATCTTTAAATACATAAATTTTTCCATGAACTGTTTGTTTATGGTAGGTACATGGAAGATCATTTGCTTTAAATTTTCAGAAGAGAACTTTGAAAAAAACCCAGATATTTTCTTTAACTCATAAGAGGGATTCAGTAAACGATGAAAATGAAGTTGGAATTATAAAGGCATTAAAAATCAAAAAATGAAAAAACAAACCACACATGACAGATTTCAGTTCACAATACGCAGCAAATGTCATGAATACAACTCACCATCAATACACTGAGTGTTGCCGAGTACATCAGTTAGGGCCCTCTGCAGTGTCATCATAGTTTCTACACCACCACAAAGCAAAAGTTTCACTTTCTTCTTTGTAACTATGGCAACTGTCTCAACCTCCAGATCACATGCTTTACACAGTTCACATAAGGTCAAGGCCATCGCTGCCTGCTGCTGTGTCCTGAATGGAGCAGGATGACCAATAGATTTCCAGAGGTGCACAAATTGTTTGTCGTTGTGTGCAAAGGATGGGTGAAGATGACTGACTACAGAATGCAAGTGGTGTGGAAGGCTGGAGGGAGAAAGCAAAAGACCAGAACAATAAGAATTTCTCAAATCTTTATGTACATCAACAGGATCTTACATGTAATAGGTAATACAGTATTTATTGAAACCAAATTCAACAACTTGATCAATTATGGAGCTTTAAGGGAGTGATATTTGAATTTTTTTTATAAAATTAAACATGAACCTTTTTAACACTTTCCATACTACGAGACGACAAATATAAAATTACATTCATCACAAAAATCATCTTAAGTAATAAGTAAAAAACTTTTATAAATGCCTATAATAAAAGCAACTTGTACTTTTGACAAAGTAAAAGAAAGATTTTCTAAACCTAGGGTATTTATGTAGATGTATTTCATGCATAAAGCTGGATCACATTTTATAATAAAATAAATTGACACTACTCTAATATTAATGTTACCTGTCTTTGAGAAGGAGCCAGGTCCTCTTGTAGAACATGTGCCAGTGTAAAGTCATGTAATGGTACTCCATTTCTTCACCAGTTATTGAACCTTCACACGCCTCCAACAGTCGACACCACGACGTCACTGCATCTAGTACCTACAACAGTCAAGGTCATAATATCGAAAAACCTAAACAAAGTCAAGATGACAGTTCCTACGACAGTCGAGGTTAAACTACCCACAACATTCAAGGTCACAATAGATATAATAGTTCAGGTGACAGTTTTTTCAACAATAAAAGTCAAATATCCTGTCAAGGTCATTATACCTGCAACAGTCATTTTCAAAGTACCTACTACAGTCAAGGCCACAGTAAAAAGGTCACAGTACCTACAACAGTCTAATACCATCTCATTTAGGAGTAAAGAATATAAGGTATTGCCAGCAATAAACAGTCCTCTACTTTCAGTCAAAGTGTATTTCAGGACAGCAATCTTTCCAATGTTAACAGTACTAACAAACAAAATATGACACTTGTAGGTGAAAGTTAAAGAAATATTGAACCAGAAATTTGTGACATTATCTTCAAGTGATTTATACGTCAGTACTGAAGGAGAAATAGACAATATATGTGACACCATGCTAAATGAGTGATAATGATACTGACCTTGACCACATCTGTGTACTCAGACACTTGGAGGGACACAATAACCTTTAGTAGTTCCTCCTTTTGTGATAACAATACATACATATCACATAGCTCTGCGTGGTCTAGTCTACCTAGGGCCGATTCTGTAATACAATATCAAACTTACAATGCTTTAAATATATGTTTGCTAATAAGCACACCCATATGTGTTGCTGTCCAGTCAAATTATAAATCAATGCTGTTCCCTACAATAAGCACAACCCCAGTGTTTAGGTCAGATGTAACATGTCGGCACCATAGACTTTTTCCAGGACTAATAAAATAATATACATGTGTTTTTTAGCTCTCTAGAAAAATACATCTGTTATTGTCAAGAAATCATTGACTTTATTTTAATCATAGCCGTCAAGAGTGAGCACGACAGTTATGTTACATCCATTTAATGAGGACTCTGTATACCACAGGTATCCATGGCAGTTCTAGGAAGAATTTACCGGATTTAATCGATTTCAGGACAATGTACCTCCACCTCCCCCCGCCCCTGCTCCCTGGTGTTTATTTAAATCAGTACAAATTACTAATAATAAAATTAAGTTTCCTTGAAAAACAAACACAAAGCAAATGAAATTGATAAAAGATGAAACAGATTTTATACACTGGTTCATCATGTAATAATGCCTTTGATCACTAACAACTGAAAAAGTCCTTACTGTTCATATCTGTTAACTGATGTACAATAACCCTCAGTAAACATCTGTGATGGGAATGGTTTCCTTTAATTTTTCGTTCTTAGTAATTGAAGGCACAGTACAAAAATTTATCATGAATTATGTACAAAAATTCACCATGAACTATGATACATTTCCTAGCTTAACCACAGAATATAAGATAAATGTTTCTCTTCATATATATCTACCACATTCAGTATTGGAAGCTTTGAATCTATTCAAATGTGTTTTTGTTTTATTTATTGAGTACTGAACACTTTCAAATCTTTAACAGCTTCTTAATCAAGAATCATACATATTATGTATATTTTTGAGCAGTAAAGTGCCTTGTTTCTGCTTTTTCATTCCTAAACTTTTCTTTCTATTAATCTTCTAATATTGACATCAATGATCGCATTCAAATCCTTTTTCCATTAATTTTCCATTATTTCCTACCGATCAATCACTAATAAACAGTCTACATACTCCAGAAATAGTACTTACTTTTTGTGAAAGCCCTCAATCTCTCAAGCAAAGCCTCATATGAAGCTGAGTTCAGTTTGATAAAGGCAGTCTGCATCATATGAAACCTACAAAACAATGGAATTTAAAACAGTGTGACCGTTTATCTGCTTGGTTTATTGCCCTAAGAACAGAAAGGAGCTGGTGGCTACATCACTGAATAAAGTATGCAACGCCCATCAATATCTAGAGCAACTGTGTAAAGTGTCTTGTCAGAAGGGCACAACCTCTAGAGCCAAGGACTATTAGCTTGATGAGAAGCACCAATCTTCTCAAGTATGGATTCAACCACACACCTTTTCCCTTCATCTCAGATTACAAAGTCCAAGACTTTCACTAGAAGCACAAACCTTCCTGGGTTAGGACCCAGACACACACCTTGGCCTTTTATCTGAGATTACAATGACCAAGGCTCTACCAATGGAGCTATCACAGCACCCAACAGCAAAACACAATCCCTAACATAACCACGGGGTCAATATCATCATTGGCATTGTATGTAGTAATTGTCAAAAATTGCTACACTTGTAACAATGCTGTCTCAATCAGTTAACCCTGCATACCACTTCTAAACATTCATGAATGGTACCTGTTCAGAACACCAACAACTACACTTGACATCTTTAATTAGTACCTAATATTTAATAAATGGATCATATTTTTGGGTTTGCACACCTCTACATCTATAATCAAACATTTTTTGATCAGTTACAATTGTTTTCTAAATCTCTGTCTAGATTTCAAAACTTTGGGCTCCTAGTATCCCTGACAAATCCTAAAAGGACAGCAGAGCCTTATCATTTAGTTTAATTCCTTATTTGGCTCTACTTTATCTTCTTTTATATTGAAAAGCGCTATTAACTTGTATGTGTTTTGACAATCCTGTATTACTTAACTCCATATATGAACTGATACTTTGTTTCGTGTGGTGATGAGTGGAGATGAAGAAATCCAAACACTGTTCGGGTGTTGTAGGTTTATTGAGATGTAGGCTATAGAGAGATGGAACACTCACATGCCTTCAGGAATCAATACAAACTGGCTAGAAAAGTGGTTGTATTTATACTAGCCATGTTCATTACCTTATGAAGTACTAATACACATTAGCTAACAGGTAAACATGAATTGAAGTATACATGAGTTGTCAACAAGGTCTTGCACACATAAATGGCAATAGATTCGGCTCTTTACAACAAGATAAAGATACACTGACCATCATACAAACTGCTTAGATAGGCTTCAGGTAATGACTTATATAATCAGGGAATGAACTAATACATGAACATGTGTAGTAGATCAGTAACGACAGAATACCTCTGGCCACTGGTCAATACATAATTGTTCACAGTAGATGTCATTACTAAATTAACACAGGCAGATACATTGTAATGAAACATCTACCTTATGTCTAGCACAATTTTGAATAATCTAATCTTACATATTAACTTTAAATAGTTCATATAGCTGGATACCTTATGTAAATCAATTTACCTGTTGAACATGAAGGTATAATCAGACGCTTGTTGACAAGTGTGTAAAAACTGCTGGACAGCCTGGGGATTCCATCTTGCATCTGCTGGACCATTGACTAACAGGTCTGAAACATACACTTCAATGTTATAAAAAATATCACTTGTCAAGTTTGCCCGACTTAGGGTGAATTTGATTCATCTATATATAGACTTAATATATGTACCAGCAATCACCCCTTAAACAAACCAACTTGCAACAACTAATAAGGCTTGCTTGAATAAACATGTTAACAGAGGTGGCATATTTGACGTGTCACAGTAGCAGGTCATTTATAATAAAAGTACTAGGCTAGAGCAAAGGTCAAAATTCATACCTAATGTATTTATCAAGCAATAAGTCTGTATCTCCAGAGTGTATGAGGTCAAGGCCATCCATGCATAATATATAAGAGGTCAAGGTCATACCTGAAATGTTACAGGACAGAAGATCGTTTTGGTAGTATTGAGGCAGTGCCACAACTGTCTCTCCTGTCATCAGAGGCTGCAGGCTGTCAACCAGATGTTCTGTAGAGACTTCAAGGGCAGACAACTCTTCCACATTTACCATACAACTTTTGTCAGGCCATACATGCTTTATTGTGGTGATCAACCAATCAAAATGTAGCTGTCTTTGAGTTCTTGATGATAGATTTAGGAATAAAATCCCAGCATGCCTTAATTCTTGCATCTTACATCTAAGTTTGGAAAATTCTCTGTAAAACAAATATGAAAAGAAAACATGAGCATTGCTGGTTTATGATGGTGAAATACAGACTTTACAAAGAATAATCATCTTAAATCAGTTTTATAATTAGCACAAATATATAGTTATACCAACATCAAGCATGTTTACAGTACCTGTAGCACTGCTTTTCACCTTTTATCTAATATGTTTACATTTGTTGAAATTGGAGATTACATGTCTTAACACAAATTTCAGCTTCAGGGAATCACACTTCAGCCTGTACCAAGCCAAAATTGGGTACCACATCTTGTATTACTCCTTCCTATTACAATTACTATTCCAACCATATGTGAACAAAGAACTTATTGAGTTTTGGTTGTCTTTGATAGGAAAGACGTGGAGAAAAAAGGAGTAGTGTATAAAGTAAAAACTAAAGGTTATACTTATGTCTTAGACTGGTCAGAATTTCCCTTTGGTCAAGTGAAATAGTGCTATGCTTGCATGGAGAGCAAGCAGTTATATGAGGTGAAGGTGATCACTTTTCCAATACCGGTATTAAGGTGTATTATCTTTCAGGCATCAAGAGATTGAAAACATGGAGTCAGAGTTTTAAAGTTAAGGAGAGTTACCTTTTCTTGAGGAAGTGTAAACATCTCTTAAGAACTCCCAGGAATGTTTGTCCATGTATTTTAACATTGGAAAGTTGTCTATCTTCACTGAAATCTTTTGTGTTACTAATGGTCATGGAAATTCCCACTGTATCATCAGATGACATGTCACTAAGTTGACAACAGTGGTCCTCCCAGAGCTGTCTAGCTACCTGTCACATACAATGATATTAAGACAACACAATTATTGTGGTCACCTCATCACTTACAAGGAAAACCTTTATAAACATTAGACAAACCTACAGGACTTCCCCACTTCAGGTCTACACATGTAAATTGATACAGTAACTGTATAATTATCAATTTCTGTTGGTGTTTTACCTTCAGTAATTTCATCAATAGATTTAATCCAAGAATTTTATTTCAATACATGTACAAAAGGTTAAAAGTTATACATATTTTTTCAGTGCAAAAGGATTTTGTGGATACTGTTAATATACAAAATCAAATACCATGAAAAAAAAAATGTTTTAGAAAAAAACGTGACATTTAAAGCCCCATAAACATATATAATTTTACATTATCTGTAGAAACAAACCATTGGTGTTCATACCTTTCTTGTCACAAGACTTCTGATATTTTTGACATACACATCACATGATGCATGCATCAGTGCCTTGACCAATGAAATGCCTCTGTCTTGCTGTTGTTGTGTTACTAATGCAACGTTGATTAGGTCCAGAATGACAGGCCGTTCACCAAGTGAAATATTTTCTTTCATGGCAGCGTGTAGTGACATAAGCCAATCACAAGCTCTGACATTCACTAGTCCTTGACCTTGTAACATGACCTTGACATCATGTTGGCTGTATGATGACCCATCCTCCTACAAAACAAACATATCTTACACAAACAACATCTAAGAAATGAAAATAAAGTCAGCAATTTATTTCTACTATAATTATCCAGCCATAAAGCAGCTGCCTTTCTAGGCTGCTATCTTTCGTTGTTTTGATCATGATATTTGTAAAATTAAATAAAATTGCATGCAAAAGAGCACAGTAAGCCTATGCCTGGTAATAACCAATCAAATACCTTTTGCTATTCAGTAGACTTATAACTCAATGCCATTTCATTTGAAGTAATAAGCTCATCTCCTGACATCAAGTAAAAATAAATGTATTGGTCCTGTGGGCTTATTTTGAATACTGTAATTTGTACTGCTGCCACACAAGCTTCTCGAAGGCTAAGATAAAAATTTGTATTTGGTAAGCTTCAAATGTGCAGGGATCTGTCAGAAGAATACAACATGCATTAAGGAACATGTCATATTAATGTAATATATGTCACACTTAAGATAAGTAATTAGATCTTTCCCTGGATAACTGATATGTGAACAATTCAAAAGAGGTGATGACAGAGAAATATTTGACTTCCTCATTCCATAAATTTGGCAAATGTAGAGTTCTGTATTTAGCCAACAACAAATTCAAGTCTGATAATTAGCCCAGCCACATCTTAAGCAGTTTTCATTAGAAATGCAATGACTGTCCAGTGATGATCCCACAACTCCAGTGTAAGTCAAAGATCTTGTGTTGGTCCCCTTGGCTCATAGCACAATCAATACAAAGGATAATGTGCTACATGGGTGATGATGCAACAGACACAGTTCAGAGAAATAGTCCCCTCTAGTAGTACTTAAATGAAACTAAGTCCCTTTGCCAACATTTGCATTTCTCAAAATTATGCTTGGAAATTAAAAGAAACATAGTTACCTCGCCTGCGATGAAGATCTCTACTCCTCGGTTTCTCATGGCGCGAGATATTTCTCCAAATTTTGGATCCATGGCCAAAAACAGCCTACATATAATGAATTAAGCCATTTTTACAAAGCTTTTTAAATGAAATACAACAATATCAAGAAAACAAGACAAAATATGCAATTTTTTCAAAAATACATTACTGCATTTCCAGGACAGCAAATCTTCCAATAACAAAGTCCTAATGATGTAGCTCAGGATACATTTGGTTGATATATCTATTATACTGACCTAAAGTCTGGGTGTGGTTTTATGGTAGGTATAGCACCATCAATAACCCCTCTTTCATTAATGTTGAGGACACCATTTGGCTCCAACAGAGCATTCAGCCTGTCTAGGACTGAGGCACTGAAAACACAATGTATTACAATGTAACTACATTTAGGTAAAGAAACTCGGTTATAAATTATAAATGAAATTATATTACTATATAATATCATCTAAAGATATTCCAGTACATTGTACCTACAATAAACTGGAGACACCAAATGAGAAACTATAGTTCAATGTTGGGTAGTAGACTTATTGTGAGACAATGATATTGTATTTGCTGATAGCACTACTGGATAGCATTAATTACATATTACTCTAAGACAGTATCTACACATTTTTGTTTATACAAATTAATTTCAAATGCATTATGGTAATGATCTATTGTTATGATTGTCTTTGTACAGTGTAAATTTAGATTACAAATCATTCAAAATAAAAACAAAGTTCTCATTTACCTTGTCTGTTTCCTTACATTTCCATTAAGCATACATTTGTTTCGTTATTCATATATTTCTAGTGTGTTGGAGATCAGGGGTCAAAAAACGATCTTTCCCTAATTTGAAAGTAGGAAATAGAAATCTCTATCCATGAAGGATATTCATGACTGCCTAACCCAAAGCCTAGAGTTTGACAGTCCTGAATCTCCTCCTACAGTAGAGATTTCTCCTATCTTCAAGCTAAGGAACGATCCTTTAAAGCTCTACATGCTATAGTTATGTGACAATAAGTTTATGATTACAGTAAATCACTCATATTCATTGCAGTTCAGTGAGAATTCCCAACAACTGCTTATTTGATTGTCCTGTTATAAGCCCATCCCTTAACTTAGAGTCAAAGATATATACCTGCAGAAGTTGACGTTGTCAATGAGAAGCCAGTGACCGACTTCTAACGCCTGTACCAAAATACTGTCAACCCATTCAAATGCGCCACCACCTGACCCTACAGAAGTCAGTGTCAACTTGGAGGTCATCTTTGTCACCTCCGACTCCAAGTCTGATACCCTCTTCAAAAACTCTGAAATTGAATGGATATCTTAGTCACAACTGTCAACTTGTACACTTGATGTGTATCCAGTAAATGTTTTTTTTGTACAAAACTTTGAGCTTTTTCCAAAAACTTTGATGCAGAAGGGATTTCCTTTTTTACAGAAGATATGCAGTCAATTTTTTCTTTATTCAATTCATTTTCAAGGTACGTTTTTTGTGATTTTATTCCATTTTTGACCATAGTGAACAACAGAACTGCTCAAAAAATGCAAACTTAACATTATATAGTTCCCCCATCAGCAATATCCATGATAGAATCAATACATTTACCAAGCTGTGAAACCTAAGATGGTATAAATCAAATTGAAAAGAACAAGTTCATTGGTCAGGTTTCCCACATAAAAACATCCACTGAGGTATGTAATAAAAAATATCTGTTTGATGAAAAATTCCAGGTTAAAAATTCTGTACTGTGTCCTTACCGACTCCTTTGTCAGATGTCACAATTTGGAGAGATTGTTTAACAATGCTGATAACCTCGGTCAAATGAGTGACCTTGACCTTGACCGATTCCAGTTCCTCCAAACTTGATAGTTTCTTCCCCAACTCTAAAATGTAAAATTTTGTGTTATGTTTCAATAAAGGTTTGAGCCAAATCCGAAAACAAAATTTTCATTTAAACTGTTTTCTAAACAAGAACAATGTCACTTACTGATTTCATAATTTTTTTAACACTATGATACAAATATAAGAAGAATGACAACACTTTTCCTCAAGAAATGACATCAACAAACTTCATACAAAACAAACACATCTTTCAACTGATGGGTTATTTTTCTGATAGTATGGGTTACACACTTAAACAAAAAACAGGGTCATGTGAAAGAAATAAACTGTTAATAACACAAAGATCTGGTGATGTTGACTAATCAGAAAAATACCACAGAGATGTACCTACCTGTACTGTCAGTCTGCCTGAATCTGTTCCAGGATTGTTGCAGCTCTCCAGCCATAAGGATATGCTGACCTTGGAGCAGTAGGATAGTGGTATCTGTGACAATGGACTCTGTTGTGTAGATAAGTCTATCTACATGGTTCTGTATGTCCACCTATAGTAACAGGAAGTACATGTAGTCAATTTATCAGAAATGACTGACAAAGTAAAACAGATTAGCTCCTTTCAGTTTTAATCCATAATATCTAAATTATATGAAGAAGCTATGTAACCCACATTAATTGTGTAGTAAACTGAAGCTCACAACACATCATCAAATGGTAGTGTATTACTGAAGTATTGCATATTTCAATAATCCAAGCGGGTGAACACATTCAAATTCTAGGAGTGGGCTTATTACGAGAAAACTGATACAATATTGGTTTAAAGTTTGACTGAGCAGCATTATACATGGGCGGGCTTATTACTGGACATGGGCTTATTGACAGATAGGGTAATTTTCTTTACCTGTTCAAATCCGCCTAGTAGCTCTGTGGTGTCCATTGAACTGTTCATGGCAAGAACATGTAGGTGATGTCCAGTCAAGCTGGACAGTAGCTGGACCAGACTGGACTTACCACAAGATTGAGGCCCCACCTGTCATCAAATACAGAATTCTACCTTATGTTCGTTACAATGACATCACCAGCACTGACAAACTGTTGTTTGAACTGTTTTAACTTGTTAACCATGAATTATGTTTATCAAAAATGAAGACCATAAGTTACAGATGAGTGAATCAGCCTCTGATATTAACATCGTCAAGGGCCATTTACCACATCAACAATGTCTGATGATGTCTCTTATCCAATTACTTACTTCTGATTCCCTAACGTAGTGAGGTTTTTCTCTCTATCCATTTTTTGATACCTGTAGAATCAGTGCATTAGTGTGTAAATGGTTCTCTCTTCATTCATTGTAACTGTGCTAATTACATGTAGAAGCTGAGCAGGCAACTCTGAAAGGAATACATTTTTTGGTAACACAAAAAATATCACCACAGCACCATGTAATATATATGTTCATTACCAGAATGGACATCCAGTTCATTTGGACACATTTCATCACTGCTTCCATTGGCTCCAGTAGGTGATGAAGGAGGTAAAGTGTCCTAGTTGTCTCCCTAGACATATACTCTTCACATTGGAGGAAGGAATGGCCTGCCTGTATCACCCTGTCAAAAATGGTTACATATCTACTGGGAGTGTAAAATGGCAGGTCGTCTGGAAATATCCTCTCGTACAAGTTCTTCACCTAGAATTTCAACAAAGTCATTGATACATATGTACACATATATAAAAGTAGGGAAGATAATCATGTCTTTAATGATTAATAAGTTACTGGTCAAGGAACTGACCCAAATGTGGAGTCTGAGCAAAGCGTGACAGACACACAGGAAGACAGACTTAAGTCAATGCTGTAAGTCTCTAGACATTTCACAATCAAGACATAAAAAACAATACATTTTCAACACCAACAGAAGCATATCTGACTTTTATTCCTCTACCGTTAAACCAGATACTTTTATAAACCATATAATGCTTATCTTGGTAAATACTTGCTGGAATAAATGCTGGGATAGAGAGAAATTCTCTTAGGCTTAATAGGATGAATGTAAGAGCAATCATGAGGTCCTTGGTTAAATCTCTATCAGAGGCCTGAAATAGATATCGACTAACAGTAACTGATGAATGGGTGGTACCTACCTTATCTTTGTCCTGGAGGGTCCTCAGTCTCTCTCTGTACACCAATCCCACATACTCCCCAGGATTAAATCCACTCACAGACTGCAGGTTACATACAGTGTAAAAAAAAAACAATGGTTTACAAAGGATCTTGGGAGTAAGTATTGATAAATCTAGTAACTTTGACCTTGGAGTATGAAAGATAAACGTAAATAACATGTGATCCACATGTGGTAGCATAGTGATGCAACATACAGTTTAACTTCTAATATGGAGTTTCAGCCATCAAAATAGGATCTTGAAAACATTACCTATTGATAGCATGAATTAAGGCCTGATCTGCAATATAACTATAAGATATGATGCCATCAACTACTGGCAGATAACATTGACCTTTACCTTTCAACTTTTATCTCATCACAGGTATTCATAAACATGGTCTTATATTAAGTTTGATCAAATTCTCTTAAGAAATGATGTTAGAGATGTTGGTGATTTTTTATTGAGTAGTTATAAATAACAACAGTTACCTTTACCTTTCAACTTGTATTTATAATGGTAGGGCATAAAAACAAGATATAAACACTTGTTATTTCTTCTGATGACAGACCTGTCTGTGAAGTTTCATGTGATACTAGGTCTCTATAAAACACATAGAGAGTTGATGTACACAAAGTAACACTCACAATATAACAATTTTAGAATTGTACCTGATTATGACATAGTAGGTCACACCATCGAAAGAGATCTCGCAGGTTGAACTCCCATGGACTGCCCTTTTGACCCCAACTTTTCTCAACACTGACTTCCTCATGAATCTACAACACATAAGAAAATTTAATACAATGATAATGTATTCAATAAAAGGGTTAAGTCATCATATTGATACATAATGTAGACACTGCTGAGAGAAAAGTTACTGTACTAGCAGACGTTATATAAATGTAGGCACGTGCTTTAAGTGGTGCAGCAATCAGCCCATGTCTGGTAATAAACCCAGTCACATTCATTGTTGTTCAGTAGAATTACCATGCCTGGTAATAAACCCAGTCACATTCATTGTTGTTCAGTAGAATTACCATGCCTGGTAATAAACCCAGTCACATTCATTGTTGTTCAGTAGAATTACCATGCCTGGTAATAAACCCAGTCACATTCATTGTTGTTCAGTAGAATTACCATGCCTGGTAATAAACCCAGTCACATTCATTGTTGTTCAGTAGAATTACCAACAAATGTTTTATGTCCTGCAATAAGCCAGTATCATGAATTTGAGTAAGAATTTCTGTGTTGGCAGTTCACTTGTACTTAAAATGATTACAATCATTAAGAGACCCAAACAGACCTGCATGTTGAACGTGACCATGTGAGTAAGAAGGTCCTGTGGTATGCAGGGATACATAGTCCTGGAAATGAAGGTCAGGTCGGCCATTGTCAGCGGTTCAACATAAACCTGAAGAAGTAGGAACAAAGTTTAATTACTAATTATTACACAGATTATCCTTAAAGTCAAAATCATTCAATATTTATTTAAGTATGAACTTTCATAACTTGTATTTGTATTGCTTAAAGTAATTAAGTATGAACTTTCATAACTTGTATTTGTATTGCTTAAAGTAATTAAGTATGAACTTTCGTAACTTGTATTTGTATTGCTTAAAGTAATTAAGTATGAACTTTCATAACTTGTATTTGTATTGCTTAAAGTAATTAAGTATGAACTTTCATAACTTGTATTTGTATTGCTTAAAGTAATTAAGTATGAACTTTCATAACTTGTATTTGTATTGCTTAAAGTAATTAAGTATGAACTTTCATAACTTGTATTTGTATTGCTTAAAGTAATTAAGTATGAACTTTCATAACTTGTATTTGTATTGCTTAAAGTAATAAAGTTTAAGACATACTTACAAGATGCCCTTCTGCCCCCTCCCTCCACTTATCTACTCAGTTGTAGACACCAGTTCAGGAAGAACTTTGGCAAACCCTTTCTACCCCCTACCTCTGCTTACCTGTGTAAATCTGTTGAACGACTTTGGTACCCCCTTTCTACCCCTACCTCTGCTCACCTGTGTAAATCTGTTGAGGAACGACTTTGGTACCCCCTTTCTGCCCCCTACCTCTGCGTACCTGTGTAAATCTATTGAGGAACGACTTTGGTAACCCCTTTCTGCCCCCTCCCTGATTCAGTGGGTTCTGACAGGCAAACAGTCTCGTCTTGTCATGTTGTATGTGGAACGTCTGTCCTAACTCTGGTACATACACCTCACCACGATGATCCAAACAAGCATTTAGACCCTCCAACACTGACTGGGATGCAAGGTTCAACTGAAATACCAAAGAACCAGAAGTAGATGTAAATATATTTCACAAAGATACCACTTTCAAATTGTGTAAATCCATTAGTATTTATTCTGCATTTATTCTTGCTTAAAGCAGATAATCAATTAAAGCAGATTATCAATTAAAGCAGATTATCAATTAAAACAGATTATCAATTAAAGCAGATTATCAATTAAAGCATATAATCAATTAAAACAGATTATCAATTAAAGCAGATTATCAATTAAAGCAGATTATCAATTAAAACAGATTATCAATTAAAGCAGATTATCAATTCAAGCAGATTATCAATTAAAGCAGATTATCAATTAAAGCATATAATCAATTAAAACAGATTATCAATTTAAGCAGATTATCAATTAAATCAGATAATCAATTAAAGCAGATTATCAATTAAAGCAGATAATCAATTAAAGCAGATTATCAATTAAAACATATAATCAATTAAAACAGATTATCAATTAAAGCAGATTATCAATTAAAACAGATTATCAATTAAAACAGATTATCAATTAAAGCAGATTATCAATTCAAGCAGATTATCAATTAAAGCAGATAATCAATTAAAGCATATAATCAATTAAAATAGATTATCAATTAAAGCAGATTATCAATTCAAGCAGATTATCAATTCAAGTAAACAATGTAAAACAATATCTCTATGTCACACTTTAGAATGAAATAGATATTAGTAATGTAAATATGTGTAGAAATGATGTTTACAAAAACAAACCACATATAGCATTTTCTAATCTACACACAAGACAAATTAAGCACATTATTTTACATCACTGTTATTGTGTTTGATATCAAACTTTAACAATAGGCTTATATTAATTTCAAATTTATGATGATTCAGAGTTTTTCAGTTTTTCAATAGTGGTGTTAGATTAAAACCGAATTTTCTGATATCATATAATGTTTGAACTTAGCTGGTAAATTTTACAATAATAGTTGAAACACCAATGAAATATGATTTACTGACCTCATCCAGAATGACCCAATGTCCAGCTTTTAATGCCTGTAGTAGAGGACCATCCCTCCAAGCAAACACCGCTCCTTCTTGTCCCTCCACAGGTAGGTCTGCACCAAACAGATCTGTCACATCCTACAACAGTCACATATTTATATGTGTAATGAAATGCACTAATTAAATGGTCTCCAAAAGGATTAATTGTGTATCTTAACACATTATAAAATATCATAATCAAACAAAATCTGTATTTATAATGGGGGACCCTTAAATGTAAGAGAAACTTCTATTGGTTTGAAGACCATTCTGTACACTGTATATCTCAGTGTATATAAACTACACAGATCATTCGTCTGATGAAGGTGATGGATTGTAGTCACTGAAATGTCAAATATAATTTCTAACTTGTCATGCTACACAATGAATGAGAACTCTCGTCCAGTTCTTTTTAAATGACATGCATGTACATACAGTGAAATCCACTGAATATCATGTTCCATTTGTCAAGGGGAAATGTGATAATAAGAGGAACATGATATTAACAGTTGACACATTTTTCCAGACGTCTAAAGCCGAAAGTCTATTTTCAGAAGTGCCAAACTGACTTGTTTCTAACAGAAATTGTTTGAAGACAATGAATTTGTAATTTTATTTGATTTTCCTATAAGAACAGCAATTTTCCTTGATTTTTGTTGGTTTACTGCTATCATAAATTATCGTGAACAATCATGACAATTCACGTCATATCTAATTTACATCCGGTCAGATTCATACATGACACTACCATGTCATCAGCTGATGTTTTGTAATATAATTCATTCATCCATTACTATGCAGGCTCCATAATGGTGAATCATTGCAATGTTGATATATATAAACAGTGTCTCTGCAAGTTCAATAAAGTGTTCTGAAGATTGCAACTGGAGCATTGCTGACAAAAATAGCCAACAGTGTCAACTGTCCACCTTTGAAATGCAATGTTTCATTGGCTGTTAAATTAGTGGTTATTATAAATTTGTGTCAAGAAAGACTTTTCAGAACATTTTACTATCCCCTTACCAGTGCTCCAAAAAATTTAAGCAATAAATAATTTGAAGAAATGTTAAAACATCGACACTGAAGTTTTTGGGGCACGTCTGATAATTTTCTATGATGAATTATGCCTAATCCAGACTTCATTTCATGAAACTTGAACTTCAAATTGATCATTTAAGCATCTTAAGCTTTGTACAGGAGATATGTTCTCATTAATTTAAAGATGGCGACATTCCTAGTGACGACATTGACATGCCATGGGTTGGTGTCCCACGGGTCACTATTAACAGAAACAAAATAAACACAATTTATTGTAAATTATGGCTCATGGTTGATTATTTTCTTAATTTTTTTTGCAAAATGATCTTTTTTTATTTGAAATTGATACTGGTATGCAGACTTATTTTCAAGCAGTTTTGGCAGCACTTTAGACATGTTGGAAAACTTAGCGGCACCCACTCAAACAATTTCCAAGCGACAAGGGTTTAAAACCCATTTTAAAACTAGGAATGCACTAGCTTATTGAAAAAACCAATCCACTAGACTTCCTTCCACCAAGCTGAGCCTTACAGTTAATCAGGTCAATCTTATTGTTCGGGAGTTACAAGGTAGGAAAAGTTGGCCAGTAGGGCAGTGACAATGGTTACATAATGCATGATGTATGATCTTTCAGGCATGAATTCCTAGTTCTTGTCCTCATTTACCTGTGATTAACTTGTTTTTTTTGTGATAGTCAGCAAAATGAAGTGATATTAAGCATTGCCCACATGAAAATAAGTGACATTATCACATGTTGGATCACATTGAATATATTGGGGAAAAAAATGGGTGTTTCAGGAAAACATGATATTTACCAGACAGTGACATTAACAAATATGACATTAAGTGGGATCCACTGTATATATAGCTAATATTTCAGAAATATGTATGTCTTTATATTAAATATTTCCTAAATGTGAAAACAGATTGTAGGCTATACTCACAGTTTGTTCTGACAGGTTGATTCGGACTAGTTCCTGTCCAGCTGCCTTGGCTATAGCAGAAACAAGACTAGTCTTGCCGACCCCAGGTGAGCCCTCCAGGAGGAGTGGCCTGGTCAATTGAAGGGCTCGCAGTATTCTTTGGGCATTCACACAAGTAGTTGGTGCCTGAAGTGCGTAACCATCAGGATCCCCACAACTCTTCACACCTTGGTGGAAAATAAGGACATTCTAATGATCTGACAATATGGTAATGTCTAGTAATAAGCCCATTCATGCCTCTCACAGTTCTGCAAAATAAGCCCACACCCAAACATTAGAGTTTGAGAATATGTGTAAGTCGGATTGGCTTACTACTAAATCATATGATACAGTAACATTTTTCTTTCAGACAAGTCCATCCATATATCCTACTGAAAACTGATGTAGAAAGATAAGGGGTCACCTGCATAGGTTTCCTTAAGTACTATCCTTTCCTCCCACAGTAAAACTCCTGCTTCAATCCAGGCCAACAAGCATGATTCACATAAAATGGAGAACTTGCTCCACAAATGTTGTAAAATAAATCAGTTGATATTTCTTCATTTATGCCTGACTACTACAGTGAATATGCTCATAGAACACTCCAAATATATATAATTTAGCAGTAATATTTTTTTAGAACTTTTCATTCTGAAAGTATCATATTAAAATAGAATTTGTGCAGTTTTTAAATGCAGCTTAGTAATGATGGTAGATGTATGCACATTGTGCTAGCTTGACAAAAAAGTGATAATGTGCTAAAATTTGATCACACCAAAATAGGTATACAAACAGTATGGAGATTTTGACATAATTATTTCTATATTTACATCTGGATATTACTTATGAACATACTTATTTATCTAGCAGTAGCCCCTTGTCTGGCAATAAGTCAACAAATATCTTAATTAGTTTTTCACAAAAAACATTATTTCATTGTCCTGTAATGGACCCAGAAACACTCTTTGTGAAACAAAGCTAGTACAAATGTTTGTGAAATGTTAATCATGTCATGTTTGTGAAATGTAAATCATGTCAAGTATTTTATTACATAATGCATTGTTTTTGCTCTATATAATCAGACATTCCTGTGAGAAAATGCTTTTCTACCTGTATATTGTCATGTAACCATGTGGTATAGTTTTCCATTGCAGTGATTGATATCATAAAGGATCCAAAATTTCGGAAGAGATGTTAATTGCACATATTAAATTGGCATTGATACCATAGGAAAGCATGGTAATAAGATGTCTCCCACCTGATGTTACAAATGACGACTACAATAACCATCAGGTTAAAGTGTTAGCATTATATACCTCGACTGATGGCAAATGGATGGATACAGAACTGTGTGTCTGTTTTCTGCACAGCAGAGTCTAGTTTAGAGAGTCCAGTGGTGGTCAGTCTCGTATGAATGTCTGTGTCCAGGTGTCCAGTGTCATCAATGAGGCCAAGCGTGGCAAGAGTGTAGGCTTGGTGGGTCAAGCGATTGACAAGTTGAAGTAAAAACTTCAGAGAGATTTTGCGTAAATGTCGTATGTCACAATCGTTCCCTCGACTTGTGGTTCCTGTAATCAAATAAATAAACAATCATTTGATTTTTGTCTATGTAACAGAAAACCATATACTGAGAGGAAAAAGAAATGCAATTAGCAGAAAGTTAATATTGTAAATTAAATCCTTGACGTACACCCTTGAAACTTGACAAATGTGAGCATTGGAGTTAGGTCCCTATGGTACCGTATTAAAATCACTGATGCATAACTAAACTGCGCACGTCGCTTGTACAAAAGAATAAGAGACAAAAGCATGATATCTCGAACCCAGTATAAAGGATTGGTTCAAAATCTGTGTGTGCGAATCTTCAGACTTATCCGTCTCGATTTCCCACATTTTAAGCATAAACAGTTCACCGTAAAAAATGCCACGACTGTCCGAAGTTGACAGGGGTCATGCCATTGCACTTCTTATGCAAGGTACCCCTCAAAATCAGGTCGCTAATCAATTTGGAGTCTCATCCAAAGACTACATGCCACAGGATGGGTTGCAGACAGTCCCCGATGCAGTTGCCCTCGTGAATGATGCGTCGGCAGGATAGGGCAATGCGACATTTGCACCTACGCAATAGCTTTCTGACAGCCACAGAAACAGAAAGGAATACAATTGGGTGTCATCATGTTCCAATTGATCCAAAGACAGTGCATACTCGACTTCGTTACTTCGGTCTAAGAACGCGGTGGCCACATGTTGGACCACAGCTTAATACGCGGCAACGTGCCAGACAAATGCAATGGCTGAACGCACATTCCGTAAGACACTTCCCAATGCAACGTTGGAGAAGGGTCCTGTTCTCAGATGAGTCCAGGTTTTCGCTTTACAGAGCAGACAGCCGACGTGTCTATAGATGTACCCACGAGCACTATGCATGTATGATAGAGAATGACCGCTTTGGAGGAGGATCGGTCATGGTATGGGGAGGGATTGCGCATGGTATCAAGACTCCTCTGGTCGTTATTCAGGGAAATCTCACGGCTGTCTGCTGTAGATATCAAGTCCTAGCGCCGCATGTTGTTCCTTTTAGAACAGCAGCGTCAACTGACGTTTCAGCAGGACAACGCCCGGTCGCATGTAGCTAGGGTTTGTCGTGGTTATCTCGCAACAAACAATGTCCCCATCCTAGACTGGCCCCCATACAGCCCTGACCTCTCCCCAATAGAACATTTATGGGATGAGTTGGACAGAAGGATAAGACTTAGGCCGAGTCCTACAATCAACGTCGCTCAGTTGGCGTTGGCGCTGGATGAGGAATGGAATCGTATACCAATGAGGAGGGTTAATACCCCAATCAATTCAATGCACAAAAATGTTCGTGCAGTAACTGCAGCTCGTGGGGGGCACACACGATACTGATGGGTCCAGAACGAACTTCACTTTGAGTGGGGTACTCTTGAATCAACGTCAAATTTGAAAGGTTAACTTAACGTACATGAATGAAATTCTCGTAGATGACAGAGTGGTCAACTATCTTTCAGTTATACCATGATTACATTGTAAAACCCTTTTCTATTTGCCGTAGTTGACCTGGAAATTCCTAATTGTGTTTCTTTTTCCTCTCAGTATAGATTCATTATTTCTATCCGCAATATTCTGATATGATGATGGCTTAAGATCATTCAGAATCTTACTCTCATTCAGAAGATCAAGTGTAAATCTCAGTATCATATGTTAATTACCAGTGTAAACACAAACATCTACCAACAATGTACAGATTCCTGTACCTGAGCCAAGTCCATCTAAGAATACAAGACATGCCCCATGTATAAAGGCCACAGCAGGGTCCAGCTTGTTGTAGCTGTGGTCATCTGTCTCCATCCCTTCTTCATCCATTGTCCTTGAACAGATGTTGATGAAGTGAACCCAGGAAAGAATGTCTCGTATACTCACTGTACACCTGAAACAGACATTGCCTACAGGTTAATATATCAACACTCTATTCAGTAGTTGCTATACATATCTAATTTACAAACACTCTTTTTGAAGTTTAGGATTACATGTTCATTTTGAAAATTCTAAGTGTAACACAATGACTAAACACAGTGTTTACTTGGGTTGACCGAAACTTTTATTTCATCGTATAGTGGTTTTCCATAGTTAGTACTTCGCGTTAACATCCATTACAAAAGATAGTTCCTAATCAACATACAGCATCATGTCATGGCACCAAAACTAAACACCTGTGTAAGGCAGACAAAAACTAAACACCTGCCCGTCCCTATCAAAGAGTTCCATACAAATGTTCATGGGCCAACTTGACCAGGACCCGCTCCATCGCGGAGCAGGTCCCATACTGGACTCTGCCCGTCTCCACGTCCGACTCCCAACTCTCTCTAGCTACTCGATCCCAGACTCGACTACACTTCTGCTGGCTATTATCTTTGTATAAATAATACCCAAATACTTAATTTAAGCCTAGTCCCAATTGGACAACAATAACCCAGCCCCCGGAGCATCTAATTATGAAGGCACGTGCGACTAGAAGTACCCGTTATCAACTTTCTATCTTTGATCTACCTTATACATTGTTTCTTATCTTTTTTACTTACAAATGTGTTCGCCAGTGCGAGGCATACAAGAGAGCATCTATCTGTCCTGATCAATCATACTGGCGATATTCTGCCACGGTGCTTCACCACTTGGGTACACACCCCGCCCGTTATCAGGCGTGCATCACTATCTATCACTCACCGGATTAACTGACTTTTGACCTGATGTACTTTAAACTAAGATGCTGCTCTCTACGATACACACCATTCCAAAATTTCCATTAAACCCATTTTTTACTCATTTTGTTACATAAGACAGTCTCTAAAAGCAAAGATGAAAAGAAAAAGAAAAGGAGCAAATTCTGAATAAAATTTGCAGGAAATAAAACTCAGGTGAAGTAATGATATAGACATAATGAAATACTTTGAAGAAAGTTGAAGGGAATTCATGCAGGAACAAAATATATTCCTACAGAAGAATGGAGGAAGAAACAGACTTAGGACAGAAAGATGATTCGGGGAGGTGGGGGTTGTCCTAAACGTATTGATATATGTTACCTATATTTTCATTTTTAAACAGTTTGTGTATCAGTAAGTATAAAGTGCACTTTACCTTTTAGTAATATCACCGTTAGAGAACCAGTGTATAAAGTCCATCATTGCCCGACCAAATCCACTGGTGCCATCTTCCTGGTTACACAAGTGAATCCCACTTCTTAAGTTGTGCTCAATGATGTTCACCAGATCCTGCATTTGTTCAGTCTGGGCACACCATATCTCTGTAAACCTGTTCCTCAGGGCAGGAGAGAGCTACAAAACATGAGGTAAGATTGATTTGAAATGTTTCAAATAGATACAACTGTAATAATTAAAGTAATGTATAATAACTATTGATATACACTGTCATGTTAATATGTTTTCATTAATTTACCTCTTTTTTCCCAAAGTCGCCTCCCGGATTCATCGTCGCAAAAATCTGGAACCCCATTTTAGCAACAACACTATGCACTTGATCATGATGACTGTTTCCGCCTCCTTTTTCTGCCAGGAGAAGAGTTCTCTCTGGCTCTAACACACTGTTTAATCTCTCCAGAACAGAATCATCTGCTAAAGAGATCTCATCCACTAGAAACATTGAACCTTCTCTCATGGCAAGAACAAGTGGTCCATCCACCCACTCAAACAGCTTTAGCTCACCTTCAGCCTGTGTAAAATAAAGGAAAGTGAAACTTGTATTTTAAGGAGCCTTGACCTCAATAAATTCTCTGTGAGCAAAATACAGGAAAAGTAAAAACTGTTCAACTTCATCCCATTCTCATTCTACCCATAAATATTAAAACTGTATTACTACAGAGCTTTCACCACATCTAATTCTCTTAAAGTACAGTAAATATGAAACATCAATAATATTTCCATTCCATATGATCTTCTAATTGCGTCTGTGTAAAATAAAGGGAAAGCGAAACCTGTATGCTAACAAGCCTTGACCTCACCATACAGACACTTGTGTGTTACATAGCTTTACTTATCAAATTTCAAAATATAAGACTGATATTTTTTATCGATAAGGTCAAGGTGATTAAGATGTCTCGTGACAACAGCCTACTTTGTTTTGGTCATGTGACCTGCAGGGTCGTAAACCTCCCAAAAAGTCTGCACTTTCAGTGTGGAGATGACAATTGATATTGCGAAGTTTGGTTTTCTTCAGAGCAGCGTATAACTGACAGACAGTGGTCTTTCCACACCTGTAAACAAGATACATGTAAAGAACAAATTGCAGTGGTTTCCCCTTACTACAGCACACATTAAGCAAACATTGTTACTCGTGCAAAATTATTATGAGAAAATCTCAAAGTTGCATATCAAATAATGTGAAAAATTTGTCCACTTTAACTTTAAAGTAAAGGATTAAGATTATTAACATAAGTACCATTCAATAATTTTCATACATAGAATTTGTGGATAATTTTTCATTGTCAAAATAATTTTTTCAAGAATCATTTACAATCAAACTTTTGTTGTACATCACAATCTTACCCTATTTCCCCCATCAGTTAGACTGGCCCATTAAACTGTATGACCTTGTCTATCTGAACAGCTTCCCTTTGTTGTACATCACAATCTTACCCTATTTCCCCCATCAGTTAGACTGGCCCATTAAACTTTATGACCTTGTCTATCTGAACAGACTCCCTTTATTGTACATCACAATCTTACCCCGTTTCCCCTACTAGTAAAACAGGCTCGTTGAACTGTATGGCCTGGCCTATTAGAACAGCCAATCTCTTCATGTTGTATGTCCACACAATGTGACCAAATTCAGAGACTGTCTGCTGTGTCACTTCCTTCAGTAGTGTTTTGGTTGTAGGTGATGTATCTGGTCCTAAGGTGAACAACTTGTCTGGGTCCACTGGACGTTTGAGATGCTTTTGAATGACCTCTAGTACCAAGGTCACTTCCTCAGGCCGTCTCACTCTCCCAGCCAGTAGCATGTAGCCTAAAAAAACACAACAGTTTAGGACAAAGTCCACTGCAGTAAAGAAAAACCCGTCATAAATAGTTTTACCCGATTCTTGGAGAATTTTCACAATCAACGCTATACAAACATACTAAATTTTTTGTATTTTATCCAATCTGACAAGCACATGTGCACTCAATATCTAACAAATACTTATAATCAAAATACCATACTGTCCCATTGTCCTTCCGATGTCTACCCCACAAGAGAGATAATAAAATTATGGAAAACATTTCATTAAGTATTTCTGATGCAATCTTAAAAGATATGTTCAAGAAAAAGAATCTTCTTCCATTGTGTGATGGAGAATGATTTATCTAGGTCTTGGGCTGACATTCTGTAATATCTCATGCTCAGTTTTCCTTAAAACAAAAAATTAAAACCAGATAACAGATTCTTTAAATCTCACTGTCCTCTAATGTTGTCCCTACAACTAAAGGTCAGATTCTCACCATGGTCAGCCATATGTTGGTCCCAGTCATAGAATGTCTTCTGTTGAGTATCAACATTTTTACATTTGTATCGCTCAGCCCATCTAAATAGATCCCTCAGTGTCATAAAACCTTGTTTACCAGCAAATACCCCTGATCCTCTCCTCCTTGTCTGAAACAGAAACAAATGATGTGATAAGGGTCCATAGATCAGTATTATACTATACATCTGTTTTAAATTTTCTATGATTTCCTTGAATCCATGAGACATTCACACATTTGTGAACCTGTATAGTGTTAACAAACCTGTAAATCAGTATGACATTTATATAGCTGTTAATCTGAGAGGCATTTGTACATCTGTAAATCAGTATGACATTTATACAGCTGTAAATCTGAGTGGCATTTGTACATCTGTAAATCAGTATGACATTTATATAGCTGTTAATCTGAGTGGCATTTGTACATCTGTAAATCAGTATGACATTTATACAGCTGTAAATCTGAGTGGCATTTGTACATCTGTAAATCAGTATGACATTTATATAGCTGTTAATCTGAGTGGCATTTGTACATCTGTAAATCAGTATGACATTTATACAGCTGTAAATCTGAGTGGCATTTGTACATCTGTAAATCAGTATGACATTTATACAGCTGTAAATCTGAGTGGCATTTATAAACATGTACACTTGTATGATGTGCATAAACTTACATGGTTTTAATGCACATGTGCATTTGTTTGGCTTACATAAATAGTGATTCTTTGTGGTGTTCATACATTAATGAATCAGTGCTGTATTAAAGGTATGTGAATCTGCATGGCAACCATTCATCTATGAACCTTTTTGGCATTCATACATCAATGAGTGTATATTGGTACATACCTGAAGGTCCAACATGGTGGTTACAAGTCGCTTGGCATATGACATAGGTAAGTCACATCGCTGATGGAGAATTGTCTCCAGTTCCTTACTTGGAATCTGATCAAAATGAAGTTCCACAAAGCGATTCCTGAAGGCTCGAGACAGCATCTGATGGATGTAGATATAAATGAATGACATGAAAGGCGACATGTTCACATCTACTTTATATCTCCTTTGATGTAAAGTAAAATAAATTTTGTAAAGAAACTTCTGACTACTGAAAATTTGTTCTGTAATGTATGATGAACTTAATCTATCACGGGATCCAGAAGACATCTTGCAATAACACCCTAGCTTTTAATTTCAAATGTTTCTGAGCATCACCTTTAACCCATTAACCTTGATCAATGAAAATCAAATTGTAATAAAGTATAGAACTCATTCTTAAATTTATTGTGATTTTTTTTAGACTTTTTTCCACATAAGCTTTACATTTGTATGATTGCACAGAAAAAAAAATCCCTATGTATTAAGTGGGGTGGGTGGTGATAATAAGAAATACCTGGGCTGCCCTCTCACAGTACTGTCATTCTCTTTTCAACACACAAATATTTTGAATATAAGTCTATTTATAGGAAGTAGGAATGGACAGAATGTTTCTCACCTTTCTTCCCCCGTACTGGCCTGGAGGGTTCTGGGTAGCAAACAACATAAACTTTGGGTGTGCCTTTACAGTATCTTCGGTCTCAGCAATGAACAGCTCTCGGTTGTCATCCAGTAACTATAAATAATTGAACTATTCCTTAATTCCGAACATAACAAACAGTGGCTATATACTGCAAACAAACTTTCTCATGCGATTTGTGCCTGTGAATTTTATCATCAAACAAAATTCATGAAAGTTACTTGTTGTAAATAAAGACAGGGAAAATAAACTATGTTTAGAGTGAAATGTAACATGATATTGTCTATTTCATGAAAGTTAATCACAAAGTCAAGGATAACACACTCTTTTATAGTAATATATAGTATGTTATACAGTAAAACTCGCTTGTGTCAAACATGTTTGAATCAAATACATCAGATAAGTCAAATAATGTGTTTGGTCCTCTTCTTTACCTTAGTAAATTAAACACAGATGGTTCAAACACTGTTGAGTTGAATACCGCATTTGTGTAAAATACATTTTGTGGTCCATCCCTTCTAAATTCTACCAAAATTTCCTTTTCTATGTTGAAAATTCAGGCGTCACCAAGTAAAACTTTCCTGGCTTTGATCCTAATGACTGAATGTGATAGGTCAGCAGTGTGTTAAGGAGCCCTACTGTACGTTTTGACATTAATCCCTGCGTTTATACAGGTGCACAGGGCTAAGTTTGAATTTATACATGATAAGGCAACCAAATTCTAAAAATTCTGTAAATCTACTGTTTACTTTTTTATGTACATGGCTGCCTGAAATCAAAAGAAAAAAATATAAGCAATAACTACCGTGCCGATGCAGAGTTATGCTTCAGTGACGTTGCTGTGACCTTCACCTTTTTCGTAACCCTGCTCAGTGCTATTGATGTTATATCAATGTAGAATGTTCATAAGTATGTATTTATTGAGTTTTGTTTTAGATTATTGTTGACAGGACTTGTTACTCTTCAGGATGTAAATGTGAGTACAATATTTGTGTTACTCAAGGTATCAATTCACTAAGTTATGTGAATGAGAGTGGGTGTGTATCCATGCATTTCATATTTCATTTTTTGTTTTATATTCATACTTATAACTGATTAATAAAGTATAGGATATCCGTAGTGTATAAAGATATGAAATGTTTTTATTTATCTATCACTTATTCATTACTGTTATACCGTGCTATGAGACATGTATCCTGTAAACAACCAATGAAAGCTGGGTCAATCTTTGATGCACAAGGTTTATAATCAATGAAACATGGCTAAGTCAGACCATCAGATAAGTAAAATATTTCATCTGGTCCTGCTGACTGTAGTCTATTTCGTGAAAGTTTCCCACAGCAAACCTATTGAAAGAAAAGGTAGGAAAGACAGGGAAAACTTGGATTAAAATCCAAAATGTTGCAATTGATACAACAGTTCTTGCTTTTTCCTTGTTATCTAGGCAGACTACACAAAGGAAACCCCATATTAGTCATCTCTTGTTAACATACTGTTATCACTTACAGCAGAGATTTTTTGTCCCTATCTGTTGAATTGTAATGAGATTATGATCAGGAAATGATTTTGTTCATGTTTCCTGCATAATAATACCTTAAAAAGATGGAGGTACAATAGGCATGATGAATATTGGTCTAAACATACCCTAACTTGAGTATAATTAATATGCTCTTTGGAGTGTGTATCTAAATATTACCCTGTTAAGAGCTTCCAATACATCAGTAGGTGCCAGGTTCAGCTCATCTAGTATTATCCAATGGCCCTTTCTCATAGCTTCCACAAGCACACCTGATAAACAAACACTTATAAATCTACATCACACAATACAAACAAGGAGCCTGTTGGCTTTCATTCTCACCAAAAGTGAAAAAAAACAAGCAAAAAACACAAAAACCCACAAAAAACAAAAAATACATATATGACCTACTTAATATATATTTTTATGTACCTGGTACACCTTATTTCCTATCTCCTAAATATCCATCTTCCTAAGAACAGTTCTGATCAAGTTTAAAAAAATTCCATTCGATAGTTATTAAGATGAAATGTTGACGGTCACATGGACTGGACATATCCACCAATTTTTTTGCTCCGGAAAATTATGTCTTTTTGTGAATACTGCAGACGTTATCTATCTTGGTTTTCGGCTCGTGTGTGTTTAATGTGTTTGGGACCATTTCTACCTTGGAATGTTTGTCTTTCTTACATCAAAAAGTGACTTTTAGAACCTTTGGAAAACAAACAATGAATTAGGACTCTACCGTGTGACAACTGTTCAGCGACGCACTTATTACTAGTACCTGTGTGGTTTTCACCTGTACAGATCAGACTGTACCTATGTTTTACCATCACTATTGACTTTGATCTGACCATGGGTAAAACGGGAGAAAGAAGTTGTAGTTCTGGTGCCGTTAAGACAACAGAGGAAAGATTAGAGGAAATTACAGCGATGATCTCCAATATTGTGACAAAAACCGAAATGGACAAAAAGATAGAACATATCACAGATACGATAGAGGAGAAGTTTGCTAGACTAAAGGAGGATATTCGGAAGGAGAATCGTGAACTGTTGGATTAGTATGAAGGGAGAATATTTCAGCTCCAGAAAGAAAATGAGGAACTCCTACAGACTGTTGGAAACCTAGAAACTATGTGTATGGAATTTCAGGAAGCACAGAAGGAAGCGAACAGTAAATACAACAACCTTGAACAACAGGGGCGGAAAAATTCGGTTCGTATCTTCGGTTTGGATGATCCGACAGAGAAAGAGACATTTGAGGAGTGCAAGGAAAAAGTGACCAGTCTTGTTAACTTGAAGCTTAAGTTGGCATTCAGCGGCGATGACATAGATATCGCTCACAGATTGGGGAAGTTCGTCAGAGGCAAGAAGCGAGGCATCATTGTCAAGTTCACCCGCCGAACAAAGAAATATGAGATTCTGAGGAACAGATGACTTCTGAAGGGTACTGGAAACGCTATCTTCGAGGATCTCACTCAAAGAAACAGGATCGTCTCAGAGAGGCCTACAGACTAGAATGTGTTAGAAATACTAACAGTGTGGACGGCAAACTTTTTATTATTCTAAATGATGGTAGAAAACGTAGACTGTTTGATGACACTCCGTTAAATGGTGACTATCTGATGAGAGATGGAAAAATATAAGCTTCGAACATTTCTTTTTTTGGACACTGTACATATTATATACTTTATGTGTCGGTAATGGACATCTCCGGGAGTATAGCCCGGTTACCGAGTTACATATTGTATGTTTCTATTTTTTCTTCATTAATATGTGTTCAAATACGTGTGATTTGTGTGGATTTTATTATGATTACATTTCATGGGATGTAAGTCGTATGTAAAGGTTACGTCAGATTTCTCTGTATCAAGGTAAGCTTCTTGTCACTTTGCAGGTCTAATTTTTTATTTATGCAAATCGATTTCTAGGATATTCTTTACTGTATTATCAGTCATTATGTTCAGTCACCTTATTGAACATTCTATCTTGATAAGATTCTTTTTCCAATATTGCATATATTTATTTATACATGTATATATAGTACCTCTGTCCGTGTTTGGTTTTTTTTTCTTCGTATATATATATATATATATATTATCCGGAATTACTGTCCTGATTCTGCTTCGTAATGTTATGATTACTATGTAGCTTCCAGTTACAACTTCCTGTTTCCTGTTACCTTGTGTTTTCTCTGTATGTTTACATGTTCTATGTTCTGCTTTCTCCTCTCTTTCAGACAGGCCTTTCATCAGTCAACACTACGTCACTGGGTTTCGATATGGATTATGTGATAAATGAGATGAAACACATTTATATGTGTTCCATCACATTTCCTACATTATCTGACGAGACCATGCGGCGTGGTTTTATTTTGTCTTTTTTGTCAGTGTTAATATTACCGATATAACTATTCTGAGTGCTAATTGTCAGGGTTTAGGTGATAGACTCAAAAGAAAAGATATCTTCACATATTTAAACAAGAGGCCCATGGGCCTTAACGGTCATCTGACAAAAAGCAAGCCAAACCTAGAAAGTGGGTTGAGGTCATTCATTTGAACAAACTTGGTAGCCTCTCCTCCAAGCATCTTACAGGCCCATTATCAGCACTCATGGACTTTTGCTTGTTGAGAAGAAGTCGTTTGTATATTTTAACATATTTGACCCCTGTGACCTTGAAAGTGGGTTGAGGTCATTCATTTGAATAAACTTGGTAGCCTTTCCTCCCAGCATGCTACAGACCCAATATCGGCACTCATAGACTTTTGCTTATTGAGATGAAGTCCTTTGTATATTTTAACATATTTGACCCCTGTGACCTTGAAAGTGGGCCAAGGTCATTCATTTGAACAAACTTTGTAGGGCTCCATGCCAGCATGCTATGGGCCAAGTATTAGCCCCCTAGGCCTTCTAGTATTTGAGAAGAAGTTATTTAAAGATTTTGACATATTTGACCCCTGTGACCTTGAAAGTTGTTCAAGGTCATTCATTTAAACAAACTTGATAGCCCTTCATCCCAGCATGCCACAGGCACAATATCAGCAATCTGAGCCTTTTGGTTATTGAGAAGAAGTTGTTTAAAGATTTTAACATATTTGACCCCTGTGACCTTTAAAGTGGGTCAAGGTCATTCATTTGAACAAACTTGGTAGTCCTTCATCCCAGCATGTCACAGGCCCAATATCTACACTCTGAGCCTTTTGGTTAATGAGAAGAAGTTGTTTAAAGATTTTAACATATTTGACCCCTGTGACCTTTAAAGCGGGTCAAGGTCATTCATTTGAACAAACTTGGTAGAGCTCCATGCCAGTATCCTCTGTGCCAAGTATTAGCCCCCTAGACCTTCTAGTATTTGAGAAGAAGTCGTTTGAATGAAAAGTTTACGGACGGCGCACGGCGCACGGCGGACGGCGCACGGCGCACGGCGGACGACGACGGACGAAGCATGATGACTATAGGTCATCGGACCCTTCGGGTCCAGATGACCTAAAAATCAATTGTATAATAATTTTTGTCTCCAAGACACACATTTTTTTTTAGAAGTGAGTGGGGTACTGAATGTTTTTTAACTCTTACAAATCTAATGCAAGGGGGGGTTGCTATTTTGATAAATAACAATTTTGAGTTTAAAGTTCATAAAGAAAAGAGGGATAACACAGGAAATTTTTTAGCTCTGGAGATTACCATTGAAAGGACGAGACTGACTCTTATTACTATATATGATCCGAACCAGGATAACCCAGACTTTTGTAATATCATTTCCGATACTATTGATGATTTTGAAAACAGTTCTATTATTCAGAGGTTGATTATGATAGTACCTATAGAAATATAAATAACCCAAAAGCTAGGGACAAGGTATGTGAAACTGTAGAAAAAAAAACCCAGTAAAACAAGCCAGGCTAGATTTTTTCCTTATTTCAGAAGATCTGCTTTCCTCTATTAAGAATTCTTTTATAGACCCAGGGTATAAACCAGACCACTCTTTCCTAAAATTGAAATAGAATTCAACAAGTTTGAGAGAGGGAGGGGGCTTTGGAAAATTAATAACTCGTTGCTTCAAGATATAGAATATCTCAATACTATAAATTCTCTTATTAATAAAGTTAAAATGCAGTACTGTTTACCAAGGTTTTTTTTGATAATCTTTTGGAAATATCGGATGCTGACTTACAATTTACTGTTAACGATCAGTTATTTTTGGAAGTTCTTTTAATGGAAATAAGGGGGAAAACGATAGCATATTCGAGTCATGTTAAGAAGCAGCAAAATCTCAGAGAAGAAAACCTTAAGAAAACTATAAAAGAATTAGAAGATAGGGATAATGTTGATTTAAATGACTTAGAAGATAAGAAAAAAGAACTTGAAGCAATGAGACTACATAATATAAGGGGTTATATTATTAGATCAAGGGCAAAATGGCTAGAAAAAAGACAGAAACCCACAAAATATTTTTTAGGTTTAGAAAATAGAAATTTCACCTCCAAAATTATTCCTAAGTTAAAAAAACCAAATAATGAGATAACATCTGGTCAGGAAGAAATTTTAAACAATGTTAAAGATTTTTATGAAAAGTTATATGATGACTAAGATGATATAGAAGATGTTAATTTGAAAGATTTTTTATCTCATTGTCAGAAGTTAGAAGGTATTATTAAGTTAGAGGAAGCTGGAAAAACTTTAAGTAAAATGAAAAGTAATAAGAGTCCAGGCTCAGACGGATTTTCTACAGAATTTTTAAAATGTTTTTGGAAACAGCTTGGTACTTTCGTAATTAGATCATAATTTTTGGCTATTATAATAATGAACTCTCTATTACACAAAAACAAGGTGTTATTACATGCATTCCAAAAAGTGACAAGCCAAGGGGTTATAGCGGGTAGGTTAAAAACTGTTCTAGGAAAACTTATAGATCATGATCAAACTGGATTTTTAGAAGAATGTTAGTTTGGTGAAAACACTAGGCTCATATATGATATCATGAATTATACAGAAGATAATAACATTCCTGGAATGCTCCTCATGGTTGACTTTCAACAAGCTTTTGACTCTGTTTCATGGAAATTTATAGACAAAACTCTGTCTTTTTTTGGCTTTGGGAACAGCATTAAAAATGGATAAGAACACTGCATAATAATGCTAATTCGGCTATAATTCAGGGTGGAAATCTCTCTTCTTTCTTCAGGGTGAAGCTCAGCTGTCATCAATCTTAGAACTAAATCGTTTTGCCCACACATCTGGATTAAAAATCAACACAAACAAAACTCAGGTTATATGGATTGGGAACAAAAATATAGCAATGACACTTTTTTACTTGAATTTGGCTTACAGTGGGGTAGGGACAAATTTATTCTCTTGCGGTTGGAGTTGAGTGTTAATTTACATGAAATTAAAAAATCAAATTTTGACAAGAAACTAATAAAGCTAAAATCTTCAATCAAGTCCTGGAGTAGAAGAAGGCTAACACCTATTGGCAAAATTCATGTAAGTGAATCATTATTAATATCACAATTTAATCACCTATTTATATCATTACCTAACCCAAGCATTTCATTTCTTAATAAGTTAAATACAATCCTGTATAAATTCTTATGGAATGGTAAAACAGACAAAGTGAAAAGAAATGTTATAACTAAAAAATACTTTGAGAGGGGTTTGAAAATGGTAAATATCAATTCTTTTATAGATGCTCTAAAGTTATTATGGATGAAGAGATCTTTTTTAAGTTCACAATTTAGAAAGTGGCAAATTATACTTAAAATTTTTTTTAATGTTGACTATTTTATAAATTGTGGAACTGATTATGTACATATGTGTCAAAGATCATGCAAAAATTTATTTTGGTGTGATGTCTTAAAAGATGGAAAAGACTATTGAACTCTGATTTTCTAAAGGGCAGACAACTCTCTTTGTTAAAACACCTGTTTGGTATAATCCTAATATAACTATAGGTCGAAAGTCTACTTTTTACCATAATTGGTTCGTTAAGGGCATTAGAGTAGTTAACGATTTGCTAAAAACTACAAATCCTGTCACTTTTTACTCTTATCATGAATTTTCACAGAAATACAGTTTATTTACAAATTTTCTTCATTTCCAAGGTATTGTCAACTCTGCGAATTCTTCACTACTGGCAAACCTATTGATCAGGACACACATCTTTTACTCCCCATCATTCCTTTGAACATAGAACTTTTCTTCATTAAAGTTCAAGGAACAAAATATTTATATAAAATTTTATCAAAGAATGATGTAATTCCAACTGGGAGAAAAAAATGGGCCAATGATTTTGATTTTGATAATTCTGACTGGGCAAATATTTTTTCATTAACTTTTAAAATAACAAAAGATTCAAAATTTCAGTGGTTCCAGTATAGGATTTTACATAATGTTCTGACAACTAATTCAATACTTTTCAAGGCAAAAATAGTATTTAGCCCTCTTTGTACATTTTGCAAATTAGAGTCCGAGACCACATCTCACATATTCTGGGGATGTCAAAAAGTTCAAAACTTACTACAGAGTCTTGAGACACTTTTAGATGCTTTTCTAATTCCTGTTACTATTAATAAACAATCTTTCATATTTAGTTTTTGGCCAATTAGACACGAATTTAGTAGAATATATAATGAAATTAACATCATCATTAAACACTATATTTATAAAACTAGATGTTTTGATACCACATTAAACATACATTCACTAATAAACTCTTTCAAGGACCACCATAATGTCCAAAAGTATATAGCAATAAAAAAGGTGGTACTTTTCTTGATAATTTTAACAAAGAATGTGGAAAATGGAAAAATATTCTAATTTTTTAATAAGAATAGACAGTTGGACTTACTTTTATTTTGATTTTCTTATTAAGTAATGCTGTAGTCAATTTTGATCTCAATTAATTTCTACTTTTGTTTCTGGAAGGTCTGTCTATCTGTCTCTACCTTACCCTAACTGGTGTTTCTTACACATGTTTGATATTTCTCTTCATACTTCAGGGTGTTTGTTTTGTCTTTGTATATGTCTTTGTTGTCTGTCTTGTGTTTTGTCAATATATCTCCCTCCCTCTGTCTGTCTTATCTTGTTTTTTTTTGTCTTGTCTTGTCTGTCTGTCTGCAACTTGTAACTGTCTGCGTATGTCTCTATTCTTTTCTTTCATATAACATGACACATGACATTATGGAATATTCACTTCACTTGAATTTCATGAAAACATGTATGGTTTTCGGCATGTGAACTTATGTAAGCAAGGAATATATACGCTAACTAGTATGAATGTGGCTGATTAATATAAAATGTCTATGCATGTTTGGAAAACTGGAATGAATGATCTTTTTTCTGTACATTATGTATTACTGTCATGTGCGCATGTCCTTTGAAAAAAATTAATAAAATATGAGTTATTAAAAAAAAAGAATATACAATGTTAATGCACAGCAGGCAGTGCAGGATAACAGATGAAATGTGTTGGCTATAGGTCACCGTGACCCTTTGGATTAGATTACAATAAAATTTATATATACTCCAAACGTTTTCAAGCCTTTGAATCATACTGTTAAATATATATCATAATCAACAATCCCGACAAACATATTCTCTAGAATCACAGTAAAAAGGGGTATAACTCTTATTATTATCAAAGGCAATCAACAGAGGGACAGGGTGATTACTAAAGCATATCATGTTTCATGTCAGGTCCTATCACAATGACTCATGTTAAACAGGCTTTGTATAACACATCATATGTTAATGACACATCTGAATAAAGTATGACAGTAGGACACGTCAAGATGACCAACCTTCCTGGAAGACAAGCTTGCCATGTTGGTCTGCAGAGTAGGAGCCAATGTATTCTTGCAGATCTGTGTGTTCATGGTTGTTCACCCGTACACAAACATTGCCTGTTGTCTGAGCTAACCATGTGACCAGACTTGTTTTACCTACTGATGTCTCACCCTGGATCAGTACAGGATGCTGTCTGTAAAAAAAAAAAAGTAAACTTAAGATGAATAGAATCTTTCACTTCTATGTGATATAGAGGGAGAGATCTTAACTCTAACATAGGATTTTCAAAAGTTCAGCATGAAGCGTTGATAAGTGTTTAACAATAAAAATCTTATCCTGTGGGTTGAGATTTTACTTTTGATATCAAACAACAGAAATTATTTTATTGGGAGGATAGATCACAATTGTTTGTCCATGTATGTAATAAACAAATGAATAAAAACTATATACTGGGCATATAAAGAGTAAGTTGGTCTTACCCTGCCGACACAACTCTGGACAAATCCTTGAGGTTAGCTCTCACTGATGGTGTTAATATGTACTTGTCTTGTTGAATTGGTTTGGCTGCTCCAAAAGGTATCCAATACCCCTCCACAAAGTGATATTTTCCATCTCCAGGCATAGGAATGTCCTTCTTAAGGATTGAGCTGATGTTGACTTTACCAAGGATGTGACGACAAACTAACTTCTCCACCATTGGGTGTGAAGCTCGGTCAAGTTGGGTCAGGAAACTTAGACAAAATCCCTACAATATAAACAACTTCATCAGGAAACTCACACTTCTGACAAAATACTTATGATGCTAACAGTGACAGGAAAACACAAGATAAAACCCATGAAAAAAAAATCAATGTACAAGTTTTAGTGAGAAAACTTACCTCATACAGAGATCGTAGGACAACACCACATGGGTTCTTCGAAGAATATCTCAAAGCTCTGCATAATGTCCTCAAACTGATCAAGCAGGAAAACATTGTTCTTCAATTAATTAAGGAAACCATGATAAATTGACACAATATTCTGTATACTTTCCTTCAAAAGAAAATCAACATTTTCATATCATGACTGCCTCTTAACATTTCAACAACAGCCAAACCCTGCCTACAAAGGCCAACAAAGGGATGTGAGAAAAATGACCTTCACAGGCAGGTGGCCTTAGTAATATTACAGAGGTTCAAAAACACATGTATGACATTTGGACCCAAACCCAGTGACCTTTATACAAAAAGCCATATATCAAATAAAGGTGCACTAAAGCCAAGTATGAAAAACATATGACATTATCCATTTGGAAATACAGTAAGATGCACAGAGTAAAACTCACAGATCACTACAGTATGCCAGTGGTCGTTCACCCACTCACCTGAAATGGGGTTTATGGCCTGTTCCGTCAGTAAGATGTTTCGCTGCCTGACCTCGAATTGTTAGATAAAACTTTACAATTCCATCAAGCTGAGCTCCTGACAGTGATAACCCCTTTAAATAGTCACTAACTAATATCTTCAGATCCTGGGATTCCTCAGCTTCATCCACATACAATTCTGTGAACCTGTTTTAACCACAACGGAAAATTAAATGGAAGAATCAAGATAAATAATTATATACCTGCAATGAGCCCATGGAGCCAATGCATGGACAACAAACTATTGGGAAGACCTACCTGTTACGGATTCCAGTTGGTAGATCTTTCTTCCCCACATCTGTTGCTGGGTTCATACAGGCAAACAAGCGAAAGTCTGGATGGCGAACCACTTGTTCAACATCCCTGCAACAAAATGATATTAAAATCAATATTGTACAAAGTTAATCACTCCATTGTGTTTTCTGTGAGGACGACTGTTTTAGGGAGGCTCAACCCTTTCACTATTAATCATTAGATTTGCTTGAAACTTTAACATAATTATTCTATATATCTAACAATTTTCATATCATATATTGCCTCCTCTAACAGAGACGATTCCATGACTTGACATCTCACTTTCCAGTCCGAGAATCCAGTAAGGATAGTGTCGTTCAACCCAGTCTCACTCTCCTCACCACACAGTCACTATGCGTCAATATCTTTCAAGTCAACTGATGTCGTTGGCTTGGAATTTGTATGGTCATGACAGCTACTGCTTTTGTTACAATCAACTTTCAAAACTTTCCTCTTGTCTCTTCTTACTATTGTTGACATCACAACATACTTAACATTCTCTATATAAAGAAAAGCTTTCTTTCACGGAACATGAAATTCACACTCCAAAGTTAAATGCCAGTACACAAAGAGAAGTTACACCACCACATGTGTAGAAACATTACTTTTGTATTACGTAGGGTCGAGTCTCTTCAAAGGGTTGAGATGAATTTTTTTATTGGAGATACCTTGGACCTACTTAACTTCTGTGAGTATGACAAATCAAGTTGGGAGATAAATCAGGCCTGTCCAAGTTCTGTTATGAACTATTTCAAGGGGAGATAACTAAAACCTAGCCAATATGTGATGACAGTCTGTAAAGGGAAATAACTTCGACCTAAAATCTTTCTGTGAGAATGACAGTGCCACTGTGTTTAGGGGAGATGACTCTTACCCTCTTTCCGTAAGGATGACCGACCCTGTTGTACTTTCCAAAAGTCCACTCAGACATTCAAGGGTTTCAGCAGCAGCAAGATTTATTTCATCCAGGAGAACCCAGTCTCCTGTCCTTACAGCTCGCACCAAAGAACCCTGTCACAACAAACATATCACAAGACGCTATACCAGGACTTTTGAACTTTTAAATGTTAACATTTTTTTTCTCTGCTGTACTCTATACACGTGACAAGCTTTCACACCTTAAAGCTATATTACTAAAGACATTGATTTTAAAACTTATTTGTGATTCTTTAAGCATTGATCGGTCTTATGTCGTTCATGGCCATCATAAATGACAGTATTGGCAGGTAAACATCTTATTGCATACTAGTGCAATGTGGTATGTTTACCTATAAAGGTATGTCATTCTTAAAGACCATTAATGACATAACAAGACAAATTGATGCTTACTTTCATCTTGTAGATAATAACACGATTTAAACTTAGATAAGGTATACATTACTGAATGCAGCAAATGTAACAGCCATTTCGATGGTGTACTGTCATTGCTTCTATGCTCACAATACCAAATGCTCTAGTAAAATAACATAGCAGCATTGCAAATGAAAATATATGGAAGTAAATGTTGAATAAGTCAAATTGATGTGAACAGAACCTTATTTAAATAGTTACACATATTATATTGATTAAAATTGTTATTCAGAATTTTATATATTGAGAGATCTGTACTGAAACTGAAACAAATGGTCAGGAGTTGACGTAGTCACCCAGGGATGGTCTCGGAAGTAAGACAGGAAGGTGACATTGTAACTGTAGGGATTGAGGCTTGGTCCTTTTTTCTGTGTTTTCTTTGTGGTAGTAACAGTTCCACATTTACAGTGGTACATCATGTATAACTAACGCGGAATATGTATGTAACACTGTAAATGTGAGCCTTAGATTATCACATTAATCTTAACATCAGTATCCCTAATCATTACCTCTATAAAAGCAAAGGCAAGAACATTTTCCTTTTGTTTGATTTGCACTTTAAGCTGTTGTAGACGGCGCCTTATATCCAGCCACTTGTCAAGTTTCTCAATGTTTTTCTCTTTTCCTGCAATTATGAACATTTATAATACAAAACATTTAAAAAATTACCACAATTAAAATGGCTAATATATTAAAGAACAAGCCCCATTTGTTTGCTTATGTTACATCACATTCACGATGGTCTCAGTTTATTTATCCACCAATAAGCCAATGTCTGGTATAAAGTTCATCTATATAATCATATTCCAGTTCAGTAAGCATTACCATAAAATACTTCTTAATTGTCCTTTAATAACGCAACCTCCTGACCAAGAGGTAATGTCTGACCTCAGCGCTTATATAACAGGATAATGTGGTAATGTCTTTCATACCATGATCTAAAACTGCAAAAAACACAACTGATACGTCTAAAGCTGCAAAAAACAGAACTGATACATCTAAAGCTGCAAAAACCACAACTGATAAGTCTAAAGCTGCAAAAAACACAACTGATACATCTAAAGCTGCAAAAACCACAACTGATACATCTAAAGCTGCAAAAAACACAACTGATACGACTAAAACTGCAAAAAACACAACTGATACATCTAAAGCTGCAAAAAACACAACTGATACATCTAAAGCTGCAAAAAACACAACTGATACATCTAAAGCTGCAAAAAACACAACTGATACATCTAAAGCTGCAAAAAACAGAACTGATACATCTAAAGCTGCAAAAAACACAACTGATACATCTAAAGCTGCAAAAACCACAACTGATACATCTAAAGCTGCAAAAAACAGAACTGATACATCTAAAGCTGCAAAAAACACAACTGATACATCTAAAGCTGCAAAAAACACAACTGATACATCTAAAGCTGCAAAAAACACAACTGATACATCTAAAGCTGCAAAAAACACAACTGATACATCTAAAGCTGCAAAAAACACAACTGATACATCTAAAGCTGCAAAAAACACAACTGATACGACTAAAACTGCAAAAAACACAACTGATACATCTAAAGCTGCAAAAACCACAACTGATACATCTAAAGCTGCAAAAAACACAACTGATACATCTAAAGCTGCAAAAAACACAACTGATACATCTAAAGCTGCAAAAAACACAACTGATACATCTAAAGCTGCAAAAAACACAACTGATACATCTAAAGCTGCAAAAAACACAACTGATACATCTAAAGCTGCAAAAAACACAACTGATACATCTAAAGCTGCAAAAAACACAACTGATACATCTAAAGCTGCAAAAAACACAACTGATACATCTAAAGCTGCAAAAACCACAACTGATAAGTCTAAAGCTGCAAAAAACACAACTGATACATCTAAAGCTGCAAAAAACACAACTGATACGACTAAAACTGCAAAATACAGTTTCGGAATTCCCAGTCAATCATAAAACAATTAACTAGAATTAAGATACCATACATTTCACTCATACTTAATAGCATAATACTTTCAAGAAATATATGGATGAACTGCTAGCCTTACTTTATGCTGAAATTCTGAAAACTAATGATATTCAGCAAGTTAGTTTCGAACAGGTATGGGTGGACCCCACAATCTGCATGTGCCAAATATTCCGCAGTCCATCTGCGGTCCTGATCTGTACCTTTTTTTTGCAAGTTCCAGCAGTCCAATCATTTCAACCACTTATGTGAAAGCATCCTAATAGCAGATAACATCAAAGTAGTTTTCACTGCTTCCTGACATTATGTGATGCCTTGATTCTCACATTTAGACAACCTCACACTAACTTAAGACCTTATGGTGAGACTTTGACAGTCATTGTTAGTCACTCTGACACTAACATTGACAGTCATCTTAAGACACCCTGACCTTGACCTTAACCTAACAGTGAGACACCTATGGTCATCGTTTGTCATTCTGACACGGACATTGACAGTCATCTTAAGACACCCTGACCTTGACCTTAACCTAAAAGTGAGACACCTATGGTCATCGTTTGTCATTCTGACACGGACATTGACAGTCATCTTAAGACACCCTGACCTCGACTTTAACCTAAAAGTGAGACACCTATGGTCTTCGTTTGTCATTCTGACACGGACATTGACAGTCATCTTAAGACACCCTGACCTTGACCTTAACCTAAAAGTGAGACACCTATGGTCATCGTTTGTCATTCTGACCTGGACATTCATGTTAAGACATCCCAACTTTAGCGTTGACCCAAAGCCGAGACATTAACAGTCATGTTTCCAATCTTGACCTTAAGGTCAGGAATTAACCAACAGAATATTCTGTCAAACAGCTTGTAACTTGTCATTGGTGCTTGGGTGTGATATTACAGCATACAGTATATTGTGATAACATATGACGATATATCATTTTCCTCAGTGGGTCGCTATTTAATTTCCAAAAAGATTATGAGCAATATTGAGATAAAGAAAGAGGATGATATAACGTACCAGTTTTACAACGCTGTATGGCTGGAGTCAGGGTGTGTTCCATCAGTGTCAGCAGCATCTCCCACTTCTGTTTGGCAAAGCAATCCTAAACAAAAATCCAGAACATCTCAATCATTTTCATAGTTTACATTTACTAACATAACAAAGATGTGAACTACATTTTCTTTTATCATAATTAATTATTCTTCATCATCGTCACTGTGGATTACTGTACTAACACTTCACTGTCAACTATTTAAACACCTTTGTTTTGTGACGGGATAAAATAGTACACATTTAACATCCACCAAGCTACAAATTTCAATTAATAAAACATATTAAATAATATTTCAAAAGATTCTCTGCACTGAGACTTTAGCAAAAGTACCTTATCTGAGGAGGAGAATAAGAATAGTTTGCTGGAGTAACCTCCCTTGATTTAATCAGAATTCCCTATTGACGGCCATGATAAACTTTTGTCATATTAACAGTTAAGCATATTTTGTCATATTAACAGTTAAGTATATTTTGCAAAATCCTTATCATGTAATGAACCAACCCCTTGACTTTCACTCAACTGTCAAGTGTTTCCTCCTACTTATTGCAGAATATCTAAAGTATGTAATTCCCTTATCAGGTTCTTCAGCAGCTCACCTGTATGTGACTCAAAAACTTGCTGTTCTCTTTCCTAGAAAATGTTGAGCAAAAAAGAATTTCAAAGTCCTCCTTGAAAGGTCTGATTACATGTTTCATATCCACTGGCTTAAATCTGTAAAATCAACAAAATAATGATATACAATGTCACATGAATGTACCAAGTACACTCTTCTTCATCAGTAAAGTAAATCATTTTTCTTATCCCGGTCTCCATGTTGTAGAAATATTATACCAGGAGAGGAAAAAAGAAAAGTCATGGTGATATGTCATACATACCCTACCAGGTGATCTGATATACATACCTTTCCTAGAGATCTGATATACATACCCTTCCTACAGATCTGATATACCTACCCTTCCTAGAGATCTGATATACCTACCCTTCCAAGATCTGATATACATACCTTCCCAAGAGATCTGATATACATACCTTCCCAAGAGATCTGATATACATACCCTTCCTACAGATCTGATATACTTACCCTTCCTAGAGATCTGATATACTTACCCTTCCTAGAGATCTGATATACATACCCTTCCTAGAGATCTGATATACATACCCTTCCTACAGATCTGATATACATACCCTTCCTACAGATCTGATATACATACCCTTCCTAGAGATCTGATATACATACCCTTCCTACAGATCTGATATACTTACCCTTCCTACAGATCTGATATACTTGCCCTTCCTAGAATCTGATATACCTACCCTTCCAAGATCTGATATACATACCTTCCCAAGAGATCTGATATACATACCCTTCCTACAGATCTGATAAACATACCCTTCCTAGAGATCTGATATACATACCCTTCCTAGAGATCTGATATACATACCCTTCCTAGAGATCTGATATACATACCCTTCCTAGAGATCTGATAAACATACCCTTCCTAGAGATCTGATATACATACCCTTCCTAGAGATCTGATATACTTACCCTTCCTAGAGATCTGATATACATACCCTTCCTAGAGATCTGATATACATACCCTTACAGGTGATCTGATATACTTACCCTTCCTAGAGATGTGATATACATACCCTTCCTAGAGATCTGATATACATACCCTTCCTAGAGATCTGATATACATACCCTTCCTAGAGATCTGATATACATACCCTACCAGGTGATCTGATATACTTACCCTTCCTAGAGATCTGATATACATACCCTTCCTAGAGATCTGATATACATACCCTTCCTAGAGATCTGATATACTTGCCCCTCCTAGAGATCTGATATACATACCCTTCCTAGAGATCTGATATACTTGCCCCTCCTAGAGATCTGATATACATACCCTTCCTAGAGATCTGATATACATACCCTTCTAGAAGATCTGATATACATACCCTCCCAAGAGATCTGATATACATACCCTCCCAAGAGATCTGATATACATACCCTTCTAGAAGATCTGATATACATACCCTTCCTAGAGATCTGATATACATACCTTCCCAAGAGATCTGGTATACATACCCTCCCAAGAGATCTGATATACATACCTTCTAGAAGATCTGATATACATACCCTCCCAAGAGATCTGATATACATATCCTTCTAGAAGATCTGATATACCTACCCTCCCAAGAGATCTGATATACATACCCTCCCAAGAGATCTGATATACATATCCTTCTAGAAGATCTGATATACATACCCTCCCAAGAGATCTGATATACATACCCTCCCAAGAGATCTGATATACATATCCTTCTAGAAGATCTGATATACATACCCTCCCAAGAGATCTGATATACATATCCTTCTAGAAGATCTGATATACATACCCTTCCTAGAGATCTGATATACTTACCTTAGCAAGAGATCTGATATACATACCCTTCCTAGAGATCTGATATATATACCCTTCCTAGAGATCTGATATACATACCCTTCTGAGAGATCTGATATACATACCCTTCCTAGAGATCTGATATACATACCCTTCCTAGAGATCTGATATACTTACCCTTCCTACAGATCTGATATACTTGCCCCTCCTAGAGATCTGATATACCTACCCTTCCAAGATCTGATATACATACCTTCCCAAGAGATCTGATATACATACCTTCCCAAGAGATCTGATATACATACCCTTCCTAGAGATCTGATATACATACTCTACCAGGTGATCTGATATACTTACCCTTCCTAGAGATCTGATATACATACCCTTCTGAGAGATCTGATATACATACCCTTCCTAGAGATCTGATATACATACCTTAGCAAGAGATCTGATATACATACCCTTCTAGAAGATCTGATATACATACCTTCCCAAGAAATCTGATATACATACCCTCCCAAGAGATCTGATATACATACCTTCTGAAGAGATTTGATATACATACCCTCCCAAGAGATCTGATATACATACCCTCCCAAGAGATCTGATATACATACCCTCCTAGAAGATCTGAACTGTCACTCTGCTGGTTCATGTTGATTACTTTGAGTGTATGACCTGTAACAACCAACAGGAAATGTTAACATTTTGATGAGATCTTTGTCTACAAAGAAATATTTCGCAACCAAATCAAACACCATGAAGGAGCCTTTTATACATTCTCCTAATATGGTCCTAATTTAAAAGCAATTTTCAAATACAGAAGCAAAAGCGTACACAAGTATTCTGATAAAAGCATGTTTAAATAACTATTTAGTAACTGTTTTAAATATGAAACCATTCTTTTGTTACAGGAGGAAAGCAGAATTGCTAAAAAGATAACTTAAGCTACAAATTGTAATTTACTGGGACCTGAAATCAGTTGACTATGTAGACAAGTTTTTGTTAGGTAGCCTATAAAGATTTTTTTTCTATACAGGTGTTCTTTAAAGACAGGATTTTGTTATATAGGTGCCCTTTGTAGACACGTATTACATACAGGTGTTCTTTAAAGACAGGATTTTGTTATACAGGTGCCCTTTGTAGACACGTATTACATACAGGTGTTCTTTAAAGACAGCATTTTGTTATATAGGTGCCCTTTGTAGACACGTATTACATACAGGTGTTCTTTAAAGTCAGCATTTTGTTATATAGGTGCCCTTTGTAGACACGTATTACATACAGGTGTTCTTTAAAGACAGGATTTTGTTATATAGGTGCCCTTTGTAGACATGTATTACATACAGGTGTTCTTTAAAGACAGCATTTTGTTATATAGGTGACCTTTCAGGTAGGTTTGGCTATTTCAAACAGAATCATATTTTAATAATTTTGGATTTCAACATCCTTTTGTAATATAAGTCTGCTTACCAAGTTGTTCAGCCAGAAATTGTACTGATGATGTTTTACCAGTTCCTGTCTCACCTACCAGTAGGACAGGCTCGCTCTTTCCTACACATACTGACACCTGTTCCAGTAAAGCTGAAGACTGTCGTGTGAAGGAAAATGTACTGTGTGGTGATCTAGAAAAAAAAAATGGGAAGTCTTTACAGTAAAAAAAAAAAAAAAAAAACAACCTTCTTTTCCTTTTTTAGACTAGGTTCCTAATCTTTTAGTGACAGAGACAGTCAAATCAAACTAAAGCCCTTTAGAGTAAACATATCTGAAGGTCATATCTGAACAAGTTGGATAACCCTGCGGCCCAGGAGTATATGCTCCTGTTTCAATTAAGTTTAAGTACATGTAAAAAATTGACCAATTTCTTTAAGACTCATGGTTTATCAGAAAAAGTTGTTCAAACATGCAACAAATACTCATAACATGCCTCTTCTTTCTACATACCTAAGAACTGAACCAACCTCCACAGCCTTCTTGTCTAGTTGTACACGGCCACAGGTAAAAGATGTTGAAGTCACTTTTACTTCCGGTTTACACTTATAGCAGAAATATTCAGCCTAAAACATTTGAAAAAGAAGTGTTTGAAAAAATTTGTAAGTATGAAACAAAATCCTAATTCCAGCATAATTGGCTTGGTAATTAATTAATGAAAAACTGCATTGATACATTAATTCAGCATCACATTTTAGTTTATGATACAATAAGCCCAGGGACCAATTCATAAATTCTGACTCAAATGGTAAGTATTAAAACACAATTGTCAGTGTGAACCTTTTGGTTTTGTCTTATATGTTTATCAATTAGTTGCATACTTCATTTTTTTCACACTGAGAATGATAAATCCTACAATGGCTTCTACTACATACCATGACCTTTGAGATGCTTAGTTTGGCTCCAATGGCCTCTGCAACAACGAGGCGTTTGCTAGGTTTTGGGAGACATGCAACAAAACAGTCAAGAGCTTCTTGAAGCACCTGATTGGCTGTTGTCGTAGATGACACATCAAAATCTGCAGCAACACGTCTACACCAGTTCATAAGATCTCTGAAAGAAATATAGAGGTATAATTTCATTATTAGGTCAAAACTTAAACTTAATGGTTACTACAAATCTAGTCCGATTCCTTCAAAGGTGAGTTTAAGGAAAGCATTTAATTTCATTCTTAGGTATGCTAAGTATGTATTACAATATTTTACTATGGTATTATGGTATATTTCATAACTAGTACTGGTTGAGAAATGACATGGGTACAAACCTATAGTCCCCAGTAGTAAAACTTGTGAGGGAAACATAAACATTGATCAAAGTATTGTACAAAAGTGAAATGCACCGTAAAATACAAATTTAAAATTAGATATACTAGAGGCAAGCAATGAACTAAGACTTGTCAATGATGCTAAGTGCCTAAATTTTGAAACCCAGGAAACTACTGATTAAAATCCAAAGTGATCAAAAGAAAATTCATATGGGATGGTGATCTTACCCTATAATTCAATAAATTCCATACTTTTCATATATCTGAAGATTTTTGAACAACGTTTAATACATTCCAAAGAAAAACTAAATATATTCACCTTAGCTCTTTGTTGAATCAAACGTATGCTGATTCATCACAGCATGGAAATGATCAATTCTCAAAAACAGTCTAGAAAGTCACCTTAAGATAGAAATATTTAGAAATTTCTATAATTACCTAGTGGAAATAAGTCGACCATCATGTGATAGGAACTTGCCAACCTCATCAGACAAGCTGTCCTCAACTCCCGCCTCATGTTTCCCAGCAGACAGCATGAAGTAAATATCCAGCAGCTTCTCCGTGACCGGATGGAGTTGTGGGTACAAGGTGTTAATTACCTGGTTATTGAAAAAATATACTTAATATATCAAATAAACTATCAAAACAACAAATGTCTGTTACCTCACAGACGTCTCATGTTAAACATGTACCGTAAATTTGTGGGTATAATGCCCACTCGGGTATAATGCGCAGGTACTTTTTTGGGATCAGATTAAAACAAAAAAAAAAGATTTTCTACAGAAAGATTAATTAATTACTGGTTACCGTGATGAAACAGTTAATGTGGTTTGATCCATTGAAAATTAGAATCCACAATGAGTGAGACCCTAACACATTTAATTACCTTGTATAAACAAATTCACCCAGGTGCCTGACTTAACAAGCATGACAGACTTGGCTAATTGGATAATTAACGGTTCTCAACAGGTAACACATTGAGTATGAGGAGATTGACGACACTCGGCTTGGGCTGAACGCGTGCTATTAGTCAGAAAACGAGGTTGCTTTAACTGTCTGTAAATTTTCAATCCTACCTTGTCCACATATCTGTACCTAACGCGGTATCCGAAGGTACTTAATTATAGATTGTTTACACTGACTTTGACATGTGGAAACAGCGAACAGCGTTTACACGAAAGAGTTGGAGAGAGAGCTGTTCAATTTTGTATGTGAACACCGAGAGTCCGACATCGTTGTCAGTACAACAGAACTGCACGTGCGGGACATGCAGATTCCAGAGATATATCATCGAAATGAGGCAGAAATACAAAATTGTCCTGTCAAGGATTTGGAATGACAACCAAACACCGCTTACTTTTGATCTACCTCCAGACACTATTATAGCCACGACCAATAGTAAGACAGTGAATATTCGAACGACAGAAAACGAAAAAAAAATAGATTCACCGTAATGCTAGCGTGTATGGCCGATGTTTAAAACATTCAAAATTTTTATTTTTTTTGTATTTTTCAGCTTCAGCTTGAAAAAGTGCAACTATACGCGGAAATTCATGGTAGTTGTCAAATCAAGCCATCGCACTTTGTTGGTAGTAGTATCTGACCACTGTGCTGAGTTGCAATGTTTAGTTAAACTGAAGATGCAGTAAAACCGCCTATAAATATGATTCACAGAATGATGGCTGTTCCGCTATTGCATCAACCATTCTTACCTTCTCCAATTCTGACCTTGAGAGTGGTTCAACATTGACCTTGGTCCACATCTTCTCTAGTAAGATTGAACTGCTGCTATGTTGCCTGTGCCAACCACTCCCACTGCCTAGCAATCTGTAATAAACAATAAAGACAAATCCTGAAATATGGCAAAGAATAATTATGTAGGCTAATCAATAGTTAGCCATAGCAATGAATTACAAACTAGAATACTTAAAAGTTAGCCATAAGAAGCAAAAATCTACTAGAGCAACCAATAGTTACCAACCTCTGGGTTGCAAACAGTTGGAAGCCAGGAGCTGTGGGGATGTTATCACCATGTCCTGGGACTGACAAGACATGTCTCTCTAAAAGGGGCAGAAGGACTGAGATAACATCCATAGGGGCGGAGTCGATATCCTCCAGTAAAACCCAGTGTCCTTCTGTCACGGCCCGCGTCAATACACCAGCCTGCCACACAAACTCTCCAGGGATGTCTGTACAGCGATATGTCCCCAGCAATGCCTGTAATACACACAAATTCTTTATATCAAATAGTATTCATCCTACGATAATCCCACATCTGGCAATAAGAACTTTCAAATACACTGCAATTTCAACGGAAATGTAAACAAATGCCATTTCATCATCCTGTAATAAGCCCACACCCCTAATTCTGATGTAACGAATTAGCCCCTCAGTTGAATGCCTGATTATGAACCCAAAAGCAGTTGTTTTGAAGCTCATGTTTACTGTGTGTAAATTAGATTATTAAAGACGGTATTACAAATATCAAAGACCTTATATGCTTGTAAAACAAGCTTGTAATGTCCAACAACTCTGAATAAAAATTATTAGGTGAGCCTATCACAGCTCAATGAAATAAATTTTGTTTTTCCTTTTTTATTGCATAGTTTAAGATGTGTTGGCTTATTACCTGGCACAGGATTATTGCCAAATAATTTTTTTTTTTTTTTCCCAAAGCTCAATGTTAGTTCATCACATCTCTTAATTATTTAAATTAATTAATTTCCACACAGCAATGCAATGATCAGGAAAGTGAATTACAGGACAAATTTATCTAAGAAAAATGCCACAACTCCAGTTAGAAATTAGAACTGGTTTATTTGGCTAACACAATGATAAATTTGAATTATGGATTATAAATATTGTTTACCTTGCTGTCAGTCTGATCACCCAGTTGGATCTTCATCAGGTGTGGTGATTTGACCCGTCCAGTCAATTGAGCGAGGTGTTCTACCAGAGAGGTTTTACCACTCCCAACAGGTCCCTGTAACAGGACAGGACTACCGGCTGACACAGCTAGGGCCAAACTTCGTAGGTTGTTGTCTAGAGACTCAGCTGGTACAAGGAATGATGTACAAGGCTGTAAAGAGAATCAAGCATCAGTGACTAAATCACCAAGAGTATTAATGTAAGTTTAATTTTTTTATCAGACATTTTGTGATTTCTTTTAAATACAACTTATAAATTTTTTTTAAACTAACACAATGACACCTTATATTTGAAAGATGATTTGATACAGTAATATGCCCTGAAATAATCCTGTAATTCAATTATGTAAAATTTCCATACCAGTGTATTTAATATTTTGTTTTAGGACAAAATCTCTCCTAGATTCTTTATTAGGCCTCACCGTTTCCTCAGTAATGTTGATTCTTGGTAAAAGGATGCCAGCCACAATGACAACACTGTGATGGAGATCTGACTGGTCAAGTCCCATAATGATCTCAGTTAAACTCTGCTGAAAGGTCTCGACCGGTAACTCCACTGAGGAATCATCCATCACTGGATCAGTCAGCCCACAGTCTCGGCACCATTTCTGATGTCTGTACATATCAAAATAGATAACTCCATTTCAATTTCAGATCAGTTAAATGTGTGATATGTAACCTATGGAAAATGTTCATCTTAGTGGTATCAAAATAGAACATGCTTTTATTCTTAGTAAGAAAGCTGTTCATTCAAAATTACCTTGGGCACTGTGTTAAAATTTGAACATAAATATGAATGATCTGATGGTGTAACAACATTTATACATGTTGTGGTAATCACGAATGTCTATGTTGATGTTGAGGGGAAACAATTCAGGTTCAGTTTTGATCACAAGTGTCATGGCACAGTCTAATATCAGAAAGAAAATGTCCTTTATGACAATGACAATATCGCAGTCTCACATGTCGACAAGTCTTACTGTAGTTTTAGAGCAGAAAGGCTGCCATTTTTGTCTGTATTCAATGTAGAGCACACTAAAGCATCTCTCTGGCTTGATGTCATATCCAACATGGTGGCCACACTGTCAGAACACAACCTGAAGACAAAGCAGAGTTGTAATGATTTTTTTTCACTGCCTTAAGATTTTTACCAAAGTCAGAAGGATTTATTATTCTTGGATGTCATGAAATGGACTATAATTTCCTGTTATAATTTTGTTCTATTTATAGCAATTTTATTCCTTTCTCAAAAATAGTGAGAATACAAACATTTTGGAAATAACAATATTTACATTAAGTTTTCTCCCTTAGAAAAGGAATGAAGGTTTGGATGGGAATCAGACTGGCAGAACGTTTTTGACATTATCTTTCAATTTCAAGTTAGTTTAAAAATGCAATGCCACTTTTGTATGTAATTTGAAATAAGGTTAAAAAAGTATTCAGTCATCAAAATATCAATCAGTGAAAATGAATAAAGAACACATTCCCTGTATATACTTACCACACTATCCTAGCCTCATCTTTGTAGTAACTGAGAAAAGACATGAGGATGTCTACAGGCATTATATCCCTTACCCGTCTCTCCAACACATGGACAAACCTCCAGATCATCTCCATCAGTCTATAAACTCGCTAGTAAAGACAAATAAAGACCAATATTTCAGGATAAAGCACACTGCAGATTATTTCATCACTATGGTTTTTTGATCCTAGTTAAGTTCATCATGCTCCACAATACCATGCCACAGCACTGAGTAAATAAACCAGGTTGAGTATTTAACAGGTGCAATCGATGACTGCCAAGCTCATCGAGAGCAGCCATTGAAAAATGCTTAGTTATTTTAATTCATGAATTGAATAAGAGGGGTGTGGGATATAATGCTAATGCAAAAGCTTTAAACTGATATTTGATGTAAGAAATGTAACATCCACAACATGGTTGGTTTCTCCAAAAGTGTCAAAAGAAATCACGTACCAAATAATAAGGGTGTGGGATGTATACTTAAGAACTTAAAAGTCTTTCAAAGACTATCCACAAAAGAATCAAGCTTTTAGCACAGACACTGGGGGAACAGCATTAGCTCAGTTGTTCATAGCTGATGAGCAAATTAAGATTTAGGGAATGAGACTTTCAAGGCAATGAGTTTGATGTAATCTTTTTTTGAAAATTGACAAGCAAACAACATTTCAATTTAGTCAAAAGAAAATGCTACGGCATTAACAAACGTTATACCAATATGAAAAAGCAAATAACATAGAGGATGTTTTCACCTGTTTCTCTGATTCAGCAATCATCTTGTGTTTTGTTTTAGGTGGTACAGTAAGGTACAAACCACCATGACTGAGGTAAGTAAGGGTGTAACTATAAACATAAAACATTTTATTAGAAAATTAGTCAGTTCATTTACACTACACAACTAATTAAACTTGATTTAATATTAAATAAAAGCACATTTACATGTTAAATTTTTGTTCTCAAGACCAAAGTTTTCAGTTAAAATAGGTAATCTCATCACTCTTTCCTAAAATCTGGTCATGAAGGGTCAAAGTTAAGTCCTTTCAATCAAACTTCGGGGACAAAATTATTTTTTGGAATGAAAAAAAAAAAAAAAATCAGAGACCTGAGAAACTGTATGAAAGTATATCATGGGGATTATGTGATGTTAACTAAATTTGAAATCTGAATAATGAATGAATTACAAAAGTTAAAGGAACACATGGAAATAAGTCACTGAATAGTGAAAAGTGACAGTGAGAGTACACTTTGTGTTCTATATGACCCAATCTGTAGTGGTTAGGAAAATTGCTGTGCCCCAATGAGGCTTAAACTAGCGACACATGCTCTTAGAGCCAACACCTAACCCAAGAAGACAGCCTATGGGAAATTCCCATTATATGAATCTAGAAAGGTGACCTTTACTCTTCATTTCTAACTAAATGTTAAGTCAGTCTCAATTATTTCATTCAAATATTTACTAATTAATATGATGGAATGGTAAAACAAACATCTCACCTTTGTAAGACTGGACATTGTGTAACGGCCATGCTCAGAGCATGACCGAACTGATCGTTCTTGTGATCCCCTTGTTGATGCAGCATCTCATCCTCTGCCTTTTCTCTGGCCCTTGCCACAATGTCGAGGATAATAATGCGACAAACCTGGCATACCTTCCTTGTATACAATGGATCCAAAAAGAGACGGGCAAGTTTTTCAAGCAAGTCTTGCTTTTTCTTCAATGTAGACATCTGAGATAGAGGAAAAAAACATGATATATAAACATGATGTCCAAACCATCACAATGTCTATCTACAATATATATGCAATTTGCCTCCAAAATCTCAGATTGTCAGATGTTATGCCCCAAAGTTGCTTTGCACCATAATGTTTCACAGCCACTAGAAATGGTTTGCCCCAAAATGAAAATTCAGAAATCACATACTGATGTGGACAAGTGCACCCACTGAATAGTTGTTTTCACAAAAGGAAAAGATGAAACATGAATCACTTTGATCTAGCGACGTGAGTTGGAGCAGTTTAAGTAAAACAAGTAAATAGGGGAGCAAGTAATGGCTACTCCAGAACTTGAGGCATTAATTTTCAACCTGTATCACATGTGGCCTATCGTCTGTACAAAAATTGTAGTTTATAGGCCGTAGACCAAGGTCACCATGAGTATTCAATACAGAATTATATATTTTGTTCCTTTTTGGTGTTTTCGGGTTTTGTTTTTGTTGTTGTTTTGTTGTTGTTTTTTAACAGTTGAAAGTGGTGATAAGATAATATTAGTTGACGGAAACTTTACACTTCAGACTTTTACTATTGTTACACACTTGTTATTTCTATAAAACTGTGGAAACCAATGTAATCTGTTAATTTACGATGCAGTAACATTCTGAGTAAGACAAAGTTTCTAACACGATTATAATCAGTAAAAATGTTAATATTATAAACAGCATAGTAAGTGCGAAAATTGATAGCGAGTGCTTTATGGTATTGTGTGTGTGATAATTCAACCCCAACAACATGCCCATACGATCAACTTTAAACAGCAGTGTGACTGGAACTTCATTATCCACAATACACTTGCCGCACCACACAATGAAAACTGCCGACCCGTTGAATGGATTAAAATGATTTCGACAAAATATCTTTTCAAGCTTCTGTGTGGAAGTGAAATCATACTAAAAGTCTTAAATAATTCAAATGAATTTAACAAACATTTACCTTAATGGTTTGAAAACCATATAACAAACATCTCGTTGAAAAATTACAATTTTGACCATTCAAGATGAGAGCATGTTTGTTCTCCAATGTGCCTGATTTTCAGGTTAACCTTCTGAAACTTTCGTCACTTTCTGTTAGACATTGTCTCTTATGTGGAAGCAGTCGAAAAGTCCTGATTTGGCAAACAACCTGTCCCGTCTCTCAATATTAATTCTGTAAAAAGTGGATGTTCTTTCGATAACTTAGTTAATTATGATCAAGTATTTGAATGTTTAGAATTTATCCAGCAAACACTTATAAGGCACAATGATAGGATAACTATTACTGGTGAGGTTTTTGTTTTGTTTTTTGTTTTATTTTTTTGGGGGTTGGGGGAGGGGTTCCAGAAAAATGCAGTTTATGTAATATATTGTGACTTTAATAAGAATTTCATTTAAACATATATATTTATATTGATTTTTTTAATTACAATGTATAACACAATAGTCTCAACAGTGATTATAACTTTACCCTCCTTTTGCTTAAAAAACTGAAGGTTCTAAGGCATTTTATGACTTGTTAGTTAACAGAACGAAAACTCTCAATAGCAAAGAGTAAAGAAAACTTGTTAAACATATAAGCACCGCCTCTACAAATCCGATTAAAACTATAATATGTTGTCTTTCACCGTATTTTGACTACAAAATCCTTTCTTTTTTAAAGCAAAGATGATAGATAGTCCTCTCTGCAATATCTGTAACTCTAAAAGGGAAACTCTTGTGCATTTATTTTGAAGATCTTTTTTACCAATTTTTATAGTCTAGATATGTTGTCAGTGACTTTATTAATACATTTATTGTTACCATTGAAACCTATAACCATCACAAATTTCAGGTTTTCTGAGTCAATACCATGACAAGGTAATTGCTCAAACCTTTTTACACTTATTTAGCTAGTAGTATCTTTTACTATGGGGAAGTTCTCCATTTAAATACCTTTTATGCTACCATGGAAACAGATAGGCCAAATCACAAAGTTCAGTTTTTTTCTGACCAGTTCTCTTAAACCATTCAAGGTAATTACCTGTTACTCAAAGCCTTGTACAGGCATCAAGCTAGTATTATAGCGTAAATTCTCAATTTCAATACTTTGTATGGAACAATTGGAAATAACAAATAGAAATTAACTTGTTGTAATATTAACAAATATATATATATATATTTTTTTTTTTTGAAGAGAAAAATTCATTGAGAACTCCATTTGGTTTTAACATTTCTGGTTTGTATCAAACAGGTTCTGATAGTCTGATCAATTATATTGACAGATCGGCTTCCATGTTGGTTGTTCAACTCCAACCACTTCTGCCGGCCAGCCAATATAATTGACCAGAGACCGCATTTTTCATAGATTCTCAATAAAATAATCATGACTTACGTGTCGGATTTATCAGGTATAATTAACTAACAAAAATAGCCTGCCATCATAGAAATATGTGTCGGAATTCAGAACTGACAGTGACCGGACATATCAGTGTTTTAATACATTGACAAATAACGCAATTTCACGGGAATACGGTACAGTGTCGGATTTGACAGTATGTCGGAAAAGTCAGGTGTCGGATTAGACAGGTTTCACTGTACTACATTCTTTATGTGTTTCCAAACTGCCTGATAAAATTCTACGGTTAATCCCTCTGTATCGGGACTTTTATTTTTTTTCATATGATTTAATGCATGTTTGCATTCCTTTTCTGTTATTTCACCATTCGGTATTATTGAGCTGTGTAATTCCTTTAGTATTTTTAATGTACTCATTTATATTTATCTCAGACAGATTAATAGTCTTTTTTAGTTTCTTTCAATATTTTTTCGGGTTCTTGAATTAAAGTTCCGTTATCATTTTCAAGTTCATTTATTACTGTTGGTGTTTGTCTTTTCTTTTCAAGACTTAAAAAAAAATCATGTTTTTTTCTCCTTCTTCTGTCCATTTGATTCATAATCTAATTTGTGCGCCTTTTGCTTTTTGTTCGTACAATTTTGCTAAGTCTTTTTCAACACTATTTGCTTCGTCCGCCTCTGTGACGGTAATATTTTTCTTCTCATTTATTGTTCTCAGACGTTCTTCGAGAAAGCATATGTCTGATTTTTGTTTTTCTGATTTTAATATGCTATATTTGATTGATTCGTTTTTTATCATAAGTGTGCAGTAATCCCATGTTTGCCGCCAACTTAGGTTATTCTCTTCACAGTAATGTTTTGAATTTTGAATACATTTAATAATTGGCTTTTCATACTCTTTATCCCCTAGTATACTGTTGTTTAGCTTCCATATTCCAGGACCCTTATCTTTACCCATAAATAATTTTAAAGATATACCTTGATGATCAGTACTTCTAATTTGTCAGACATGATTGCAGAGCAAAGACAAAAAAGCGGAAAGGGGGGTATGGTCATTGGTGGACCTCCCCCAGTGGGGTTACAAGGGGCAGCGCCTGTTCCCGGGGTTCAGGGGGCTGAAGCCACCCGACCGAAAATGATTTTTAGACATTCTTCTTCAAGATATGCTGTTCCAATCTTTTCCACCCTCGCCCCGCGTAATTTATGTCCTTTTGACACAGTTCGCAAAATGCCATTCCCGGAATGTTTATTTTTCCTAATGTGCTTGCCAATTAACTCTCCCTTTGCTTTCTTTTCCAGACATTCCCACTTCCAGACGTTTTTTATTCCCTTATCTATCAACTTTGTATCGACGTCTCTATCAATAATTCTCGGCACCATTGTCGACAAAACCGCATTTTTTTTGCTACTTTGTTAGGGCTTCATTGATTAGTTGAATTAAATCAAACAACCAATCAGCTTTACTCTAACTAAAATACTCATCTGTAGTACAAATAGGAAACATGTTGATGACAGTAAATGGGGAAATGATAGCGGACATTCCGGATTTACATCATTGTTCAGTAACATTGAAAATTGGTTATTTTTTACTGAAAATTTAAATTTGTTCATTGGAAAATTGAAAAAAAGTGGAATTCCGCTTTAAAGCTGAAAATAATCATGTCTAATTTGTGCCAGTTTAATGTCTGATGATTTTACTAAACTGTTCATGGTATTTTCAATTAGAAAGTAGTCGATCCTACTAGCTTCTCCTTGTCTATTACGTCTCCACGTATACTGTGTTTTATGTCTATTCTTCTCCCTCCAAATGTCTTCTAGTCTTAAAGATTTTTTAAGCTGTTTAAGGCCGTAAGTTTTAATTTTATTTCTAGCTTGGGAGGTACTTTTTCTATCATAATCTTTTAAAACTTCATTGAAATCGCCTCCAACAATAACCATTCCAGTGCTTTTTTCTTTTATATCATTCAATGCGGATTTTAAAAAAGCATTCCTCTCATTCGGAGCGTAAATATTAGCAATACTTAGAATTTTGTTTTCTATTTAAATATCTAATAAGACAAATCTACCGTTATCTTTGATATAAGAATTTATGATATTTGCGTTCAAATGTTTTCTTACAATATTACTTGTACCTTTTTTATTTTGTTTCCCAAAACTATGGTAGCATATAGCAAAATCATCTGTTTCCTTTTTTAGTCGATTTAGTATATTTTGTGTAAAATGTGTTTCCTGTAACAGACAAATGTCAAACTTTTGTTGTTTCATCCATTGATATAGACAAAGTCTCTTTTCTTATCCCTAAGTCCTTGGGCATTTAAGGAAAGAATATGTACTATACCTTTATTTTGCACATTTGTTTATGGTTCATAATTGTCTGTGTTTTTTATTTTCTTTGTCTGACGGAGATGTTCGCGATTTCGATTGACTCCTGTCACAATTTTTCGGAGTATCAAAACCGCGGTTTCCCGCCTTGATGAACTTGTCTAATGTCTGAGTCTGCTGTTTGTCTTTATTTCCTCCCCCTTTCTCCTTTTGCCTCCTTCGTAATTTCCTCTTCTTTCTAGTGCTGGTTGCACCCGGCTTTGTATCTGCTCCTTCCTCATTTGGTGTTTCTTCGTTCTGTGAATCTTCTTCATTTTGCGTTT